AGCACACTTACCATACCTTGCCTGTATTACCTTGTGTTGGCAATGTTCTGAGTCTGCTGCATGTGTGCATTGTATAACTGGTTGCTTGTGTCTTTGGACTTATTTGTGTCTGTTGGCAGTGCTCATGTGCCTGTCGTGTTGTTGTCTTGAATGCAATGACCTTGCTGCCATGTGCCTATGTCCATGTCTGTTTATATTTTGTGAAATGCAGCACTGATTTCTGGACCAACATACTCTCATCACTCTTTGAGGACCTTCCCTCTTGGAAAGAGAATGAGGTAGGTGCATAGTTGCAATGCGTACATTGTTTATAATTTATAAATGAACCCTATATTGTAGGGGAGCGTGTAAACCAAGTGCACTCATGCAGTCCCAGGCTGAATGTCTTGCCAGGCATGGCGTCACGGTTGCTTGCATATGCATGATTGTACTGGTATGGTGTGAGTGCATTTCTGCTGTTAAGAACTTCACCTATAAGTATAAAGAACATGGCGTGCGTTGTATCAGAACTTGACTGTATACAACTTGATGGTGATCGTTTGTGAGAATGAAGGTTTCTTTTTATTTTCCCCGTTTCAGCTGATTTATTGACTAATGCTTTGCTTTGATTGGTGCTGTCCACTGGCACAGGACTTGTACTGTCTACGTGTGAAGGTTGCAACACACATCATTCGTATTTTGACTGTGGAACTCTACTACTGTGACAGGTTAGTTGTCGCCGGCCAGGATAACGATTTTTAAAAGAAGAAAACATCTCTCATTATTGCTCACATGCAGTTTTTAAAAATAATGTCATGCTTATCACGTGGTCTGTTTCACTGCTTCTACTGCTGCTGTGTGTGTTGTTTCAGTGTGAGTACGGGGCTATTACAACAGCTCACTGACCTTTCAGAGAAGAAGCGTTACCTCTATTGGCTTGAGGTAGGTCATTGTTCATTTGACAGGTTTGATGAATGGATGTCATGAGGCAAGTTTATAATATTGGCTACCTGCAATGTGTGTACAGTGTTGTGTGGTGATGCTGGTGCTGGTGATGCTGGTGATGCTGGTGATGCTGGTGCTGGTGATGCTGGTGCTGGTGCTGGTGATGCTGGTGGTGATAATGCTGGTGGTGATAATGCTGGTGCTGGTGATGCTGGTGCTGGTGATACTGGTGGTGGTGATGCTGGTGCTGGTGGTATTTGTAACCTTGTATGGCATCGGCACACACATCCTCGTACGTGCACACATGAATGTGACACAGCACACCCATTCCAGCACCTATTTCCTTTCATTCCTGCTACCACTTGCAGTCTTGTAGAATCAAATTATTTCTTGGTTGAGATGTTGCTGATATGTGCTAAGCTGGCCTTTGCTACACTGTTTGCTTGTTTGTTTACCTGTGTTCCGGTCTCTCTCTCTCTCTCTCTCTCTATCTATCTATCTCTCTCTCTCTCTCTCTCTCTCTCTCTCTCTCTCTCTCTCTCTCTCTCTCTCTCTCTCTCTCTCTCTCTCTTGCCTTACAGCAACTCACACCAGTATGTACCGATGTGGACATGGAGGACGCCGGCGAGAGCAGTGTAGTGTCCACATTGTCCAGCCGCAAGGTGTCTGACAGTCGCTATGAACTGCTGAAAGGCTTGCAGTCTTTGCTGATGATAGCTGTGACGTGTCAGGTATGTCAGCATCAGTGTGGCCGCACACCTACAATTGCTTCTTTTGAAATGGTTTGTATGGGTAGCATGTGGAAACTTCACAAAACCATGCAACTCTTCAAGATGCTTGTGTGCATGCTTACGATTGTTGTCTTTTTTTTTACCGTATTTAAACTTTGTGGTTGAATTTGCCATTATTGTTATACCTTTAGCGCATATCTACAGTGACCCGCTGACATAATAGAGAGGTTCCGGGGTACGATTTTCCGAGGCGTGCTCCATACGATTTTTCGGCACGGAGAATCCGTGTGGACTGGCTTTCATACGAACCATGTTTCGTATGGAGATTTTGCGTCATCGGGTGCAGAAAGATTTTTCGAGTACAAATTTGGTACGAGAAACATCGATTTTCCGCGGGAAGTTTTGATTTCGGTACAAATTTTCAAAATAAAAAGCATAGCGCGGGAATGTGACGTGTTTGCAATCGTAACCTAGGCAATGACGGCAAACACATAAGTTCTGTACTCCGGAACATTTCACTGCTCGAAAACGACGTATAAAAAATCCGTAGCGCCTCTACGGATTTTGGCACGAAAAGTCGTACTCCGGAACCTCTCTAATGATGATCTTCTGTTTACTGATGTGCTTTGCAATGCGATGCAGGCGTCATCGTGCAAGCTGGAGAGTCTGACGGCTTGCTCGGCAATTCTAAACACGGTCCTTGAGACGCTCCGTTCACACGTGAGTTTATGCCACCGGGATATGGTTAAAGGGGAAGTTAAGGCAAAAATTAAAATTTCACCAGTTGTAGTCTTCGGGATGCTGAGTCGAATGGTCTTGGTCCGAGAAAGCTGAGACGCTCCCTTCCTACTTGAATCCCAATCGAACTCGCGCACTTCCACCGAAACTGGGTGACTGCGCCCTACGAGATGGGGATTTGTATGCAAAATGTCACTAAAAGCGCCATTTCGTTCTTATAAAAGCACGGATGACCGCCATTGGCCCATATGTTGTAGTCTTTTGGACGCTGAGTCGACTGGTTTTGGTCCGAAAAGGCTGCGATGCAGCGTTCCTCCTTTATTCCCAATCGAACATGGTTGAACAAGCGGTCACGTGCTCCTGGGTGCCCAAATCACCTGGTCACCACGCCAGCAGGCGACAACTTTCACACCAAGGTTCAACTCGAGTTCAACTCGAGTGACAGGACTGCACCCAAAAAAGGTCAAACAGGCTAGTAAGTTGTACCCTGCACGCATGGTGACCAGTGGTGTACGCAGGAGCACGTGACCGCTTGTTCAACCATGTTCGATTGGGAATAAAGGAGGAACGCTGCATCGCAGCCTTTTCGGACCAAAACCAATTGACTCAGCGTCCAAAAGACTACAACATATGGGCCAATCGCGGTCATCCATGCTTTTATAAGAACGAAATGGCGCTTTTAGTGACATTTTGCATACAAATCCCCATCTTGTAGGGCGCAGTCACCCAGTTTCGGTGGAAGTGCGCGAGTTCGATTGGGATTCAAGTACGAAGGGAGCGTCTCAGCTTCCTCGGACCACGACCATTCGACTCAGCACCCCGAAGACTACAACTGGTGAAATTTTAATTTTTGCCTTAACTTCCCCTTTAAGGCAGGCATAGTGGGATGGTCTAAGACCATGATTGAGAAACAGAGGGTACCAGGTTCAAGTCCTGCTTGGAAGCGGAAGGATTTTTTCCAGCCGTGCTGCGACCCACAGTTAATTGGGAACTCGTGGCCTGGCACGAGGGAAACATGGATGCAGTGAATGGGATTTCGGTCTTTGACCACTTTGTGGTGGGTCTGATCTACTCACCTCCTACCGCTTAGGAGCTGCATCTGCGCCTTGATCCAAGAGGGTGGTGGCGTTCCTGCGGATGCGGAAAACTGGGCCTTTGGCCGAGTCTCACGCGAACCGTGAATTTTTTTTTTTTTTCCCCCTTTAACCCGTTCGTTGGCGGACTTCTCACCCATTTTCTGAAAACCTACCCAGAATGCTTTGCCTGTACTAGAAATGATGTGCCCTCTGCACTCACCCGGCTGTAGCCAAGCTCACTGAGCAAGGAGTCATGTCTCTTTCTGTCTTCATGACCAACACATACTATTGACTAGTACTACAGTGCTGGCAACTGAAATCCGACCCCTGAGCGGTGCGTTCACATTCTAGCGGTCTCTATTTCGTAGTGTTACAATCCTGGGTTGGGTCTTTGCGGTGTGAGCCCACCGCTAAGGGGTCGGATTTCAGTTGCCAGCACTGTACAACTGAAAATAGACAATATTGTTGCTGGGCATTGCACATGCAATTCTATATTGCTCGAAATCCCGTGGTTGCTGCGATGCTGTTGCATGATACTTTTCTGTTGTTGTATGAGTCGTGTCATGAATGCAGAGTACAGTACTGGCCTCCTGTGTGTGAAGTCTCTCTTGAGTCATGGCATGGCTGTGATTTTCACACACGACTTGCGCGCGATGTCAGTTGAAAAAGCTGTGAATGCAACACCGTGCTGTAGCTGCCATTACAACCGTGTATAGCCGCTGTTAATCTGCACTGTTGACGGATACCCAGTTCCACAATTGGGCTACTATTATACAATGTAGTATGTACTGAATAACTCATTGTTGTTTATCTAATACCGAGTTCCTGTTTGTTGTGGCATGCTGTGTTGTTCTGCTCAGATTTCCTCACAACACACTGCGGAGAGTGTACAGTCACCACTTCAGCTGGCCTCATTGTTCCTTTTCCTCTGCAAGAACTGCCAGAGGTAAAAGATCTTGCGACACATATGAGTAATCCAGTGCAGGGCATGCGCTAAGGATTAAAATATGCTCTGACACAATGTCCTGCCAGTTGCAAAAATGGCCGGACATGTCCGGACATGCAACTTTCACATCAAATCACACAATGTTCAGTGTAGAATTAATACCATCGAAATGTTATCACGACGATGCATTTCAGAAGCAGCATGATCTTTGAAGGCTGACGTTTTCAGGTTCCTTGAGCCAACGACGAAGGAGTCAGATAAATTCTTGCTGCTGCGAATTTTATCAACAAAACGGGAACACATCTTACACTTCAAATTTTCGACAATGCTACGATTTGAGGGACTGCGCTCATAGCTCAGCCAAACAGAAGTAGTTGAAAGCTCCCTATCATACTCAGCGACCCACTTGTCACAAGTGGTCGTCTTGACTCGTCTGGGCTTCTTTCCAAGAGGAGCACCCGCATCAGCGGTGCTTGGCTTTCTCTTGCCAGACGACATCACTAATGACTATGCAAGGGCGTCGGAACCGCACCGGCCGGGGCGGCCATGGCCGCCCCACTTTTTCGGCGTTTTTTTATATTTTTTTTAACACACTGCAACAAAGCGCGATGATCTCAGCGCAAACGTGGCAAATCCTTGTCCCCGATCGTGGTTTGTTGCAGAATCAAAAGTCCATGTACACTGAAATGGCACCAAATGCCTGGGAATGCTTGCAATTGGCTTCAATTTTTGAATTTTTTTCCCGGGGGAGGGTAATGTTTGTCCCCGATCGTAGCATCTTCTTGGTTTTTTGCAGAATCAAAAAGTCTTTCATTGTAGTTACCGTACACTGAAATGGCACCAAATGCCCGGAAATGCTTGCAATTGGCTTCAATTTTTGAAATTTTTTCGGGGGGAGGACCCCCGGACCCCCTTCCATGGCCGCCCCACCTCCAAAGTCGTTCCGACGCGCCTGCTATGAGACAAAGGATTGAAGTGCCTTTCTTTTTTGTACTTTGCAAAAAGGTGCGCGGACACTTTGTCCGGATATGTACAAAACATCCGGAAACTGACCGTAAACGGTCGGAAATTGTCCGATGTCCGACCGTTATTTCGCGCCCTGCAGTGTTGCCCTGCATTTATGGGCAGTATGACGAGTCATTATGGTTCAATGTGTTGATGTAACTGGTATGAATAATGGGCTTCAAGGAACTTTGAAAGGTGGCCTATTTATTGTGCTTGTGTAAGCATGCATTGCTGGTATGTACATCTTGCCAACTTGATTGCTTGTTGGTACCTGTTTGTGTGCTGGTCCGTGTGAAGGTCCATTCTTGCCCCTGAACAGGTACTGGACTCTCTGGCGTCATTGCTTGTGCACGCCTTCCAAACAGACCGTGCTGTTGTACAGCTTGCCTGGCCAAACCTATCCGCGTCTCTGCTTATCATCATTCGTTTAGTGCGCAGATATCGCAGTAAGTGCCCTGTAGGACGATTGCAGTGGCGGATCCAGGACTTGGCCGAAGAGGGGGCCCAAGGTATCCGCCGCCCCCCCCCCCCAAAAACAAAACAACAAAATTAATACAACAACAAAGTCCTGAAGTTGTGAAGAGCTGTTGTATTTAGGGTCCAGCGGATTCTGCCGGCAGAAAAATTGGCAGAATTCGGTACTTTTTCTGGTAAGTTTCATGCATGTTTGGTATGTGGATAAAAAAAATGGAGCAGAATTCGAGGAATTGCCCGCCATAAGGTTTGTATGGTTCTGCCAATTTCACTGTTTTTCGAGCAGAATATGCCACCTTTTCGAGCAGAATCCGCCGGTCCCTAGTTTTATTCCATTCTCACGACATTTTCAAACTGCACTGGAACATTTCCACTCGACAGCGGCCGCGACGGACCTTTGGACGGCTCTTCAACGCGAGCTCTCTTATCTACCGGTCCACTGAAGAACGACCTGATGTCAGACGCTTTCCTCTTCATCGCATATCTGAAGGTAACCCGTTGGCTACAAGCGAAGTAGAGAGCTAGAGAGCGTTTAGTTTCTGACAAGTGAAAAAGAAAAAAGGAAGGACGAAGTCGACAGCACCGTGCACCATACAGGACTTCAGCCCAATGCGATCGCTGCACTACTAGTATGTACCAGGCCCTGCATTTTTGGCACGTTTTTCACATGTTTGAAGTGCGGCCGTGTCCTCAGGTCGCAGTGCGTACAGTAGTTGTACACAGCGCGCTGACTAGTACAGTACAGTGCTAGTGCGTGACCCCGGACACGTATAGAAGTACCCAGCACGCGTGACCCACTTGACACGCCAAGTCATTTCGAGCGCTCATTCTATAAATGTTCTACAGTCTACTGTAATCCTAGACCAAGGTCGAAATTTTCAAAGGGGGGCCCAGGCCCCCTGCCCCCCCCCCCCCCCCCTGGATCCGCCACTGCGATTGTGTTCCTTTTCGCTCTTTGATCCGTACACGCTAAAGTTCAACGTGTTACCAGTTTTGTTTGCATGCAGTCTGGCCAGGAAAATTGTAGCAATATGATTCACAGATATGGCTTTACCCGTGCACGCACACACACACACGCACACACACACACACACACACACACACACACACACACACACACACACACACACACACACACACACACACACACACACACACACACGTACACACAGGCACGCGCACGCGCACGCACACACACACATACACCTGGTTGTGGTCTTGTAGTTTTGTATTACCCATAGCCGCCATTGTCAGGGACTGTTGTACGGTTGACCTACTTGTAGTATTCTGCTACAGTCTGACTCTGTACATGACGTGTGTGACCTTACTGCTGCTGTTCCCATATGCTCTGACTCAGAACCACCGCCCGAGGCTGTTGGAGATCTCCTGCAAGTATTCTGTCAGTGTTTACATGCACTACGTGACAATGTTGCAACCAAGAACAGCCAGGTCAGTTGAGTTGATGCGTGAGGGAAAGAAAATGGACTCCTGTGTGGCATGGGTGTTGAATGTCTGTAGGTATGTACAAAGCTAAGTTGCTTGTGTCTTTGGGAGTGCTCAATGCAACAAAGCAGAGCTTACAAAGCAGTTGACAATGGTGTCTGTTCTTGTCCAAACACAGCTGATGGTTTCACTTTCTGAATTGTGCTATTTGAAATTTTGTTTTTGTTGCTGTGTGCTGTGTGCCGTGTACTTGCAGGCACTGTTGACGTCTGTGTATGTCCTGTGTGAGCTGATTCCCTGGTTGCCGACTTCATCACCTGTATGGCGATCAGCTCTGGATCAGTTTGCTATCTGCACTCTGCTCACTCATATACTCGAACACTGCTTGATGGTAAGCAGCAGCGACGGCAGCAGCTATCACCATTTTAGTGCATGATGGCAGGGTCATGTAATATGAAAACTTAGTTTTTTTGTTTTGGAATACTAGTATTCATTGGTTTGAGGGTAAGATGCGAACAGGAAAAGTCTGAAGAAACAATTGACTGTCGCCACCAGGATTTGAACCGGGGACCATCGCCTATGGCTAGTGATGCTCTTTGTTTTTTAGGGTGACATAGTGTGTGTGCTGATGCGAAAGTATGTCGAACTTGAGAGGCCTCACTCACTCACACCATGCTGCTTGTTACTTGTTAGTGCTTACAATGTATATGTAACAGTTATACTTCAGTATGCATGTACTTTGGACTTTCTGTCTCTTCGCTATTCTTTACTCTACTCAGTATCACTATCAGCCTGTGTGCTTGCCACATCTACTCTCTGAATGGCGTTTGATTGTCAATATCTTGATTTGTAGCTTTGCAGTCAAATTGTTTCTTACTTTCTTGTGTTGACTTTCTGTCCTGTTGCTGCAGACTAGAGAGCACCCTGAACTGGTGGAAGCCATTCTGTCTCTCTATGTCGTTCTCTCTCAAATACCAAAGGTAAAGGCCGAGGAGGAAATAACAGCTTTGTCTGGCTATTAGTATTCAGAGGCCATTGATGTCATTTGTATGATGGCAACAGATTGCTGTTGAGCAAAGGATCATGCATCGAAGGGCTCTGTTACCTCGACTCTTTCTGGCCACTTGATGTTTTCAAGAACCCTTGTTTCAAAGTTGTTTATCGTGTTAATGGTATCCCATGCAATCTGACCTATTGACACATACTCTTTGTGTTTTCACGGGTGCATTTTGTATGTGTGTGTGTGTGTATGTGTATGTGTGTGTGTGTGTGTGTGTGTGTGTGTGTGTGTGTGTGTGTGTGTGTGTGTGTGTGTGTGTGTGTGTGTGTGTCCATGCATGTGTGCATGTGTATGCTTACGGCATGCTTTTGTGCGCGTGCACGCGTACGCAGGGCGCAGAAGCCGTTGCAAGTCCATCTCTAGTGCATCAGTTATGTCTTAGTCTTGCGCGGGTACTGGCTATGCAGACAATGTCCAATGGAGCATCGGCCACGCACAGTGCATGGGACAGGCCGACTTCAGTGAGTAAAAGAAACAAACCGAATGATATTGTGCACTTGTATCTTGTGTATGGCAAGCTGCTGCCAGGAGACATTTGTGCATTCAGATGCTTATGTTCTCTATGTGACATGTTACACCTGTGTCAAAGACTAGTTCTGGAACATGCTTTGCTGATTGCTGTGTTTGATAGTGTACCTACAGTCCCATACTGGTGTATTGCTGTGTTTCCGTGCTGTGTGTTGAGAAGGTGGCACGTTTGGTACTGATTTCATGTGTGTGTATGTGTATGTGTACGTGTGTGTGTGTGTGTGTGTGCGTGTGTACGCGTGTGTACGCGTGCGTGTGTATGTGCATGTCGTTCAGGCCCATGCCGTGCAGCAACACACAGCTACAAGTTCTATGACTTCTGGCGCGATGGCCAGCGCAGGTGCCGCAGCAGCATCATCATCATTGTATGCTACTGTTACATCCGCAGCTGGTGGCGAGAGCAATGGCGGCATTAGCAACAGCAGTGGCAGTGGCAGCAGCGGTGTGGGTGTGGGTGGCAGCAGCACACCTGCCACTAGCTCTATGGTATGGTTCAGTGTCTGGTCACTGGCACTGCAGCTGATCACCAATATTCTCACCGCACTGCGACATCACTTCATACAGTCTGCACTGGATTTTGTGTGTGCACATCAAGAACGCCTGGCTGAGGTAAGATCGAGTTCCTTCACATCTTCTGCTTCTTATTCCTATTCAACTTTTTTGCTGCTACGTCTGCCTTTCCATGGGATGTTGCTGTACTATCCCCCTGTTTTGGCAATCCCATTATCCCACCCAGACATGTGCACACTCTGTAGGATGTCAGCATGCATGTGCACACTCTGTAGGATGTCGGCATGCATGTGCACACTCTGTAGGATGTCAGCATGCATGTGCACACTCTGTAGGATGTCAGCATGCATGTGTACTGTTACTATTGTATACCACTATGTATGTGTATCAGTGTGTGTGTATGTGTGTGTATGTATGTGTGTGTGTGTGCGTGCATGTGTATGTGTATGTGCGTGTATGTGTGTGTGTGTGTGTGTGTGTATGTGTGCGTGCGTGTGTGTATGTGTATGTATGTATGTATAATGTGCAGACTCTGGGTTTCATCTCAACACACTGTATTGTGAAGCGGCATGTGGATGTAGTGCGTCATACCACGGCTCTATTACACTGCCTCAGCGCCTTCCATCACCAGTGGCACCTGACTATCCCACAAAACTTCAACGTTCTTCAAGTATGGCAATTTTGTCTAGTGTGCGTGCGTGCGTGCGTGCGTGTGTAGAGGAGGAGGAGGATGGGTTGGGGAGTGGGCAGTGCACTTCTATTTGGCCCGTGATCATGCTCAATAACTCTATATAATCGTCTACATTATGCTCTAGTGTATAATCGTCTACATTATGCTCTAGTGAATACTGTACCCTTTGCAGGATCTCTGGACTTGTGCATAGGCTGTAACACAGGACACAACCCGTATGCACCATGTACACGTACAAGCCGGGCCTGAAAACAACGACAGCAGTGGATACTGGATACTGGATAGTTTGCATTTTGAACTTGCATGAACCTAAAAGTCCTGACCAGTGCCAAGGTTTTGCAGGGACCTACGAAAGGACTGCACATGTCGAGTGTGCGTTGTTGACTGGTTTGCTGTCTGTGCTTGTGTAGGGTGAAGTCCTGCGTTTGTGTCATCGCTGTTGCAGCCTACTGAGTCGACCCAAGCTGCTGTCTCGACTAGCAGAGGTGAGTGTTCATTTGTGAATTGTGATTGTGTGCACCATGTGTTATGCGGTAAGGCCTGTGTTTACTGCACCCTGTCTCACACACAATCCTGTCTTGACGGAGCAAGTTTTGATGCACTGATGTACGGGTACTGACCAGTCATGGCAACAAGCACACTCGTATCATATGAAGAAAAAAAAGGAAAGAGCTAAAAAACAGACAGGAAGTTTTGGCCCAAGTCTCATGTTTACATGTAGCCAGCGGATTTCTATCTGTTCCTTACAACACTATTGCCAGTATTTTGCTTGCACTCTCCCAAGAAGAAACAAGATGGTATGTGTTGTGAGTTGGGACTTTGTCGAGTGTTGCTTGCCGCTCCCTGGCATCTTGCCTCTATCTTCCATCACTTCCATTATCTGTTGCTATTTTCTAGTGGTGAAACAAATGTCAAAACCTAGTAGCCGAATATTCTTTTGCTTAACAAACGAACGTACGAATATTCTTTTTGTAACACGGATGACATCACATGCCCTCCTCTCAGTCATTTGATGGATATTGTCATTACTTTTAGGTATGACAAACGGTAGTGCCACATAAAATGCACTGCCACATATCCTTACTTCGAAGTTCATACATGTTATGTGCAACATTGGCAGTCTAGTATGCACATACATGTGCAAACATGTAGCACAAAGTCATAGGCAGGCTATACGCACTGCACTGTACTGTGTTTGGCGTGCATGTATGTACATGTACTGCATTCGAAGTGACGTCACGAATACTCGAATGCGACTTATTATTGAGAATATTCGAATGTGACCAACCGAACGAATGTTCGAATACTCAAATATTCGTTTCACCACTACAGTATTTTCTGCTGTATTCCAAATTAGGTCCCCTCCTCTATTCTAAATCTTCCCTTTTCTCCCGTGCTTTTTACCCCCATGCTTATGCTTTCCTCCCAATTTGGTGCTCCTGCCATTCGAAGATGCCGAGACCTCTGGTCAGTTGAGCATGGCAGGCCTCACCAGCACCATTTCACCCCATGCTAGCCCCATGCTAGCCCCATGCTAGCCCCATGCTAGCCCCATGCTAGCCCCATGCTAGCCCCATGCTAGCCCCATGCTAGCCCCATGCTAGCCCCATGCTAGCCCCATGCTAGCCCCATGCTAGTCCCATGCTAGCCCCATGCTAGCCCCATGCTAGCCCCATGCTAGCCCCATGCTAGTCCCATGCTAGCCCCATGCTAGCCCCATGCTAGCCCCATGCTAGTCCCATGCTAGTCCCATGCTAGCCCCATGCTAGCCCCATGCTAGCCCCATGTATGTGCCTGCCGGTGAGTTGTGTATCTTGTAAAAAAAATAAAAAATAAACGTATGTTTGTTAATTGCCATTTTACGTATGTTTTTGTTTGTGTTTGTGTTTGTTTGCTTGTGTGCATGTGCGTGCTTGCGTGTATGTGTATTTGAAGTCGGGTCATGACATTGGCCACTACGACACTAGTCAGGCTCGGCTGATGCTTCGTCGCTTGTCTGCCTCACCGCCTGCTTCCCAGCGCACTCCCAGCACTGCGCAGGCCTCTGCAGGCCTCGGCAAGACAGGTACTGTGTCTACAAGTAACACTCAAGTCGTTCGTGGACTCGGTGCGTCGTCTTCTACAAAGAGTAATGCTTCACCAATTGCAGATCAAACAAACATTGTGTCATCGACCACAGGCGACGATGGTGACGATGATGACGATGATCGTGCAAGGTCCAAGCGAAAACGAGGCAGTCTTGCGACCGGTGGTTCGGCTGCAGCAACAGCGTCGTCTCTTCTCAAGACGACGACAGCATCTACCTCATCTGGCTTGACGCTGGGATCTTCAGCAGCGCTGTCCCAGATGAAAACCAGCACTGCATCGTCCTTGTCCAGCACAGCTGGTGCATCTAGCACATCTAGTAGTAGCACTGGCACATCGAACAGCAGCAGCAGCAGCACACAGCCACAGTCTATACCTGTAACAACAGGCAATGCAGGCAGCAGTCGCGGGCTGCGGCGTTCGCGCTTGTCTTTCAGTGAAGAAGACCCAGAGCCAGAGCAGGTCAGCCAGAATGCTCTCAACCTGCAGCGTTGGTGAGTTTACTGTTAGCTGGCTTTCAATGTGTTCTCTCAATGCAGAACATTTGCTGCTATTGCTGCTCAGTGAAATCCAGCCCCGTCACTGAAAATGAGTCAGCGCTGTGCCTAACACAAGTTCCCAACTACCTCTGTGAACACCGGGCTGTTCACTGATGCAAGATGCCAGCTTGCTCATGAGATGAAACTGCCTTTAGTTGAGCACAACTTCATGCGTACATGATTGTACCTTGGATAGTTTTGAAGCGGTTTGTGTAGCATAGATAGTGTTGGAGATGTAGATAATGTCACCAGCTATTCTAAGGCATACTTGCCAACCCCTGGCAAACAGTTTCCTTGACACCGATGAGGTTTTCCTTGATTTTGCCCATTTTTTCCTTGATCTGCACAAACATTCGCAAATAGTACAGCATGTATGACAAAACGTACTTATCTTGTTCAAGCGCTAACTCAAGAGTTTTTGCTTGCTATAGAGCTTCGTTGTGGGCATAACACTTGTAGCTGCTATGCTCACTATCATTGAAAAAACTGAAAATCAACAAAAAAAGGTGCTGAGGGACATTTTTCGAAAATCCGGTAGATGTTAGAACTTTTGCCATATTCCGGGACGAAAGTGAGTTTTCCTGGATTTTCCCGGAAATTCCGGTAGGGTTGGCAAGTATGCTTTTAAAGGTTGCCTTTTTCTATCCTCACGATCACTATTCTGTGTGACTTGCTGAATAGACTTCGCCACATGCTGTACATGATTGACTACTAGTATGTTGTAACTTGCGGGCATGTCACAGGTCAGATTCAAGGACACTTTGTGTGGCGGGCATCTCCCGCCTTGCCTTGCTGGCTTGGGGATGTTGAAGAATGAACTGATTTCTATAAGTGCTACATCCCGATTGTTCTTCACCTTGGCTCGCTTGGAAGGTTAATTTGGGGCAATACAGGCTACCGAAAAATGGGCATACCAGTAGATGATGGAATGGGCATACCAGTAGATGATGGAATGGGCATACCAGTAGATGATGGAATGGGCATACCAGTAGATGATGGAATGGGCATACCAGTAGATGATCGAATGGGCATACCAGTAGATGATCGAATGGGCATACCAGTAGATGATCTTGTACGTGTACTTGCCACTTATACATACCACCACTCATTCTTGTCCCAATGTATGTCATGTGCCCGTGTATTCTCTTACAGCTTGATCCACATCATCGGGGACTGCTTGGGATTCATCCAGCGCCTCACACCGTCGATCTCAGACATTCTTCTCAACACCGTGAGTGCATGTTGGTGATTGTTGACTAGCTGTGCAACACAGTGTCCTGAGTGTGCAACATCTGCAGCCAGGAATGTATATCTCCTCCCATCCGAGCTTTAGGCTACTTCTTGGCAAATAATTGTTGTCCGAAGCCTTCCTTCCTTCCCTAAACTTTGGAAAACTGCTTTACTGTGACTGGTGACTAAGCCCCGACTTGGTAGAGACCGATGGCAGTGAAGACTCACACTGTGGACTGTCTCATTTTTGCCATAAATTGTCAGTGAACACTCGCAGTGTTTGAAGTAGAGTCATTTTGTAACATATTGTATCTATGTCTGGAACTCTATTGCTACCCAGGTGGTGACAACTTTGTTAGCCACGAGAAAGATTTCTGTTCTTTGTTTTGTGTGTGTGGTCCTTCACTGTTTTGCCAGGCGCTGGACAAAGCAGATAGTCCGCTCTTGTTCACGTGTAACTTTGACACTGTCCCTTCACTGGATGAACACGATAGTGTTTCTTTCGGCGATGCTGTTGCTTGTGTGGAAGCCTGCATCAGGTTTCTACCACGGGTACGTTGTGTGTTTGCTATGGCTTTCGCAAATGGTGTTGTGATTTTGGATGCTTAGCTTTTACCCCATCGCATCTGTAGTTCCGTGTGCTTGGTATTGGTGCCTTCCCCGAATAGTAGGTGCTAGAATTCTCCTGTGGTACGTGCTACTCGCTTGCTTGCTGATGTACGTTTAGCATGCTACTGTAAAGCGAGTCATGTTTGCGACGTGTACAGTCATGTTTGCAGTTTATGCCAGGTGTGCCAAAGCCACACACATCCCGAATCACCGGGTATGGAGTCACGAGGCTGTAACGCAATATCAAGCATATCAGACTTCCCCTGAAATCGCAAACTTTGATTTTCGCACCTTCGAATAGAAATGAAACTAATTTTCATCTGACCTTTGTTGAAACTTCAATCGCAATCGTATATTGATGCCAACTGGCGTCAACTTCTAAAATGCAAGGACTTGTTGTCGCGCACATTACTTGCCGTGCTCTTGGACTCGGTATACTCGGTGTAGTCAGTGTAACAAGTTGATGGCACGCTATCATACCTTGTTTGTTCTTGAGCTGTATGACTGTACATGTATGTAGACCAATTGTCTACACCGCCGTGCCGCTACTAGTACGTTGTACTCTTCTATGGTTGTGTTGTGCTCAAGTAACGCTGCTTGGACTTGAGTATGTGTGTGTGTGTGTTCTAGCTTTCGGTCATCATTGAAAACCATCTGTGTTTGTGCGTGCGTGCCTGTGTTTGTGCATGCGTGCATTTGTGTTTCGTTCAGGGCGCCTCATCGCACGTCACCTCTCCCCGTAAGGCACGGCGGCTGACCAAGGAAGTTGGATCACCAACTAAATCACCAACTAAGTCACACTCCTCCAAGTCCACGATGCATGATCGGTGAGATCATACTTTTCAAAGCACTTCTGAAGTGTTTGAAATTTTGTTATGGTATCATTTGCCATCCTACTTGAGAATTAACTGTATGAAAGCCATATACCTGTGTACTGTGTACTGGTGACCATTATACATCTGGAGCCTACATCACATGCATTCCACTTTTTACTTCAAGTACTGTTGACCATTATACATCTCCAGCCGACATCACATGCATTCCACTTTTTACTTCAAGTACTGTTGACCATTATACATCTCGAGCCGACATCACATGCATTCCACTTTTTACTTCAAGTACTGTTGACCATTATACATCTCCAGCCGACATCACATGCATTCCACTTTTTACTTCAAGTACTGTTGACCATTATACATCTCGAGCCTACATCACATGCATTCCACTGTGTACTTCAAGTACTGTTGAGTGCTTGCCTTGACATGACACACAGTGTATGTGTGATTGTGTACCCACATGTGCTTGCAGTACTCAAGTCATGTACGTGGTGGAGTCCGCCCTGCTTGTACTGATGGTGCAGGCAGGTAGTTACCTGCGACATCCCGACATGGATGCTGACCAGAAGAGAGCCATGCAGTGGGAGCTCAGCTCTATGATGGTATGATTTACCCTCGAGTCTGTTACTGTGCGATGTTGCTGCTGGTTAAAGCACAATCCACAAGGTCATTCTCTGTGACATGCGGCTTGCGACACTTACGGCAAGAACTTGCCTATTGTACATGTACGCTGTCACACATAGGTGTAGTTAGGGAGGTTTCGCTCTACGGAATTACGTATGAAAATAACGTTGGAACTGCACGTAATTTTCATACGTAAAAATCAGAGCTGTTGGGTTTAGCTCTACGTGATTTCTCCACGACTGCTAAACATGCCTTGTTGCTTGGAGACGCGTTGGCTGCATGCGCCCACCGCATGCACTACGAACCGAAACCGCGTTTTCCATCTTATTTTGTACGTGGTGTACGGTGTGTGTACCTTGTGTTTCGCGCGGCTTGAACTTTGCCCTGGATAAATCCGGAAATGCGAAAAAATATTACAATAAGTCCTACAGAGGACCCAACGTAGGAAAGAGCTTTCCTACGGAAATCCGCAGAGAGATTTACGTATGAAAGTTGCCCTCGCTCCCCGGCGCGTACGACATACGGATTTTCATACGTAATTACGTACAGCGAAACCTCCCTGTTGTCTCCGAAAGGTTCTCACTATACACAAGAGTACATAAACCAGAGTGTGCAACTGTGCATATCAGATCTGAAACAGCGCAGTTCGTGCACTACGTCACCCTGATGAGGGCAGCCAAGCCACCACTTGCGTGCAGCTCAATTTTTCGGGTTTCACAGCTCGGAAATCAGCCTAGTTTGCATGATTTTAGACGTCCTGTTTTAGGATTTCGGTGTTTTTGTGTGACTGCATGCCCTGCGTACATCCACTGGCAAGTAAATTCACCAGGCTATCCGCATCAAAAAACCGAAATCAGGACAAACTCAATGACCTGCACCACCGTGACTAGTTACACAACTTTTCACCGTACCTGTGGCTTACCATGCCATCAGAAATGACGTACTGCACGAATTACGCTCCCACAGGAACCATCCCGAGTTGCACACTCTGGTTTATGTACTCTTGCTGTACAGTATTGTTTTTTTTAACTGTTACAGACTTTTGTCATATGGAGGATTTGCCCTTGTTCATACTCTGCAGTGCCACATGTACTTGAAGTATGCAAGACATTGGCAAATCATGCTGGAGTGTCATATGAAACCCAGGGGAAACTTACTTTGAAGTACATGTAGTAGTGACTGTCAACAGACATTCTCTGCTGCCAGTCGCTTGTATGAAGGGAGCGTGTGCCCTTACAGCGAACTTTTCGCCACCTATTGAAAGGTTGAAGTCCACGTTGATGGGGGATCATGCAACCCTGGAGATGGGAGAGTTGGAGTAGATCTACCGGTATATTGCTGAAGGACACCTGACCTGTTGCAGCAGGTCACAATTCAATGGGCATATGTTTAGATGGAATGGATGTACGTCTGAAGTAGAGTCAAATAAATAATACTTGTTTTATTGCTTTCTGTGTATGTGTTCAGGGCAATCTGCTATCGTTGCTCTCTCGTCAACTTCACACACGTAACGCAGCTTCATCTCCTGAGTACAAGAGTTCCCGTGATGCGTCTCTTTTCTCAATGGAGAATAGTGAGCAGTCTTTCCTGGCATTGGCTGAGGCGTTCGTCAAAACAGTGCTGCACTAGCAGGATCCGTGCTGTAATTATCTCCCTCACTTTGCTGACTTGACTTCTCCTTGATGCCTCTACAACTCATACTTGGCTATTTGATTTGAAGTGCTGAAGGACTGCTTATTTGGCAGTTTGCTGAACATTAGGTCGCTTCTCCTTTTCAGAATGTAGCAGTGTTGTGTGACTGCCTGACCCTGTTTTTTTTTTAAATCTTTCCTTTCAACATGCTTGTGTACATACCCAATCCTGTTTGTTCTGTTCTGTGTGATCTAGCTCTTCTGGCACTTGTTTGATCATCTATCTCTCTCTCTGTCTGTCTCTTCTTTCATGCACTGTTTATCATGGTGTAGAAACCCCACGTGTAGCTGCTGGCAGTGAGAACACACTACAATTGTACTGATATCCATGACCAGATTCTAAACATGGCCATCCTGCATTCATACATAATAGTAATACAAACAGTACCCAAACTCGTGAAACTGTGTCTGATCTGTCCATCGTTCTGAAAATTTATTTTCTTTCGCTTTGAACCTGGGTCTAATAGTTTTGTCAGATGAACACAGTTGCAGTGATGTCCCTGAATACTGGATTTATACGTCTCCTTTTTCATTTTTTCAACAATGGACGACTGTCAAATCTGAGCATGTGTTCAATGTTGGAACTGAAGATGGATTGTAGAAAGGAGGAAGAAAATGCACTTTGTTGAAGCTATCAATAACAGTAAAACACACACACAAATATACTGTGGGTGACATTCACCAATATGAAAGCTAGAGGCAAGGATAGAGGCAAGGATGGCATGCAAGGGTGGCATGCAAGACAGCCGGATTGAATACAGTATAAAAACCCACCATAGTGAAAACGATAAAAACTGACCAAGCTGTAGCGTCAAATTAATCAGCAGAACCCATAGGTTATAGCAGCAGCAGCAGCAGCAGCAGCAGCAGGGACAACCACTGCCTGTGTACAGACAAACTAAGTGACTGCAGCACACAGGACCACGCACACACACGCACACACACACACACCCTCACGAGCAAACAACGTCGGTAGCTGAGGTATCAAGATTCCATCTTGATAGGCTTCTCTGCAGAGCTTACACTGTCTTTGACTGCTGATGCAGGAGCAGCAGTTGTATTAGCTGCACTACTGGCAGAGGCTGGTAGAGACGCAGAAGAACCAGCTGGAGTAGATGATGCTGCTGCCGTGGCAGATGGCTGGCATGCCGTTTCTTTATTCCTGGCCAGGGTCTCGTGGACAACCGGTACATTGATAAGGAAAATGAAGGACAGTGAACATACCTCCACGATGCAGTTGTGATGTAAGCGAGCGCGCTCCAGTGGCAGAATGGGCTGGCCATTGACATAGATGGCCCGTTTGCCTTCACATGTCAGGTAGAAGTGTGCGTCGTCCTGCAGCTGAACAGTGGCGTGTCGACGTGATACTTTGAATGCTGGCCCTTCCAGCGACAGGTCTACATCGACCGTATGGTCCACTGTGTTGCGCCCTATGGTCATGGACAACGAGCGCATAAGGTAGCGCACGTTGACGCCGCGCAGTACAGCCAGTGTCAGCTGATCCATCTCCATCTGCCCGGTGGAGCCCTCCAACATCTCCTGAAATTTTGGCAGGTCAGACTCCAATTGACGAATGGCAGCCTTCTGCTGGCGATCGACTTGAGCAAGTTCCTTCTCGCGATTTGGGTCTGTGCTCATCTCGAGCAACTCTTGATCATTAAGATGATCTTCAGTATCAGTGAACATCATGATATGATCGTCATCCAGTACCTTAGTACCCGGATGCAGCCGCTTAGCACGCATCTGAAGGAAGTGATAACGCAGTGCCTTGGCTGTGCGACGCGGATGGAAGATGGACCGGTGCTGCGCTAGCAGGTTGGTGAAAGTACTGAGCTCGGCAGCATCATTGTACGGCACAGTGCCCAGAATGTTCTCCTCTTCAACGCTCCACAGCACGTTTGACGTGGCAGCTGCCTGCTGTTCCGGATGCAAGTCGCGTATACGGGCCATGGCCAGACGACTGGCTCGTGCATCGTACAACAATGTATGCCAGCGTTCCTGGATGTCATGAAGGCTGAAGCTACAAGAGAACTTTACACCGATATGCACAAGATTTAAATCATTGGTTTGCTGGACAGCAGTTATTAACGACAGGTCATCAGATGCCAGCCATCGTCCAACTTCCTTCACCGGCTTAACCTTCTTACTCAGCTTGCGATAGGTTGCCTTCACCGGGGGTGTTTTCTTTTCTCCGCCGCTCGATGTCTTGCCAGCAGCACCAGCACCCTGACTGCTAGTTGACGTTGCTGCCGTCGTCGTTGTTGTCGTTGCTGCTGCTGTGCTAGAAGAAGCACTGCTACTGCTGCTGGCAGCGGCAGCAGCAGCTTGCGACTGACTGCCTGGCTTTCTGCCTGGACCGGATTTCTTCGTTGTCGACTTAGCAACAGGAGTTTTCACAGGGGCTGGTTGTTTAGCTACAGGCGTTTTCACCACTGGTGGCTTGACAGGAGCAGCACTGCTTTCCACAACCTCGTCGTCGAAACGTTTTCGTCGTATCGGTCTAGACGATGTCCTACGTTGAGGGGCTGGCGATGGGTTCTTCTTAGACTTCTTGGCCAAGGACTCCAGGTCACTTGATGCAGATCGTTTAACAGGTGACTTTACCCGCACTTGACCATGCAATGCACTAGAACTACTGCTAGGAGACTTCATGACTGCGTGCATTGATCTGGCACTGACATCCCTTGGTGGTGATTGAAATGCAACGGGAGATCTCAGACCACTTCCAGTGGCCGTAGTCTCAGATGAACTGGACGTTGCCGCAGACGTTGCAATAGGCTCCCCATCCATCCTTCCAAACCTCTCCCGTCTATCAGTACTAAACGGTTTTCGAAATCTCAGCTCGAACAATTAGAATTTCATAAAGAAATAGGATTGCTTGTTGAAAGTCGCTGAAAGGTGCATTCAAAGTGACTACAGAAACACATCAATGAATGCGTTAACGTCGGTCAAGCTACAAATGAAGAAGAGAAGCACTCAGACTAGGGTTTCCAGTACAGTGTCAGTAGCCACTGCTTGGAACAAAGTATTGGTACGAACCGACTTCATTCGGTTTCTCTGGTCTTTTTTGTTGTGCTTTCATGATGCATAATCACTGTACCTACCCTATGCATGAGCCTAGGCTATGTACCTGATGTACAGTCCTGTACTGCTGTAGCTGTGTAGATCTACTATACGTGTACGTGTGCTTTGGCTTTTGCTTTGTATCAAGTCAAGAGTTATGAACTCTTGTGTGTGGCTAGGCTGTTGTTTGCTGTTTCTTGTGTTATGTGGAAGGCCCGCGATACCTGACTGAGCTGCTGGATGCATGCTTGGCCCGGCCCGCGCGGCGCGCGCCTGTTACCTCGCTGAAGTGTCACTGCGCCGCCGCGACGCAGACTCAAAAGTATCGCTAACTAGCGCACGGAGCGCGCAGCCGGGGTTTTATAGCGCGCCCTGCGCAGTCATGATTCAATAGACATCCTTAGCAAAAGTACGATAACGCTAATTTTTACGGTACTCACTCCCAGCCGTGACAAAAGACGTTATCGGATAACGGAAAAACGTTACAGAGCTCAAAATAACGGGCCGACGTTCGTTATGGAAATTCTGCAAAAATGCAAAAACTCGCATTGTTTTGTAACTGGCGGGAGATAAAAAGCACGTCGTGCAGATCGAGATGAGATCGAGAGTCGAGATTGCTTCCTCTTGTGACATTTAGCTTTTTTGGCGAGTTTTGCCTTTCAGTTGACAATTTCTGCGTTTTCTGCTTCGTGCCTTTCTCCCTCTATCCCATCTGGAAAACAAAGGACCAGTTCCACGGCACTCCTGAGGAAGAAATTCATCGGCCTCTCCCAGACGTGCTGGAGCTGGTGAACCCTTACAGTCTTCGGTGCTGCGTTTAGGAAAGGGTTTCCAAGGACCTGGGAACAGCGAAAACTCATTTTCCCCGTGCTTTTGCTATTCCAGAGTAAAATACCTCGCCAAGGTATTCTTTCGGAACGACAGCAAACTAATCCCTGGTTCAAAATTTTGAATTTCCCGCACCTGTCTTCACGAAAATTCATATCGCCATGGTTGTCACGACTACTTCGTCTCAACTATAACGTACTTTGTGCTAAGGGAAAAGTCAGCTTGAACGATCTGAAGTACGGAAAGGTTTGCGTTTACGTTAGCGTTTTTTTAGCTAAGGATATCTACTGACATAAAAAGTCATTGTTCGGGTGGGTGAACGACCAATCGGCAATCGGCCATGGCATGAGGCCATGACTACAGTAGTTGACGTCATAAACGATAAAAAATAATGTTGCATATGCATGAGATACATGACTATTTTGTAGAGATATCTCACATCAATTTCAAAAAAATTAATAGAGTTCATTGTGAGGTACCGTAATAGTTAGCACTTCGTTTTCACACGACTCAGCTCAGGCACAGTTACATAATCAGTCATTGCATACACTTTTTGCTGTGCGACCATCTGCACTGGCTGCCTCTGCAGGAATTCCTGACGCTTCGCTCCAGGTTGTTCTGCATTTTACAGGCAACTTCCGGCCATGAACTGCAGATTGCTCACTGCTGCACCACTAGTCCGTTTTAGTTGTAGATTAGTATCTAGAGTAATCCAAACTCCTTGCAGAACGTGTTCCTCTAGTAGAGAGGATGACATAAGGAACTACATAAAAGAATCATACGTCCGAATTGGAAAAGATGCTGCGCCCCCTCCTGTAATACGTGGAGATGTTGTTTATGGTACACTGCCCTGTATGGCAGCAATTTCTGGTCAAAAGCGACGCGTGCATCGAGTGTTTGTACCGTCCTCACTACGTTCCAGGGATGGGAGAAGGGAGCTGACATATGCATTGCAAGACATCCTGGCTACAGTGAGGAATGTTCATCCAACAGCCCTGCATCCATTGCCGGAAAAATATATGTATGAGTGCTTATCCCAATGCGGTGTCCACGAATATCCAGACCATGAAGGCATTGCGTTGGAGCTTGAGCCTCTCCATGCCCGGCCGCTCATCAGTAACAGAGAGCTGTTGAGGATTGCCAACCGGGATACTAAGACTGGTGCACCGCCCTTGGTCCTAGCATGTCCATTTGCCCAAGACATGACTAATCTTGGTCATTTAATACGGATTGCTTACTACTATGGAGTGCACACCGTATTAGTATCAAGCAGATTTCGCCAGGCTCAAGCAATCAATGCTATTGCATCTTCAAGTAGCCAAGGCGCTGTTGATCTTGTTGATATGGTTGCAGTTAAGGGCAAACTGTCCATCAGCTTGGAGGAGTGGAAGCGGAAATTTCGTATCGTTGGCACGGTTGGAATGGGTTATGCAGGGGCAGTTCCTCTGTCAGAATTCAAGCATGACGGCCGCCCTGTACTGCTGATAATGGGCAGTGAATCGAAAGGCATAGCTGATCCACTAGTCGATATCTGCACTGATCTGGTGACGATTCCAGCCTGTGAGGTGAGCAATGAGGCAACCGGCTCTGGGGTTTTAGAGTCTCTCAATGTGTCAGTTGCAGCATCCATTCTTCTTCACCATATTACTTCATCAGCATGATAAGAATTTGGACTGCCCTCCCCTAGACGGAGCATGTTGAACTTTGTGGTGTTGTCATAGCAAACTGGTCTATTTCAAGTAGTGCGTTCAACTTCATTATATTGGCAACATTGACACCGAGAGTTTTGAGTTTAGTACCATCTTGACCTGTACGGCCAATGCTTGAACTTACAGCGTCTTTCCTTGTTTGTTGGTTTTAACTATTCATGTACTAATCGTGTATCATTGTAGTGTGGCGCTGCAGTGCAGCACTGCCAACTGCGATACACTGTGATGAACTAGAAGAGCAGCTCAGTTTGCTCATATCATGCTTTCGCTGTGCGAGGCAGGCTACGATAGCACAATAACTGTGTGTGTTTTTGTGTGTGTGTGTGTGTGCGCGCGCATGCGCACGTGGACCCGACTGCAGCCAGAAGCCGGTTGGCAGGGCTTCGGCCGCGTGCCTGTATGAACTGTGTGTGTATACGGGGTTAAAGCGTTACCTATGAATGTAATCCAAAGTTGTTATATCAATAGGTAGACTCTACCTCAACCAACTATATCTTTTGCAAGAATAAAGCAAGGTGTACCCGGGAAACCATACCCCCTCCCCCCCCCCCCCCCCCCCCCCACACACACCTCCACAGAGTCCTACCGAGTACCAAGGGTCTGAACCAGGGGCACGACCCCTTTGGTTCATAACATTATTATAATTATGGCCACAAGACCGAGACGCAGCTAGCTGGTTCCGGGTTCATTCCGCCTGTTTTATTTGATGGGCTCTCCCGCACTTTTCAGGTGCTTTTCCTAGAAGGGCAGATCGGAGAAGGGGAAGTGAAGAGTGCTAGTGGTCGTATTCAGTAGGGAGTAGACTGCCACAGTGAACTGGTGTTTAGCCCTGAGAGTCAAACCAGTACTGTCCGAGTGTCCCTCATGATCTAGTGAGTTAGTAGTGAGAGTAATCACTAGTAATATTGTAATAAAATTAATATCATCACAACTTACTTGTACTGTTGTAGTACAGTCAGGCCTGCAGGGAGCCCTAATATTAATAGCAAGAGTACTGGGGTTATGTACTCTTGATAATAGTATATAATCATTGTGTACTGACTGTAGCCTATAGTGTAGAGGAGACGGCTCGATACCGGGACGTTTTGACAGCCAAATTTGTATAGACCCAAACCGATCATCAGCGTTGATTTTTCACTCGAAATATGTTTGTGGAAGGAAACTGGCATGTTGAAGTTTGCTCTGGGGCCAGAGTGAATCGAACTGAGCCACTCCTTTGTGTTGACCCATTGCCTCCAAGTTGCCCAATTTTTCGTTTCAAAAAAGTTCAAATCAGAGGTGGCTCCAAACCGGACACGTTTTAGAGTGCCCGTCAAATTCACTCTGGGTCTGAAATTAGGTAATTGCTATCGCTCCACGACGGCCAGTACAGAGTAACAATAAGCCTTGTGTGTGCTTCCATTAGTTTTGATTGGTATGCGGTGCTTTATTGGCGAGAGGCGAGCCGCTGTTTACCTGCGACAAGAAATTGATTTTTCGAAAGTCGTAAAACTCAAGTCGCAGTGCGAAGCAACACGTCAAAAACTCACCTGGCCTGCTTGATATGGCGCTTCTGGTCATCGCAGAGCCATGAAATTTTGGCTCGGAGTATAACACATCGTAGTCTCACTGTGACATATGTTTTCTAATCAAAATACCAAGAGAGAAAGTGAATATTGAGTCCGTTCCGGTTTGCAACCGGTGTCCTATTTGAAACCGTCCCCTCTACTGTGTAGGCTGGCTCCCCCTGGTCATGACTGCATGCACTGCACTGACTCTGTACTGGATTCTGGGTGCTTGGCAACTGACCTTGCGCGTCTCGACGCTGTACGCCACCGGGCGCGGGCCCGCGGGTCGAGCTATAGTACAGTCATACAACATTACAAGGTTGTTCGGGGCCCGGCCCGGGCCGCGTACAAATCAGTTCAAATCGCGCTCCCTCGCTTCACTTCATGAATTATTTTGAGGCAATGAATGAGTTGACATTTTGAAGGATGATTGTTGACGTGCATTGTCCACGTTTGGATGCTGCCATTGAAATCATTTCCTAACATCTTGTCCTAAGTGGGGTACCGGGTCGGGAATGATAGAGGATGAGAATGATGTTTTTCCCTTTCTCCCTGGTAGAACGGCCGTCCAGCCACTGAACGGGTCTTCACCTAGAGCACGAAGTCATTCCTTACTCAGCAGTGTTAATGTACGATCCTTCAGAATGTCCACAAACAGTGACCCTCCGACTGGAGCTGACACCAGCGTTTATGGTGGAAGTGGATCCAATTACTCAAGCCTGCGTCGTTCCTCTTCTACGGAACTATCCCCATTGGATTCAGATCCAAACTCACCAAGAACGCGGCTAGCTGATATATTTAGTGCCAGTCTGGTGTCAAGTGCAGGATATGTTCACATCGAGGTATGTCAGAAAATATTAAAGGGGAAGTTAAGGCTAAAATCAAAATTTCACCAGTTGTAGTCTTCGGGGTGCTGAATCGAATGGTCTTGGTCCGAGGAAGCTGAGACGCTCCCTTCCTACTTTAATCCCAATCGAACTCGCGCACTTCCACCGAAACTGGGTGACTGCGCCCTACTAAATTTTGATTTTAGCCTTAACTTCCGGAATTCCCCTTTAACAAGCCATCTCGTGCTCAATTATTTTGATTATTATTTTTTATTTTGATAGGAAAGTCAAAATCTGTCTCGGATTTCTGAGTACAAAAACAAGTTTCACAAAAGGCACGTTCTTTTTTTATTGAAACTCGGATGGTGAGCCAGTATTATGAGTAAAGAGAAAGGACCAATACGTTACGAGTGTCAGGTCGTCGAATGCCTCAATATCCTTGTCAGTTTTGTGCCTCGTTGTCGCACTATCTGACTGTATAAGATCTCGTTACCTTGGTGGACTGTTAGTAGTCATAGCTCGTAACTTATTGGTCCTTTCTCTTTTTTATTGACTTAGAATTCAACGAGACCTCTCATTCTCACCGTCACTAGATTCACTCTCCGGCCGGCCACAATCATCAAACTAGCTACAAGATGACACCAATTCCAATATTGATCCTTCAGACAGCTGTTTTGACCTATTAAACAGGTTTCATCAGTAAAAGGCTAAAAGCATAAGAATTTGATGGCTAGGATATCAGAATAGTGATTTGGTTGGGGGAGATATATCGAGATTATCGACGCACATGAAAACGAAGAAGGTTCATCAGGACTTCTTAAAATATATAAATTGACATGGCCGTGCTTGATCCCGTTGTTACCACATACTGTATAAGCAGAAATATTCGTCTGGAATTTAATTTCGTCGTTTTCGTCCAACGAGCTTTTGGACTAAATTAAATGTAGGACGAATATCGATTTGTCCAGCGTTTCTATACACTCTTATGATCTATGGACGAAATTTTCAACCGGACGAACTCCTTTTCTTTGGAGTTGGACGAAATTATTGACCGACGAAATTTTCTGCCTCTACAGTACTGGTTTGAAAGTACGTAGTGGTGCAGGTCTGAGGTCTTGACGTCATAACTGTTCTTGTTAGTCGCACGCATAGTGGTTATGATTAAGCGACCGGTACCGTGATACTAAATTTAATACTACTGGCCATGATGCTGGTCTTTTCATGCTATGATTTGACCAGCTAAGCACTATCATTTGGTGAGACAGAAATGATGACAGTGTTGGAGAATGGCTTGTTGGTCTTATCGGATCACAAATGAATGGTTTCTGTTGTGTGTCCGCTATTATTCTCTAGGACAATCCGGAGAGTTCAGCTGAGCATGAAAATGTCACATCGCAGGCACTGTATCGCTGTAAGCAAAAGGTTCTGAAGCCGTATTTGCGCTTGCTCTCGCTGGTAAGTATGCATCTGTGTGTGTGTGTGTGTGTGTGTCTGTGTGTGTGTTTGTGTGTGTGTATATATGTGTGTGCGTGTGTATGTGTGTTCTGCTATATTGTGGTGCCTATCATATGATATTTTCCGCACCTATTGTCAGTGTTATGGTTAGTCCTATTGCTAATTTCTAGTATGTAGCAGGGAGTAGTATTTTACTACTCCCTGGTATTTACGGTTTTTGTACATACTACATGTACAGTCGTGGCCAAAGAAATCCGACCCGCGAGTCAAAAGTAGCGCTGGTTTTCCATTTCAATTACATCATATGCATGTTCCCAAAACTGATTCGAGGGCCGCATGAGCCTTGGCGCTGCTTTCGGCACTTTGGTTGGATTTCTTTGGCCACGACTGTAGTATCTCCATTTGTACAGACGGCCGAATCATGTACTGTATCCTCTGTACATTTACTTATCCCCTCTGTCTGAAATGTTCGCTTTTGCTGCCAGGCTGAAATTTAACATACATGTAGTGTGTAATTTTCAGTTAGTGCACGGCGTACTGCAGTGACCCATGTATGTACACGTAGTGTAAAGTCTTTGCTCGCATGAAGATTTGAAAAATAGATGACCCACTCGGGTCAAGGGCCTGCAGTGTATGAGTCTTCTTTTATTCGCCGTGGACAACATGTTATCGACTGACTGCATTCTCGTATTGTAAGTGGTTGGGGATTTGTGGTCCATTTTTGAATGCTGACAATAAGTTTGGCCCTGGGTTGTTTTTGTGGAAATTTCAAGTATTATTAGTTTTATAATCAGCACACGAAGCACAGAAGCCATATCATTTTTTCGACTAGGCCTTTCATTCCATTACTCTTCAGGTCGAATACAATGGTGATTAACAAGGTAGTAAGCAACTCCTTATAACCGGCACTTTCGGCGGGCAGAGCATTGACAAAAATAGCACTTGAAAAATAGCGCTAGTGGCGCCAACAGCATATTTGGCGGGCAGAGCATAGACTAAATAGCACTTTAAAAGATAGCGCTAGTGGCGCCAAGTACACAGTGAAACAATGAATATTACCAGTATCAGACAACAGTGGGGACCACGGTACTACAATGTCAAAACAGACAACTTTCGCACATACTTCTTTTGCACGCACAGTTCAGGCTTCAGCTTGGCAATGTACACTGCCTCCAGCACAGCAAGGTGAGATTTGTTGCGCGCACGCGCTTGAATGGTGAAGTGAGAGTGGGTGCCATGTTTGCAGACTTCACTTAGGCAGGCTGGTGACGATGTCAGGTGACGGAGTATCGCTGAATCCTTCTCATTATCGTCATTGTCCGTTGGTCCATTCCGGTGGTAGCTATTGTGCATCGCAGTTGTGCCGCTGGCGACTTCTCTGCCGGGCAAGGAGTCACACACTGTTCCACATGCCGATCCTGTATCAGCTGCTTGTTGCAGAGCGTTGTTGCGGAGACGCAGCCGTTCACTTCGTCTCGTAACAGTTGCTGGTGGTTTGATCGGTGTTGATTTTCTTCTCCCTTTGTTGACGGAGACGGTGATGTCCTTGACTGCTCGGCTTCTCCCCGTCCTGACCGGTGTTGTTGTTCCTGTAACTGTCCATACGAGTGTGTTGGGGATATGCTGCTCTATGCGATCACCCTAGCGCTATTTTTCAAGTGCTATTTTTGTCAATGCCCTGCCCGTCAAAAGTGCCGGTTATAAGGACTTGCTTACTACCTTGTTAATCACCATTGTATTCGACCTGAAGAGTAATGGAATGAAAGGCCTAGTCGAAAAAATTATATGGCTTCTGTGCTTCGTGTGCTGATTTGCTTTCCTCCAACCAAAAATCTATTCAGTTTTATAATATAACTGAATGATGTGAATCATTGTGGTTTCTTGCTTCTCTGTTTTTTGTTTCCACCACTTCAGCTTGGTTGGCACCCTATTGTTGGTGGCCACTCATCAAAGTGCTGGGTTAGGGTTATCAATGCACTCTACCCGTTCTTTGTTATGGCCATCATACTGCTCGGCTACATTGTCCAGTATGCACTGTGCTATCGACGCCTGGTAAGGACTACACTAAGTCTTACTGGTAGCCGTCTTGCTCAGGTAGGATCTCCCGTGTTCATTGAGTACTCAGTGCGCTTTGGCAGAGTGGTGTCTTTGTGTTATTTCAGATATCGTAATCAAACAGTTACATTATGCTTGGACTTACACCGTTGTTCTGTGTTCTACAAATGAACCTTGACGAAAGGTCACAGTGTTCAATACCCATGGCAGAGTATGATAACAAAAGTCTAGTGGATTATAACGAGACTGAACGTTATAATCCAATGGACCTTTGTTGTTCTGTCTTCTGTGTTGTTGCAGTGGTGCACTCTCCTGCACATGTACCGTAAAGTACTGCGAGAGCGCCGCATGCACCACCACCTCCCTTTCATGGTCATGATGTGGAGGTGATATCATGTCTGTTGGTCATACGACACATACCATGTACACACATTGCACGTTGCGCAGTCAATCCGTTCTCAGTTTACTAGTACTTTGGAGCTCCACACAAGAACGTGCAAACAAACAAAACATAGCACACTAAGATAATGATTCTCACACCGTGCAAAATTGATTTCACTCTGCCATACGATTTCCTTTTCCTGGCTGTAAGATGGTGGTGGGGCACTCTCACTCTCACTGTACTTTTCCGTATTTCCCATTCAGTGTACTACCGTGCATACATGCTCCACTTGAAACCAAGCAGCTGAACCCAATGGACTCTTGTGTGAACTAGGGGAGAACTGAAATCTTACTGCTAGCTGAGCCTTGTTTCTATGTATGCATAAACACATGAGCTTTCAATTTAGTTGTGTTTCCTCATTGACTCTCTTGTTCTCTGGTTGTGTTTCCTCATTGACTCTCCTGTTCTCTGGCATCAAGTTTAATGCCATGATAAGGTGGCAAGCAACTTTTGTTTCCTCTTTGTTGCAAACCCTCCCCTTGCTCTCTCCCTCTCTTTCTCCCTGTGCTTATCAACCTCCTGCAGCCGAACCGGTTTGACAAGAAGGAGGCACAGAGAGAAGTAAACTATACATTCAACAGCACGGAATTATGTCATAATGGCCTATTTAGTAATTACATTATTCCGGACGTCCTTCATGCGGCTGCATTCCTGTACTCGTTCTACGTGATTAGGTGGAAGGAGAATGAGCACTTGGTGACCTTGATGGAGAGGGTAAGGGCCAGTTTCTTCTTCTTCTTCTTGAGATGCGTCACTATGCTTTGTTTGTACTTTGTAGTGTTTAGCTGTGTGCTGCATTTCAGGGTCCACAGGTTAGCTTTCATTTTCTTTTGCACGGCATGTATGAATATGTACAGTGTCCGTATCATGCTTATAAATATATGCCGATCTTCCTGCCCTTGCTTCTTGACATGCTGTATGCACAGTTGCAATACAGTTATACTATTAATTTGCATTGATAAGACTGCCATCTACTTTCTTTTGGAGTAGCCAGATCCTTTGGAGTGTTGGTGTTTTTCATTTCCACTGATCTTCTCTCATTGTCTTCACTCAATGCCATCGGCAACTAGTCTATTCTACTATCTTTGTGCTGCGTGTTTCTTTTCTTGCAGGTCTTTCTTCAAACATCTTCGTCTCATTCTGGCTGGATGTCTCAACCACGGTTAATACGGTCATTGCGGTAAGTACTCTTTCCTCTTCATACAAACTCGAACCTCTTTACGATGTACCCAAAGGGGCTGATGGAATTTGCTTGCCGTAATCGGAGTTCTTCTCGCCCGTACTTCACGGTACTCAGGAATTTGGCTAAGTATTTGGGTCACAGATACTGCTGTAGTCCTTCTAACAGTGCCCTGGTGTGGCTAGCTAATGTACAGTCACAGTTTCCAAAATGAGTAGAAGTAGTGAAGCTTCCTGCAGGTTCTTACATAGGAAGTGGTGTATAGCACACCTGCTCCTTCCCGATCACTCTGCTATTGCCAAACGCGTTTCATCATATAGTCAATTCTTACGTTACGACAAAATTGCCGTCATCAGGTTTGCAATTAATTGCAGGGTAATCTGGAAAGAGCAGGTCTCCTCTACATCACTTCCTAGTCACTCAAATATACTGTGCATGTGCTGTCTGTTCTCTTCTCCCAATGTACTGTACATATGTTGTCTGTTCTCTTCTCTCAATGCTCTGGCTGTGCTACAGGTTTCTGCTTTTTTTCAATGTGGTGTGGGTTCTATGCTCCATTGCTGGCCATTCCTTGCATTTGACTGCACTGACATTTGGAATCGAACACCGCTACAACCCGCAGTTCCAATGGTTCAATGCTGAGTAAGAAGCCTGCGTCAGTCACTACATTTTTCTTTACTAGCCTAGTGTGGCCTCTTCTCCCTGAAGTGAGCCAATACTCTAAATCGAATAGGCTGTCATACCCAATTTGAATGGATTTGATGCTCCTAAACTCAAGGCGGATGACATGCCAAGATTATATTCTCAGCTCTAGCTGTGCGGACATGGGGCACATTCAATTAGGGAACAATATATTGCAGAGAAGTGAGCCCTGTACAGGTACCACTAGCTTGGATTCCTGAATATAGAATGCATTGATTGCATTCCATGACAAACTATCACTTGTGTGTTTGTGTGTATGTGTGTGTGTACGTGTGTGTGTACGCGTGTGTGTGTCTGTGTGTGTGTGTGTACGTGTGCGCATATGCAGCGGTGCAGCGCATTACGTTCTGCTTGTCTTCTTACTTGCCGGCCTATCGGCTATGGACATTGTCTACGCCAGCGTCATGACCAATTATGCTATCCAGTGCCACTTGCTTATCACACACATGCGATGTACTATGGTACGCACACGGCAGAAACTTGTCTCGCTTCACCAATCAATGAAGGTAAATCTATCAGTTACGGGTTACTATGGGTTACGACCGTGCAAGCGTGGTCACTTCTCGCAATAGTTTCTGCAGTCGTTCTTATTTTTGTTTGACCGGTGCCGATTCATTGACATTAGAGAGGTTCCGCACTACTGTAAATATACAAATTTTCGGCAGCTATTTAATTTCGACTATATTCGGCACCGACCCAAAACGCCTAAATTAAAACGCCGATGAAATTTTTCACAGCATCTGTCGCACTATACCATGCCCTCTACCCCACGCCGAAAATAAATCGCCGTCGAAATGTCAAAAATCGTGCAGTGCCGAAATTTTGTATATTTACAGTATGCTCAATCTGCGGACAGCATGCTGTTTCGTTCTTTTTGAACTCATCAGCGCAGCACAGAGGAAATGAGGCCGAACCTGATAGCAATGGAAATAAAAATTTCCAATCAGGCCCGAACGTACCTGTGTGTGTGTAAAGTTGAGCAGCTTTACGTTGGGGGGGGGGGGGGGGGGGGGTGGCACTCCACTTATGGAAAGTTGTCTACGTAGAGTACGTAGATAGGGCTCTGACAACGTAGCTGGTCCGTAAGTGGACTGGAGTACAAATTTATGACTCTCTCCCCAGGTCGATCTGGTCATACACTGCCGCGTTCGGAGTTGTCAAGGGCAGCTACGTGATTTGAAAACTCTGTATGGCGGAACACAGATGCGCATGCAGTTTACGTAAGACTTTCCGTAGATCGACTACGTTTTTTACTAGCGTAATTACGTTATGCGGAACCTCTCTATTGTGTGAAATGTGCATGAAGAAGATGAGTCATCTGTAGTGAGATGATGAGTAATGATCTATGTGTAATGACTTCGCAAGGGTTTGTGGCACTCGCCGCAGGATTTCTTAGAGTTTGGTGGCAACTTCCTTGATATTTTTTCTTTCTTTACATTGTTCAGGATATCACGGATGAAAGTCAGTACTTGAGAACATTGAATGACAAGGTGGCAACGGCTGTGTCCTTGCTCGTCTTCAGTGTCAGCTCCATGTTGATATTACGTAAGTGCAGTATTTGTGTGGCACTTTACCAGTGTTCCGTGCACCTGCCAGCTAAACAGGATTACAGGGTTTGTCCGATGTGCTTTTCTCATGTGATCTCCAGGCGTCTTTGATGTCATCAATTCGCCACCTGAGGCGCTCTTTTTCGTTGCCAACACGATACGTGCTGTTGTCATTCTCGCCCTCTTAGCACTGCCTCTCGTGCAGGTACGGAACTGTGTATGCGTCATCCTAACTCAATGCTGTTGCTATGTGTGTGGGTGTGTGTATGGGTGTGTGGGTGTGCAAAATCACGTGTGAACTTGAATTTCCATGGTGTTGCAGTCGTGTTTCAAATTTTTATGCGCAATCCCTGATCAAATACGTCTGAGTCGTAGAAACGTGGTCACAGTTGGCCGTAGTCTGAATTGCATATAACCCCCTGCCTCTTATCTGTGATTACACACATTGTGGTGTGCAGGCATGTCGTGTTACCAACGCAGGTTATGCCTTGCAACGACTTGGCAGTGAGATTGCCGTTCGGCCGTTTGGCTATCAAGATACACCATCCGAAGACATCTACATGTTCCAACTGTTCACCTCATCTTTGCAGCCCAGAGTAAGGAATATTAGTGTTTGGATTAGGCCAAGTAAAAAAAATCCTAGTTTATCGTCCCCGCCCGCCCCATTTTTCGAGGCCGCCCGGAATTTATTTTTATTTTTTAAATCTAGAATTTTGCCAAAAAGCTTGATTTTTTACGTCGGCTAAGGCTTGAAAACACAGCTTCGTCTTTCTGCCGAAAGTCCGTCTTCATCCTGTCGAGACCTCGACAGTTTTCCGTTCTTTCCGTAGTTGCGACTTTGTTGAGAAGCGACATGCCGTTTGTTTTGCTGCAAATCCGTCGCGGGTTGAAAGTTCTGAAGTCCTGGTATGGCTGTGTTGTCTCTGCGTCTTCAACTCTCTCGGACATTTTCACCCAGTTCAGCGCTGGCGAGTTGGACCATGGGGAGCGCCTTGAGGAGAGCGACGTTGTCTCTTGTGTCCAAGCTAGTGTTGGCGACACAAAGCAAGGTTCCAAAACCCCTGTGAGTCCAGATTCGCCAGTAGGCGAGACTGTCATCAAAAAATAAAAATAAAATCCGCCCTCCCTCCCCGATTTTTGTGAAAAAAAGGACGATAAACTGGGATTTTATTTTACTTGGCCTTAGTTGTACCTTTTTCTTGCTGTGTTGCAGGGGGGGGGGGGGGGAGGGGGTTGTACCGTGCATACTGTGTAACTACTTGGAAGTACATGTAGTTGAGTGTAGTTGACCATGATACATTGAGTGTAGTTGACCATGATACATTGAATATTCAGTATCAAAAGTACTGCTGGTCTTTACATCCCTTCACGTTATACAGTAGGATGCTGATTATCCAAACTTAACTTTCGGAACAGTCAATCATCCAAAATGCTTGTTAACAACACTGAATTGACTGGTGACACAATGACACACTACACAAGTGCCTATAACACACGTTTGTGTGAGAACAATCGACGTGCGAAAAATTACGAAATTGCCAAAAACTCGCGTATAAGCGTATGGGCTTTCGTGTGCGTCATTGCGGTGTGTGGCATTCAATTGACTTCTGTTTGGGTTTTTTTGCTTTACATGTGGATAATGCTTCCAACATGCTGCGTTTGTGTAGGCTAATTCTTTGTTTGCTGCTGCGCATGTGTGTCTGTGTGTTTTGTTCACCGATGTAGGCAAAGCTATTCCGTGTTCCATTCCACACATCCTGGGTGACATCGATCTGTTTGAGTCTTACCTTCGCGCTGCTCATTTCCCTTCAATTAGATTTGATCAAAGCTAAGCTGTGAGCCGAGTTATGCTGCTCTGCCATCGTTCATCAACACCTCGGTCAGTCCCATCCATCTCTTTCAGTTTGTATCTTCACTCTGGCGATGGGCTGTCAGCTTTAGTTTGTCCGCGCTTCTTTGCAATTCTAGGGTGGTGTCTTGTGTTCTAGGTCCCCCAGTTCCCCCAGTTCCCCCCAGTCCTGTGCATGTATGACTAGGGTCTACGTCACGCTCTATAATTATATAGGTAGATAATTGTAGTTTTTTTTAGTTTTTTTAAACGCTTTCAAACTGACCTATCGTACAGCATTAGTCCAGTGCTCTGTTCTATTTTCCGAAGACCATGGTGCACATCCAACATGCACGCACACCACCACCACCGCCATCACCCCGCACCGCATGCATGCACACTCACACGCACACGATCCAGTAGCGCACACCTGCACGTGCAGAGCTCATTAGCACTGCGAGGCCCCTGTTGATCCTTGACTCCGACACAGTTCTATTTGTGCCTGTGGGTTATCTTGACCAATTTTTGTTGATGACGATGTTTCTGCTTCATGCGCTGGTGATTCTACACCCTACTTTTCATTCTCCTCTAATTCAATCATATCTTTTTGTTGTTAACAATTTTTAAAGCAAATACTTCAAAGTACAAGCGGAGAGAAGGAGCCAAAACCCATTGCCAGCCAACAGACATAGGTTTGCCATGCTACTTCGAAATACATGTATGGTGATTCAATACAATTGTTATAGTTTTCTGACTTAGAGTGGAAAGTGAGCTGATTTCACACCCTCAGTTATCCTCCCTATGTAAGTGCTTTTATCAGTTTTATTCATTTTCATCTCCTCTACTTGTAGAGACAAGTAACATCTATGTATAACAGCAAGAGTGCAATGTACTTGTGTGGTTTTGCCCAGATTTGGTCGGCATGTACGGTGTAGATTGATTTGGTCGGCATGTACGGTGTAGATTGATTTGGTCGGCATGTACGGTGTAGATTGATTTGGTCGGCATGAACGGTGTAGATTGATTTGGTCGGCATGTACGGTGTAGATTGATTTGGTCGGCATGTACGGTGTAGATTGATTTGGTCGGCATGTGCGGTGTAGATTGATTTGGTCGGCATGTACGGTGTAGATTGATTTGGTCGGCATGTACGGTGTAGATTGATTTGGTCGGCATGTACGGTGTAGATTGATTTGGTCGGCATGTACGGTGTAGATTGATTTGGTCGGCATGAACGGTGTAGATTGATTTGGTCGGCATGTACGGTGTAGATTGATTTGGTCGGCATGTACGGTGTAGATTGATTTGGTCGGCATGTACGGTGTAGATTGATTTGGTCGGCATGTGCGGTGTAGATTGATTTGGTCGGCATGTACGGTGTAGATTGATTTGGTCATGTACATGTACCGTAGTGTCTTGTATTATGAAAGCATGTCTCATAGAAGCCTGTTTTGAATACATGTACAAGCCTCATTTTCAAGATACGCTGTAGGCACATAATAAAGCCTGGTTTTAGTGTTGACACGCGTAGAAATACCCGGTTTGAATAGATAAGAAGCCTGATGTGAAAGCCTAGCCCTGAAATTGTCGTCTACACACGAGGAATAAGCCCGGCTATAATACGTGACATTACGGTATAATGAATGAAGCATGCATGGTGTGTGTGTGTGTGTGTGTGTGTGTGTGTGTGTGTGTGTGTGTGTGTGTGTGTGTGTGCGCGCGTGCATAATAGCCAGACCTGTGTGTGCCACTTTGATTGTGTGCCTGGCAATGTCAACTACAGTCCATTCATAAAAAGATGGGCTCTGGCTCTGGCGAGCTCCCGTATTTGGCGATTTTTCGTGATTTCATCGTACACAGTGCAGTGCTGCGAAATTTGAAAAAGGGTCCAAAAAGGGTACCTGAACTGGGGTTCGAACCGCACAATGCACGTTTGCAGGCGGGGTCAAACGGCCTGGATTTTTATGGTTTTTCCCAATTCAGTGCTGTTGGGGCAAAACCTGGCCGAAATTCTATTCTTGTTATGGCTTGCTTTTTGGACAAAAAAACTTCAGAAACATAATTGGAAGAGGATTCCATAGGGGATTGCAGAAAAAAATTCTAAAAAAACTCAAAGTTTGACCCATTTATGGCCAAAAGCTAGAAGTCCATCTTTTTCTGAATGGATTGTAAAGCTACATGTAGCTACATCAGGGAGTCGTCCAAACATACTGGTAGTTGATGATTCCATGGTGCGTATGCTTCTCCTGTTGTGGTTGCATTTCAAAGTACTCTGCACACGTGGAACCCACGGAGACAGTGCGGTCCCGACAGACTTTCAAGTTGATGTCATTTTACTATGCAATACTCCTCACATGAGTGATTTACGACATTTGTGCTGGGCGGCAACACCTCACACGTGTTTCCTTCAGTTTCTACAAGGTCAACAGGGGATTTGTCTGCCACGGGTTCAGGAGTACACCTGGTGATACGTATAGTTGTATGCGACGCGTGTTGCGTCATAGCTAGCGTTAAGGCAGGTGTGGAAACTGAAAAGTCAACTCCAATCCCTCTTATTAAATCCCACTGTTCTCTGGCAGCACACACTCTGGCAACTAACTTGATCGGTGCATGCATTTAGCACTGCAGCCAGTTGTAGTGTTTCATGATGCAGCCATACACTCATGTTAAACAAGGCATGCACAGCAGCAGCTCGAGAGATGCGTTCACAACACTGAAATAAGTGGAGCCATAGAGAACCACGAGGCTAGAACCAGTCCGAAGTGAACCGTCGCGTTCTTTGTTGCACACTTACGCTAGGACTGAAAAACGCGAACTGTTTACAAGGCCAGTCTAGAGTCGAGAGCTAAGACATGTGCGGGGGGGGGGGGCAAGGAATCCAAATGTGTGTGTAGGAGGGGTGGGCAAGAAATCCAGCGCCCCACCCACACATGATTCAGGTATATTCGTTAAACTCTCCAGTGCCTTACAGAAAGTGTTTCTACTAAAAGTAGCCTAGCATAAATTAAAGATAGCACCAGAAAGCAGAGGGCAAGCAGCTGCCTACTGCTAAATGCCAATGAAAAACAATGAGAAGTAGGGATAGCTAGAAAAAGCAGAAGGCGAGTGCTCAATTAGAATAATTTCCCAAAGACATTACCTACTAGTAGTTTAAAAAAGCATCAGAAGTCACAACATGCACGCGTAAGTGCATGCAACCGTGAGCATGCACGAGCAATGCAATGCAATCCCCTTGCGGAATTGAACATGCAGCAAGCCGACACAGAATCATCCAGCATTACCGTTAGCAGTAGATATGAAGAGCCCGAACAGCTAGACTGTCTGAAAGCTGAAGTCCAAACTACACAACGCAGCAGCAGTGATGCTGTGCACTACATGATACAGAGCTGGCTAACACTCTTAACAACGGCGCTTCCGTGGTGGCTCATCTGATGCTCCAGTCGACGGTAGACTTGGAGCAATGAAATGAAGGAGCGAGCTATTCGTGCAGGATCCAAATAGGGAGACAAGAAGCGCAACACCGTAGCCAGTTGCCCTTTCACCCTGTGTTTCAAAGGGCAGAGAAGAACAAGTAGTCAATCAAACAAGCACAGCATCTCCCTTCTCTCTCTCCTTGACAGCTAGATCAGTGAAGTGGAAACTTCAAAAGCAATGAAAAAAGAGCATTCTACTATGGCTATTCTCGGTGCTCATGTGCATGGAAAGAAATTGGTTCAGAGTTCAGCTCAACATAATTTTGATGAAGCAGAACTGTTTTGCTTCCGATGCCCGACGCAATTCTTCGGCAAGCAAGCATTCTCCAGGTTGCAGTCGGCTGTCATAAAATAATAATTATCTGATGTCCATTAAGAAAGAAGAAAGGACCAATAAGTTACGAGCTATGACTATTAACAGTCCACCAAGGTAACGAGATCTTATACAGTCAGATAATGCGACAACAAGACACAAAACTGACACCAGTAAACAAAGTACCTGGTGTACTGGTCCAGCCATGTCCACGTGAATCCAAGCACCGGTGTAGTCCTTCAGGAGATGAGCATGAATAAACAGGCCTGCACAGGACGGCTGTGCATTGTCACGACGCTGGAAAACAACACACACAAGAAGATCAACATCACATACATATTGCTGACTAATAGCAACAGAGCATGAGAGACAGGACTAACAAACGGACTGGTGAACACACAGCCAGGGAATTGTTCACTTCAAATGCTGTTGAAAGGAACACTTGCAAGAAGACAGCAGCAGAAGCAGCAGCAGCAGCAGTAGCGACATAGGCTGGCAGGACATAACGCTGTACACCTCCTATGCATTCACCTTCTGTTCTCAACGCATGCGCTAGACTGGGCTGGACCTTTGTATTCATACACAATTTTCGAATTTTTCTTTACCAGGTCTTATGATGAGAGCATAATAATGACAAGGTTGATGACACACTATAAGGAGTCGTGCTCCTATCTGCAACCAGAGACTGGCTGGCAGGCTTGGGTCTTCTAACGTGGCGCTTGGTGAAATCCAATCCGAAGTGCAAAACCGGCGCCCTGTATCAGTTCTGATTCCATCACTCTACTTGTGCGCATGTGCATGTCCAGCCACATTCGTACCACTTCCAAGACGTCAAGGGCCATGCAAGTTGAGGGCGCCAAATATGCACTTTGGGCCGGATTTCACTGAGCGCAACTGTAGTTGCAGTCATGCAGGAGCACACTATTCCTTACGATGCGTCCTCCACCTTGCTTATTCCTTACAATGCATCCTCCACCTTGCTATAATGTTATCATCATACCTGGTAACGTTAAACTCACAAGTAATGCTCACATAAACTACTTTCGCTTTGTGCACACTGGCTTTCTGCGTACGCTAGGCGTACAAGTACAAGCTTTCTATTATTTTTTAGGGGGAACACATGCTGCTCTGCTGTCGGTCTATTTGGAATCCGGTGACTCAGTGTGTACGAAAAATTCAGCATTCCTGTGATTTCTGGAAATCCACATTGAAGACAAAAGTAGTGTTTTTGCTCTAATTGCACCCGTGGAAAGAAGCAGAAATGCGCCAACTGACCTCCCGCCTGATGTACCGGCCGTACCGGTACGTGACACTCCCGTCGTAGACTGTCACCCGGATCCCGTCACATATTCGTAAAAAACGAGTGTGTATAAGTTCTCCCCTAGCTTATACACACTCGTTTTTTTCGTGCTTCCCTTCCTCCCTTTCCTCTTCTGTTTCGCACTGGATCAACCCTCAGTATGCTTACCTCAACAGAGTTCTTCATATCAGCAACGGCACTGGAAAACTCAGGCATGTGAAGTTCTGGTGTGAATGGAACTGGAAACTGCACATGCACACACACACACACACACACACACACACACACACACACACACACACACACACACACACACACACACACACATGTGTGGGTACGCACACGCACGCACATACACACATATGGGCAAGGCACGAGCAAACACAAGACAAAACAGAAGTTGACTAAGTCCGACTAACTCAAGATGCATATACTTCGTTGCCGAAAAGAAGTATAGAGTTTGCCACTGCCCAAAGGAGAGGGCCTACCCGAATCAAAGTTGAAGATATTGGTCACGTCAATAATAATAATTATTATTTTATTATTTTAAACGAAGTAGATACTATTGACTAAATGGATTTCTGTTGATCAAGAAAGACTTCGGTAGGTTTCATAGACAGATAGGACTACAGAACAATCACAGCACAGTTGACAGCAGCAGCCGCACCCCTAAGGACGCTGTGTGAAGAAGATGCATCGGCGTTTGTCGAGGTGTACACTGCCCTCCACTCAGCTCGAGACTCCCGTGCAGTAGCATACCAGCTACCATACACATCACGGGACTTGAGGTCGGACACTGCACAGTCTTTCCAGCGGCGCCGAGGACCATGGGCCGGGCGATGAGCAAGCATTGTCCCGAATAGGATCTGCCGCGGCATCCTCTCAGACTCCATGCGGACCACATGGCCCAACCACTCCAGCCGGCGGTTCGCAACCTTGATACTGAGAGGCTCGGGATCACCCCACAGTTCCAACAGTTGCACGTTGGAAATGTGATCCCTCCAGCACTGTGAACGGGATACGCCAAGAATCGACCTCACACACCTCATGTGAAACACGGACAGGCGCTGCAACACACACACACACACACACACACACACACACACACACACACACACACACACACACACACACACACACAGATGTTAACCTTACCACTAGGTCTCCGCTGACACGACCAGCACGGCATGTAGCATCCTGCCAGTCTTCGTTATTGGCCAGCAGTGCACCATGATAACGGCCAGTAGCGATACCCTAATCAGGAAAACACAACACAAAGAAATGCATTCACAAGTACATGCTGTATGAATGTGGCACCTTTTGCAATTGCTATGCCAAAATATTGCAGAAATAGCTGTTTAGTGCTATCAAGCAATTCAGCACTAACCGGGGGGGGGGGGGGGGGGGCTACAGGCTTACCTGAGCACCAGTTAACGTTGCCATATCCAAAACAACGTCAGCGTTCAGGTCCTTGGAAGCATAGTGCACCTGAATGCACACACACACGCACACACACCCACGCATGCACAAACACCCACGCACACACACACATAATAATAATAATATGGCATGCTGGCTAAACTTTGCTGCAGTACGAGATTTCGCTGAGTCAAAAAAGTGCTAACTGCGGGTGCAGTTGAAGTTCTCAAGTATCAAATAAGAAGTGGTCTTCTGCATCTTTCCGTTGTGCAATGACATTGTGTGCAGATTCACATTCTCATGCTTTTGCATTGCACTATACCGACCGGTACGCAACTTACACCATCCGCCAAGACAAGTCTGCCTTCTGCATCGGGATTGTTCACCTCAACAGATCTGTAGAAACAAACACACAACGTGTCCAGGGGCCTTGCTCCAGTGCTCTATACTCTACACAACGTGTCCAGGGGCCTTGCAGCAGTGCTCTATACTCTAGCTATGGCAGAACGTAAGTTATCAGTCTTACCGTATTTCCGCGCATATAAAGCCATGGCGTTACATGTAAGGTGTGCAGCTGCTGCATCACAAGAAGTCATGTACACAAGTCATCTGACCCGGCTGTGGGTTGAAAATCACTCGCAGTGCGATGGCATTAACTGCATGCCTGCACGGCGTGCAGTGACTCCCCGCTGCACGTGTGTACATCTATTCGTGCAACGTTCACCGCGCATGCGTGTAGCTAGCTACGTGGTCCATTTGTGCACCTGTTGCACCATGCACACATCGATCTACCCCTGTCAGTCGCAAAGACTGGTGAATCCACCTCCCATGTACCAATAAAAGACCCATGCAGCTGGGTGAGAAGCAGGCACTACTGGGCACAGAACTGACGAAGAAAGTAATTCAGGACTGCTCAACCTGGTGGAACAGTTCCTAAAGCATGTTGGCAAAGCTAGTGGAGATGTAGTCTCCCCTCCAACTGCTGCTTGCTGATATGTCTGACAAGGAGAGGAAGAAGCTGGAACTACCATCCACCTGCTGGGAGACCGTCAAGCATCTCCTAAAGTATGTTGGCAAAGCTAGTGGAGATAAAGTCTCCCCTCCAACTGCTGCTTGCTGATATGTCTGACAAGGAGAGGAAGCAGATGGAACTACCATCCACCTGCTGGGAGACTGCCAAGCAGCTGCGGTCCAGTCTCCAGAAAGTCGATTCGGTAACAATGCATCTGGGTGGGGAGAAGTACTCCACATTGTCATCGTATCTTCCCCTTCTAACTTCCCCGAAGACAGCCTGTATCAATGGTGACAATCATGACAATGGCTATGATGAAGACGATTCAGAACTGCTAGCCGTGTCATCATTGATGAAGCGCCTTCACGACCGTATCGAGCACCAGGTCAAGCTCAACGGTCTAGATTCGGACAGTCTGTACGTGTTGGCAGCAGTGCCCTCTGAACGAGTCTTTTCATTTGCGGGCATTGCCTTGGACCGACAGTGGTGCCAGCTATCACACAAGATGAATGATTGATGCCCTGATCTTCATACACATGAATGCTGATCTCTTGAAGCTGACCGACTCTGTCCAGCCACGTTCTCAGCCAGCTCCCAAGCCTCTGTTTGATCCTGCAGAAAGATGGTGTACCACCACTACCAAACCAGCCTTCCGAACCCGGTTCTCTTGACTGAGATACAATCCATATCGTTTCAATGAACCTGTTTCATTGAACCTACATTGAATCGCAAATACAAGCATAGAATTATAGAAGAACCACGAAATAGTTTTAAAGCACACACATTTGCTACATGCTCTCTCTCTCTCTCTCTCTCTCTCTCTCTCTCTCTCTCTCTCTCTCTCTCTCTCTCTCTCTCTCTAAATTTTAAAATAATAACAATAAATCATCCTTGCCACATCAATGGAATAATGTTAACTCTCTCGGTAGTGCTTGTTTGTTATAGATACGCTTGTTTCAACACTATCTTCCTATTTCAGCATTATTAGTAATCGGTTTGCAAAAGGTACTCAACATCAACTACTTCTAGGAATAGCTCCATGATCACTCTGTCTCTAGGTCTTCTTTTAGCAGTAAACGTAGCAGCTATGTCTTTAGCATCCCGAGTCTAGAAGAAGAGTAAGGGGGACGCACACATTTTCGGTCGGTGAAAAGGACACTACAAAACCGTTAAACCCTGCCATGAACTGCACGCAGCCTAAAGCTGTTCCCACCCTGAGTCAAGCAGCTTTGTTCTACTTACCGTCCCGAGTACATCACATGTACGTCGTCTGGACGTGTGGCAATCGGCGACACGGCGTTCTCAGCTAGGCACAGGATGCAATGCAGGTTGTCCTTGAAGCCCTGGTGTGTGCACATGATGACAGAAGCAGCAGAAAAGGATCACAACAATGTTATCTGCTTTCTTGGAGTAGATACTAGAACGCATGAATGATGGAGAGTGGATGGACAGATAGTAGCTGATATATATCACAAGCAAGCAGTCAAACAAAGTAGACAGAAAGACACCACTGCCTACTTGCCTACAAGTACGTAGTGCATAGGCAGACATTAACTGATAACAAGCGCACATGGAAGCAAACGTACCAGCTTGACGGCAGTGGCAAATGCACCCAAAATGCCAGCAGCGCCACCACAGTCTCGCTTCATTCCAGCCATGAACCCCTGAACAATGAGGAAACAGAGAGAATATTGATCAACGTGTACACGCCGCACCCCAATCCCAATATCCAAGCCAAGCCAGCATGCACACTGCAGATACAATTGCCTTGCTCCTCCATCCATTGTCTTCAGTGGAATCGTTTTCCACAAGAGTTAAAGTGATAACAAGAGACCGCTGCCTGTCTTTGGAGACTGGCCATTCTGAAGCCACACAGCATACTTCATACTGCATACATACACAACCTGTTAAAAAAGACCAGCTGTCTCCAGAGGCTGGTTTCTCGCACACCATTGGGGACCGTTAAATGCAGGTTTGATAAAATATCTGTTAGTCAGCATCTACTGTAAACTGCCCTCAAGCACGGCTTCAAATGCTATGACCAAGGGGTAAAATGCTTTGAATCAGCATGACTTCACTAGATGTGTTCAAATTGCACAAAAAATACTAAGACATACCTTTGGCTTCAAAGAAAGTCCACCAGTGTCATAGACAATACCCTTGCCCACCCAGGCAATGGTGCGTTCTGCATCAGCCGGACGATGGCTCAGTACCACCATCGCAGGAGGATGGTCAGCTGCTTTCCCAACACCATAGATACCTAGTCCGCATTCACAAGCAACCAGAGGAAAGTGCACATAACGTACAGAATGAATGGATGAAAGCTAGGGCAAAGGGCCCGTGCTCATGTGACATCAAAACAGATACGCACGCACACGATCATGAAGAAGATTCTAATGTTCATGTATAGTATACAGTACCTGTATCAGGAAACAGACAGTGGTGTGATCATGAGACATAGTGCGCAGGCAGACCTGATAAACTGCTCGTTCACACTAACACATGTAGTCAAACGGAGAAGACCAGCTAAGAAACTAGCTATCATCCCCTTAATCTCGAACTACATATTGTACAGTCCTGCTCAATGAAATCCAGCCGCGTCACTCGAGTTTGCGCCTTGCATCCTTTCGCAGCCCAGTGTTCGCAGGCCTAGGGCTGCGCAACGCAAGGCGCGTACTTGAGTGATACGACTGGATTTCACTGAGCAGCACTGTACTAGCACTGTACTAGCGGAGTGTTTGCATGGACATGGGCACGGGATCTCACCTCCAAACCCTTGTTTATCGAGTTCTTGGCCACGGACAACATGAATGTCACAGCCAGTAAACTTTGCAACGTCACGAGCCAGCTACACAGACAAAAAAAGGGAGTGAGAGATCCATTCATTGACAGATACAAGTACATACATGGACACCTGTGACAAGGCAGTTGTAGCAAGGATAGATGTGATGCACTTCATCCGGGCCAAACAGACTATCTGCACAGAGATGCTGCTTCCACAAGCCAGGAATCCATGCCAGGAACACTACCGTAAAAGTCCGTAAATAAGTACGTATTTACTTTCGAATTTAGTGACCACACCCGTACTAACTTTCGGGCGGGTACTGACTTTCGGGCACGAACTAACTTTCGGACCCGACTTGTGTGTAGTGGAGAAGTCATTTTCATGTCAATGTACATGCTACGTGCTGCACGTGCGCACCGTACCGGTACTTATTTCGGGCAGTATGTTTATCGGGCTTGACTTGACTTCAACAGACAGGGCCAAAAGATTGAAGGGGGTATTTCTTTCGGGCAGGTACTTATTTACGGACTTTTACGGTAATCCGTGCTAACCCAACACTAATCAATAGTATAGTAATAACAGTTACTGCTCTTATCTGGACTCCTTAGATCCAAGCACCTTACGGTCCTCTGTAGAGTCACAAAACCCGAACTTGCAATGAAAAAGGCACCAAAAAGATTGATAGGCATAAAAAAGTGGCTGCCTGCATTTCCTGTAAGTTCTGAGTTACGGTCAATTCCTAGGTATGGGCAGAGTCTGGTCCCAACATGTTCGGATAAGGGGAGTTCTACTGTAGTGTACAATCAGGGTAGGGTGTGGGTAGGGTGTGTGATGCACACAGTCAACTGCTGGTCAACTGAAGCGACAACGGTACATAGAAAGCACTAGTGACATACATGTACATGGACTGGCAGCCAGAAAGATGGGGTAAAAGTTGCCTCGATTCACTCTCTTTCATGTGCTCACAGCACATGCATAGGAGTGATCCAGGACGAGTTGGCCAAACTGCACAGGATTCGTAGTAGTACGTGTACATGCAAGCTGTACCGCTCAGCGACAACAAGGCCCGGCGGAACCGGTCCGGTTGGTCTGGCCATGGCCAGACCAACCTTTTGGCCACCAGCGTGTGTTCACTGCTGAGAGGTCATGTGTACTAGTGTACCCTCCATATCATACACAAAGTACGAAAGGCTAGGGTATGGCTGGACCAATCAAAACTGCTTGTCCTGTACAACCATCGGATGCGCCTACTGAAGTATGAAGGACACGTTGCATTGGAAGTTCTGGCAGCTTGAAACACATGCAGCACTCAGTACATGTACTTACATCTACGAAGGCATCCGTGTGCATCAGATTACAGGGCCGATCCACGATACTTTGCGTCATGCGAATGCCTAACACACACACACACACACACACACACACACACACACACACACACACACACACACACACACACACACACACACACACACACACACACACACACACACACACACACACACACACACACACACACACACACACACACACACACACACACACACACACACACACACACACACACACACACACACACACACACACACACACACACACACACACACACACACACACACACATACACACACAGTCATAATGACACGGCATACCAGTAAACTGGCAGTGGGAGACACTACACTACTACAGTGTATGAATGTACAATGCTATACAAGTACAAACATTACAGTAAATGTGAAAGATCACTGAAAAAAAACAATCTCATATTCACCTGCATGCTCATGATATGCATGATATGCATACACAAGCATCTCCTCTACTCGCCACGGGAACACAAAGCAGTACTGTCATACTGCTCTGCACTCACTACATGGAAGGTTATCTACACTGGACACTGGACACAGCTGGCATCATAGAAGCTAGAGCATGATTATTGTACACACTCAGCGCATGCTTGCCACCAGAGCACATGCCATACTCTTGCTACTACAGAGTATAAACGTGGCCTTTCTGAAAGTTTCTTTTCATCTGGGAATCTGGCTTGCAATAGAGGATCTCTTCATCCCAACAATGCCAAACTCAGAGTGATTTGCTCACCAAGACCAACTGTGGACTAGTGCGTTTAGAAGAGTGATTTTTAATCATTTTTTCATCCACTTTTCATTCCCATAGATTGCTCTGTGCAGTCATTGTATGGGGAGGGGGAAATGATATAATAAAACCCTACTCACTTTGTCCAGAAACAGAGAAAGCGAAAGCATCCTCCTCAGACAGGCCCCGTGATGGAACATCCTCGTCAGTGCGGAAGAAGACAACGTCAACGCTTTCGACGCTCCGACTGGCAGCCTTTTGCGAGTAGCGTGGGAAAGCGCGGGCAACTGCACAGCCTGAGGAGTACAGGCCATCCTTGTTGCACACAACCTGAAAGTTGGAATGGACAAGGAAAGAACCGAATATTTCTAGGGTCAGAGCCGATGTTTTTCCACAAAAATTCAGGACCAATATGCCCATGCAGCATAATTAACTTGTACAACGAACATATATTATTTTCATACAAACAGATATACTGAAGCATGCTTTTTGCCTCCAATAGGGGACATGGGTTACACTCCGGGGCGAATTGGACACCAAGAAAGTGGTACGATAACCACCCAAATAGGAAGAAGAGAGAAATAGACAGCTGCCGTTGCTGTGAAATGTCCACTGCACAGAAAGGAGTTTGGAGCAAGGAACATATCAGCAGGGATAAAGGAATTGAATACTACAAAGTAGTATTCCACAACTCAATGCACAAAGCGAACCGAAGAATTGTGCAGTGAGCAGAAGTGAAATGATGTAAAATCAGCATCATCAAATGCTAGCAAGCTTACGATGATTATCCGGCTTGTAGCACGTGGTGCTTTCTCTACTGCTGCCTTGATGGCATGTGGCAGAGCAGCGGAGTTGTGGCGGCTTGCTAGGGTGGGCAGAGCAGCCACAGTGATCAGCTTGAGCAGTACAGAGCACGAGTCTCCGAAGCTTTCGCCAGGCGATAGCTGCGCAACTGCACTCTTGAAGAGCTAAGATACGTGAAAGCACAAACGCAGATACAAACGTAAGGCATAGTGATACAAATGCATGGATTGACTGTAGCCTTTACTCAGCAAGGACACCTGTAGCAACATATCGCAGATTTGCAAATAATTTGTACAGGATCAGGATCAGATAGGCTTTGGTCCACCACAGGTTCCGGATTCGTCTGATAATCCGTGTACAGTGCACAATGCATCATAAAAATGACGTCAGCTTGGAATTCTGTCGGGACAGCACCCATAGTCGAGTTGCACACTCTTGGGGATTATGTACTCTTGGTACTACTTATGGGGTTGAACAATATGGTGGCAAATACACACATGGTGAAATGGCGGTAAAATGCACGCCTGCACTGATTGTGATTTTGCAGCTTTGAGAGTGTGCGCGCAGGCATGTACTTGCCTCCATTTCAACACGTGTGTCTTTACCACCGCATTGTTCAACTATGGAAGAAGCTGACTTACGAGAGAGCTGACAGCTCAGGGCCCTGGCTGTGCTCAGTCTTACACTAGGTCATCACACGTGCTATTCAAACCGATGGAAGCATCCTAGAAGTACACGTACAGCAAAACCGTATAGGCGCCAATAGAAGCCCCGGGGTTCTATTTTTCCAGAAGACACATTGAGGGGGTGACACGCACACACACACAAAGGAAACCAGCTCAGGGCCCTCGCTATGCTCGATCTTTAACTAGGACATCCTTCGAGTTACTGAAACTGATAGAAACATCTTTGCAATGCACTATTGACTAATATGTACCCATCATCAGCCAGACGAATTGTTGTCTGGATATATTTGATGAAGAAAGTGTCTGCTCGAAATGTCGGAGCTCGCGCTTCCTGCCGACTGACTTGACATTTTGACTGACTCACGACTCAGTCGGCAGGAAGTGCGAGCTCCGACGTTTGGAGCAGATACTTTCTTCACCAATCACCGCCAATGTCGCAACATCTTTCAGATATCTTTGATGTTCCGGGATATCATACATGTACGAGGTGCTATGTGCTACTTTCACTGCCTCCTCACAAAGACACAGTACCCAGCTCACCGCATGTATTGGAAGTGGTTCGCACGTGCATCACCGCATTGTATCCTACCCCCCCCCGGCAACTTGGCACTCACTACTGGGGTTGAGAATAGCATTGATACAGCTAACAGGACCCCCCACCCCTGTCCGGGCACTTGGTTGTGAACTCCCGTAGGCACTGCATCTGCCACCCAGGTATATCTGGTACGGTGGTGGTCTGGCAGGTGCCAAACTTCCTGAAGTCGGTTGCGTTTCTAAACACCCAGTGCCAACGTAGGTGTGAAACTTTACTCACTTTTTACAATGCCAAAAATGTTAATTCAATAAACTCGCCACGGCATTGTTTGTCACGCACCAGGTGATGCCTTGACAATGCATTCAAAGTTCAAACCTAATTTCAGTCCAATCCAGATTTCATGAGAGAAATATGGATGAGTATTCAAGGTCTACATGTAACATTGAAGCAAGTAACTAGCACGCAAAGTACCTCAGGTGACACATTCTCATTGATTGCGCTGATGCACTCTGCAAGGCCTTCGGTTTGGAGAAGTGATAACTCTCCCACAACCAAATAGGCTGCTGATGGTGGTCTAGGTTTCTGTAGTTGGACATCGATAGACCCATGGGGGTAGATTACTTCATAAGATGCATCTCCGGGCAGGAGTGGAAACGAAGACATTTTACAACTTTATCCGGACACCAGGACACACCTCGATCGAGCTCTTCGATCACGATCGACTGAATAATTGTTCAAAAATATTATGTTGAGAGAATATGAAAATGCAGAATGCGAAAGTCTCGATATACAAGAATCAGTGGATCGAATTCGCGAAGAACTGCTGGGAATCCCGACTCCTGCTAGTGCGAGTCCTAATCCGCACGGGCCCATATTGAAATCTGAATCTCGGTTGGATAAAATCGCAAAAAATAGAGAAGCCCAGAATCCAGATCAGAGTCGTGTACATAATCATTGTGCGCGATCTGTACATTGACACTGGCATGGCAGTGCATGCAGCTCACCAGAAAATCAATCTACTTGTTGTAGGCTCGGACGCCTGGTTTACGATGTGACACGCACCAAAACCCTACCGATCGACCGTTTTTTTACACAGACTTCGCAAAGGAGGTCGTCTCCAGCTAGCTACCGATCCCGTTCAGGAGGTCTATGCATGGTCGTCTGTACTGCTTGATGCGGGAAACTGACTCAAGTTACTTTTCAATGTTCACTAAAATTATCGTTTGCAATCTTTGACTTGTTTGAAGTAGTGAGCCGTGTAAAGGATTCTGTTGCTCTTATGGTCAGCAGGTTATCCCCCTCCACCTAGAATGGTGAGCTTCCAAAGCAGTAAGAAGGACCCTGGCAATTTGAACTGTAGCTAGCTACTCGTTTTCTCCATTTCTCTTATTTTCTTCATCATTGTAGAGTTTCTTTGGATTTGGCCAGTCGGCGGAGATAAATGTAGAACTATCCGATGCCGAGAAGCGCAAACAGGTAGATGTTCGCAATGAAGAGGGCAAGAAAGAAAAGCTGTTTCTTTACTATGATGGAGAGACGGTGTCCGGGAAGGTACTTACTCTACAAGTAGTTGGAATATCTTGATCGGTAGCGAAACTGAGTTACTGAGTGAAGTCACTGTTTGTTCCTGTGGCTAGGTACATGTTCTACTGAAGCCTGGAAAGAAGCTAGATCATATGGGTATTCGCGTGGAGTTCATCGGCCAGATCGGTAAGATCATGTGTTTTACTTTCTTGCTTCACTGAGATGATAACTGAAGTGCACAATTAAATTATTTAAAACAAGGAAATACTAAAATGAATAGATTTGGTGCAACGTGAAAATGACGGGGTAGGACGCATAATTATTATGAAGCAAGCTGATTACTAGTACATTGGTGGGCTAATAACTTGTGCCCATTCTTAGTACATGTTGTGAGTGAGTTTGACCAAGGATTACACTGGCTTTTTCTTCCATTTCCCTTTTGGTTTTGTTCCGCAGAGCTATTCTATGATCGTGGCAACCACCATGAATTCACATCGGTGGTCAAGGAATTAGCTGGTCCCGGAGAGCTGGCCAAGAATTGTGTGTACCCATTTGAGTTCCTGCACGTAGAAAAGCCACACGAATCATACACTGGTGCCAATGTGCAGCTTAGGTCAGTAGCCCTTGCCGCCGCGTGCTGTGTGTTGTAAGATGTGGGGCGGTGCAGCAAGTTGCTAGAATCCGCCTAGTTAGGTCCAGTTATTCTACTACACATACATGTACATCATCCAATATAGTTTGAGTCTCCTCTCCTTAGTGGATGAGGCCATGCGGAATTTGCAGTGGATAATACATGTACATGATGCCAGTTGATACATAGCTTTCTTTGGTAAATGTGGTTATGTATGGTCATGACTCGACCTATGCGTGTACGCTGCTGCTCAATGAAATCCGGCCTCGTGAACCAGGCAATACCCAATGTTGTGGACTGCTGCAGACCACTGACTTATTCAGGAGCCTGGATTTCATTGAACACTGAGCACATTGAGCACACCTACACCTAAGTTTTGAACCCTGGTTGAAGTGCGCAGTTCGCAAGAAGACCTTCTCTATCTATGTCTGTCTCTCTCCCTCTGTCTCTCTCTCTGTCTCTCTCTGTCTGTCTCTCTCTCTCTCTCTCTCTCTCTCTCTCTCTCTCTCCCTCCTTCCCTCTCTCTCTCTCTCTCTCTCTCTCTCTCTCTCTCTCTCTCTCTCTCTCTCTCTCTCTCTCTAGCTCTCTCTAGCTCTCTCTAGCTCTCTCTAGCTCTCTCTAGCTCTCTCTAGCTCTCTCTCTCTCTCTCTCTCTCTCTCTCTCTCTCTCTCTCTCTCTCTCTCTCTCTCTCTCTCTCTCTCTCTCTCTCTCTCTCTCTAGCTCTCTCTAGCTCTCTCTAGCTCTCTCTAGCTCTCTCTCTAGCTCTCTCTCTCTCTCTCTCTCTCTCTCCCTCTCTCTGTCTCTCTCCCTCCTTCCCTCTCTCTCTCTCTCTCTCTCTCTCTCTCTCTCTCTCTCTCTCTCTCTCTCTCTCTCTCTCTAGCTCTCTCTCTCTCTAGCTCTAGCTCTAGCTCTCTCTAGCTCTCTCTAGCTCTAGCTCTAGCTCTAGCTCTCTCTAGCTCTCTCTCTCTCTCTCTCTCTCTCTCTCTCTCTCTCTCTCTCTCTCTCTCTCCTTCACCCCATTGCAACGTTTCTACGCATTTTCTCCATCCGCTCCAAATTTCTAAACTGACAACCTTCTTCCTAACAGTCCTCATTTGGGAGACTTATATCTGTCTTTATAAATGTAGTTTCTCTCTCTCTCTCTCTCTGTTTGTCTGCCTGTCTGTCTCTGTCTTTCTCTCTTTCTCTGTCTGTTTCTCTCTCTCTCTCTCTCTCTCTCTCTCTCTCTCTCTAGCTCTAGCTCTCTCTAGCTCTCTCTAGCTCTCTCTCTCTCTCTCTCTCTCGCTCTCTCTCTCTCTCTCTCTCTCTCTCTCTCTCTCTCTCTCCTTCACCCCATTGCAACGTTTCTACGCATTTTCTCCATCCGCTCCAAATTTCTAAACTGACAACCTTCTTGTTAACAGTCCTCATTTGGGAGACTTATATCTGTCTTTATAAATGTAGTTTCTCTCTCTCTCTCTGTTTGTCTGCCTGTCTGTCTCTGTCTTTCTCTCTTTCTCTGTCTGTTTTTCTCTCTCTCTCTCTTTCTCTCTCTCTCGTTCTTTCTTTCTCTCCATAGCACTGTTGTGGTAGTTTTCGTTTTCTGCACTTCCAGTAAGTGTCACGACTCTTCCTATCTATGTGCATTCGTTGTCGTCTTTCTCCTTCGTGTTCAGGTACTTCATTCGCGTGACGGTTGTCAAGCGGTTATCAGACATTGTCAAGGAGATGGATGTAGCAGTACATACACTGTCATCTTTCCCAGAAATCAACAACAGGTAAAAGCTGGTGGTTGATATTCTTTGCAAAAAAACTGTAACTCGGGCTGTTGTATGAACATCCACTGCGATGTTGCTTTGACGGCCCAAGATGTAGAGGGGCTTCACACTGTGAACAATGGGATATGTTTGGCGTCTGTACTATCATCACTGGAAGGCCTTCTGTCTCTGTGCATTTGCGCTCTTGTGTGTAGTGTAATGATTCCTGTGCGGGGGATTGATTTTTTCATAGAGTCCCCAAGGTTTACCTATCTGTTCACGTTCTCTCCTTCTTTTCTCCTTTTCCAGTATCAAAATGGAAGTTGGTATTGAAGATTGCCTCCACATTGAATTTGAATACAACAAGTCGAAGTAAGTTATTTTTACTTTCCTTGTGTGATAGCAACTGTGGGAAAAGATACATGAGGACTTGATATCTACGAGCATGTGCCTGTGTTTCTTTGAGTGTACCTACGTATTTTCCTGACCCTGTGAAGTGTCATGTGTTTGTTGTGTATTCTTCTTGGTAACGAAATTACCTTCTTTTTTTTCTCCCCAAAAGCTAATTCATGATTCATTCATAGACAACTTGCCTACACTCGAATAAGCACTGCAGTTCACACATACGAGGTGTCCCTCAGAATATTGATAAGCTAATTCTCTCTTAAAACTCGGATGTTGAGCCAATTAAATTATGGTGAAAAAGATCTGGTTACGTTGGTGGACAGTTAGTCATAACTCGTAACATTTTGTCCTCCTTTTTCACCATAATTCTCCCTTGTTATTTGTTTTTGCTCATGCTTGTTCAGGTATCACCTACGAGATGTCATTGTTGGCAAGATCTACTTCCTCCTTGTGCGGATCAAGATCAAGCACATGGAGCTGGCAATTATTAAGAGAGAAACAACTGGCTCCGGTTAGTGGTATTAGCTGTTCTCATCACAAATTCATCCGTATTTTGTGCTGCTGGTCGATCTTCTTCGATTGGCTTTTTAATCTATTCTTGTAGTCAGTGTTGCACTTGTGGACAGCGGTACTCTTGTGTGCTGGACTGCTACACATTGGCAAAGGTTCAGAATCAAGAGTCCTTCTGGGCTCCATTGTACAGATGCGCTCACTGAAACCAGACCCCAAGTACGAAACTGGTGCCCTGTTACATGACTGTGTACGTCCAATCACATTCGTACTACTTCCAAGTACACACAGGGCATCAAGGGCCGTGCAAGTTCAGGGCTAGTACTTGTACAGAAACACGTGGGCGCCATTTTGGTTCACGTGACATGTGCCCCACCATGCTGTGTACAGGGAATCTTGCCGTACTTCGCGTCGACTCTGGCCTGTTCAAATCCACGCAAGTGAGCCACAGTTCTCTCTAGCAGGCTGAGATTTTGCAGGCACCGAGTTCAGATGCGGGCAAAGGGATTCACCGAAGGATTTTTTGATTTTCGCAATTTGGACCTCAAATAACACCCTCAAACTCGGTAAACGTGTCCCACCTCTAGGATCGTTTTGGCGAAATTCGCTTCGGTCAAAGTATGGAGCATCTCCTACTGAAAATTTTGAGCCATCGATTGTCAAAATCGGCTCATGCGGAGCTCACTTGTGTCGTTTTGAAGGACGCCGCGCCACGCGCGATCTGCGCTGGTTCTTTCACAAACGGAAGACACCTTCCAGTCAGAACTGCAGACTGTGACAGTGCAGTGCGCACGGCAAGGAAAAGGAGACGTGCATTTTCCATTTGTTGCACTGTGTCCTTTGCTTTTATTGTTCACTGATAACATGTTCGCAAAATCTTGAGCTAGAGAGAAGACTGACTTACAATCTGATTCATCTAGGCTTCAGCGTGATGCACGTATCCAGACCATAGGAAATATTAGAGTCATGGGAAAGGAACCGGGAACCACGAGAATAATTTTCTGGAGCGAATCCAATTATTACCATGGTTCCTTGTTCTTGAACACCGCGCTCCACATCGTCAATGTTCTGCGAGGTAAGGATTTCAGGACTACTGTCGGTTTATTCGACCTCTGGGCGATCTGATCTACGTCCAGCTGGCCATGATACTGAGCCGAACTGGCCACTAGTTCGCTTCTTTCTCGACTCGGGATAATCAAGCCGGTCAGAGTGCGACTTTTTCCTACCCTGGATGCGACCCATGGCGCGGACTGAAAATAACTACTGAACACCTCCTTGTACAAGCACTGACATACAAGACCGGTGGTGGATACAAACTGACAACAGGAAACCCTAACAGCACCCGCTCTGTCAAAGAAAGTCGAAGGGAAGCAGTTCGAACTAGTTCAAGCACCACCAAAAAATAAAAAAAACTAGCACTTGCTCTTGCAGCTAGGTCAAAGACTGCACTGGCAAGTACACTTTTGCACAGTCGCGATCTCGCGGCCCCGCATCACGTGCGGGTATCTGATGACGTAGAGTGATTCAAGATGGCCTCTGACGTGTTTGCCGTTTTGTGATCCCAAATACCAGCCCTGAAGTTGAGGGGGGGGGGGGAATATGCACTTTGGGTCGGATTTCGCCGAGCTCAACTAGATAATGTCGTACAGCTTTTTCCGAATTGGGTTCTAGGACGCTTAGAGCATGGGTTAATTATGAACTTATGACACTCTGACTAATTCACTCTTTCATTGTTCTGTGGCAGGACCAGCAAACACCTACAACGAGAATGAAACGATCGCCAAGTATGAAATTATGGATGGTGCACCTGTTCGAGGTATGTTTGCTTTCTGCAAGTTACCATGCACACACACACACCTCTACTAGCATCTACTGACTCTGTGCACTGTGCTCCAGGCATTAGGCAGAGCTGGAAGGCTCAATTCCGAAAATTCTATGGAAACTTGCACCTTTTCACTTCAGTCGTGTTTGAGGATTTGTTTGATGCAATGACATTCTGGAGTGTATTACTGCGACAGAAAGGCTATAGACCACCATGCTATACTCTCTCCTGCACGCGCTGTTAATAATCACATTTCTGGTGGGTGCGCTCTTCAACAATCTGGAATCAAGAATCTGTTTTAGCAATACCGGAAAGAAAACCTATGCCATGCTGCATGTTTGCATTCTCGTATCAACTGTTGTGTTCCTCAGGCGAGTCGATTCCAATCCGCTTGTTCCTCTCCGGTTATGACCTGACGCCGACAATGCGAGAGGTGTGTCGGAAGTTCAGCACACGCTACTATCTCAACCTTGTGCTGGTAGATGAAGAGGAACGGCGGTATTTCAAGCAGCAGGTACGAGAGACCCGTGATTTTATTCTGTACTGTTTGTACTTATTGGTTGTGCTTGTCAAGTGATAGAAAGTCATTGTGGCATGTCTTTTTTTGTCGGGTTTTCCCTTTGAGCATTTGTTTTAAATATAAAACAAGTTTATCATCAGGTGTGCTGATTTGAACTCTGATGGTGAGCCAGTGATAATCATAAAATATAGAATATAGAAAGGAAAGGGACATATGGATACGAGTTAAGAGTAGCTGTCCACCACTGTAACTAGATACTACGTGTATATACAGTCATAAAGTGGAACAACTAGGCGCAAAACGGACAGAGAACTGAGATATTTGACGGCCTGACGCCTAGCTCCAACACATTTGCTGCTTCGAATTGTAGCTAGACCGCTTTGTCAAGTATCTTACTCATCTCGTCATCGTCCAGTAACAGTCGACATTCTTTGTTCCCGGAGGACTTTAGCTTGTACTCATTTTCATTGCGCTTACCTTCCCCACTTTGGTGTCCTAGAACCTTCCAAGTTGGAAGGCTGTTGGTTAGCGCTTCGGAGATGTGTTGGAGCTAGGTGGCAGATCGTCGAATGTCTCAGTACTATTGGCTCAACGTCCGAGCTTCGAATGTATAATATAATAAGAGGGAGAACCAACCGCAGTCAGGCAGGCACAGTGCCTTGCTCTAAGACCATAATGGAAACCGAGGGGTGTCAAGATCAAGTCATGCTTGGAAGCAGATGGATTTTCCATCTGTGCTGCGGCTTGCAGTCAATTGAGAACTTGCATGTGGTGCAGAAAATTGGATTTCAGCGTCTAGTTAGAGGACCTGATCTATTCTCCTCGCTGTTTAGGAGTTGCATCTGACGCTTGATCATGGGTTGGTGGTGTCCCATAGAAGTGGAAATTTGGCTTTAACCTACCAGCATCCGTAATAACAGTAATTTGTCTAATAACTAGGTGCCCACGGATGTAACTAGATCAGACTGAAGTACATGCATACAGTCAGATAGTGCTACTGCTGGGCATGAAACTGACTGAGAGTACTGAGGCATTCCATGAATAACCTTCACCTAGCCCGGACACATCTCCAATGTGAAAACCAACAATCTTACAGCTTGGCTCAAGGTTAGGGAAAGTCCAATGCGAGAAAGCAAACGTAACGTAGAGATGCAAGCTTTGTCCTACGCGAGCCTAGAATGGTGATTGTTGCTATCTGTCTTCTTTGTGCTCTTGCACGCATCTCAACCTGTAGGAGATTACGCTGTGGCGCAAGGGAGATCTACGGTCAATTCGTAAGGAGCGACGGGAGCTTGCCGCCCTGCAGAGCAAAGATCGACCTGCCCCTGACACTCCATCTGAAAAGATGGCCAGAGATGATGCTGCTGAGCAGAAAGAGAAAGAGGAAGCAGCAACAGCAGCGGGAGCAGGAGACGACGACTTGTAAGATGTGATCCTGTGTTCTCGTTCAGATTTTGTTTGTTGTTGTAGTTGTTGTTCTCACTCGTTTCCTCTCATCCTCCTGCTCATCTTTTCCTCAGTCCTATCGTCCTTGTGTGGAGTGTCATTGTCCTCTTTACTCTGTGTATGTTTTGAAAGATTATCCATCTATCCTTGTTTAATTTCCCCATCCCTTCCCTTCGTTTTGTAAGTTTCACCAGCTTCAACCACAGCATTCTTTTTTAAGTTTTTTTCTTCGCTTTTTGCAGCCTGTCGAGCATAATTGATCCATATATTACATAAAATTGAAATATTCTGTTCGCAAATGAAAATAGTCCTTACGCATGCCAAGATTTCATGAGCCAGTATAGGCAAATAGGAAAACATACTTTATTCTGTAGTTGTGCGTCTGCTGGTGCTGCTTGATGTGCGTGCGTGTGTGTGCATGTGTGTGCCAGATAGTGTTGGGTCTGTTGCTAACGTGCTCGGCTGCATGTGGTGTAATGTTGTACCTGCCACCAAGAGTGCATAAACAAGAGTATGCAACTCCGGTTATGGGTCAGTGCGCGGCGCACTGCCTTCATCACGCTCTGAAAGCATGCACTCAAACCCACAATTTCTCGTACGAGCCCATCCGTTTTTGCACGATTCCTTCCAGTACCTATGCGATCTCTAAATTTCGGCACGTGAACTCCAGTTCCGTACGAAAGTTCATTTCAAACCAGAGGGAAAGTGCGGTGTTTGATTTTCCGCAGTGCGCGGACTGCAGCTGAATGATGTAATGAAGGCAGCGCGCCGCGCATCTGGCCCATAGAAAAGAGATCACAGTTGCATACTCTTGTTTATGGACTCTTGCTGCCACCTTTGTTAGTTCCAGGTTTCATTTTACTTTTTTACCTGTTACGCATGGAATGCTTTTGGCTCTTGTGTAGTCAATGGTATAGTGAAGCTTATAATAATTATTATCAGATCCACTCTGACTTAGCCACCCACACTAGTAGCAAGTATTACCTTCACTGGGTAACTGCAGTTGGATCCCGGGACGGATACCCTGATGCCTTCAATCATTTTTCTGCACCTTGTCCTCACCCACTTACTGAGGTGTGGTGAGCCCATAAGTGGGATCATTTCCAGGTCCACCCATAGTTGTGGATTTCAGCGGGTGTCGTCCGTTGACCTGTTCACTAGCCAATTGAATCCTCTTTCCAAGATTCTTTTGAGTCTCTCTCCCCTCTCCCGGGAAGACCCGTGTGTGTGCGTGCGTGTGTGTCGGAAAGCTACCTTTTAAAACTCCCTACGCATTTGGAAGTTGGACTAGTTTCGGCTCCACAATCCAGTGCCGTTACTATTATAGCTTTCATGCCTGAGGTTGTTGGTATATCTATTGGTTCGGGTTCAAAGTACTTGTACTCAATTGCCGAGGCTGGCTGATAAAGTAACTCCAATTTCACCGCAATGCATCTAGTGACAGTGTCTGCTATCAAAGCCTGTCCCCGGGGAAAATTGCGGAAAAAAATCGCAAAAAAACGCGGCATAATATGGCATAATTTGCGGTGAATTTGCGGTAAATATGCGGTAAATAATATTGATGTGCGGCAATTTTCAGTGAATATGTAGTGAAATCAATCAGTTACAAGTCTGTGGTGTAAACACTCGTCATATTTGAGTAAAAAGCCGCCACGATGAGACGTTGCTGACCGAACAGTGCACTGTGTGTACGTGTAGTGCAACAAAAAAGTTCAAAAAACGCGGAAAAATCGCGGAAAACGCGGTCTTTTAAAAAATCGCAAAAAACGCGGAAAAAAACGCGGCCGCGGAATTGCAAATTTCCCCGGGGACAGCAAAGCAGTGTGCTGTTTATACTGGTTACCACAGCAAGTGTAGGGTATACACAGACAACCGTCTTGGCTGTCCCGGTATGCTCCGTGTGGTGTAGACGAGGTGTGCATTGGGGGTTCGATCCATATGCCTTCGCCAATTGTGTGGATTAAGCAGTTATACGGTGCTAGTGTTGATCTGTTTCATTCAGATCTTGTCTGCTGTCGTTGCTAGTGAAATTGCTACATACCGGTATAAGAGAAAATCTGTGGGCGTGCACCAGGGAATACTAAATTTTTCGTGCAAGAGGGCATCACTTCAAAGCCCCAAATCTCCATCCACTGTCACAGCTGATTGCTGGCTTTCTGCACCTGATTTCAGTTGCATCCATGTACTTGTGAGAAGGCAGTGAAGATTCTCTGTCAAGAATCTTAGCGCGGTGAAAAGGCTGGAAGTAACATGCAGTCGAGAGATGATGTTGCGAATTCTCGATGGTCAAACTTGTAGTGGCCTCCCCAGGGAGTCGCAACTGCAAGTTTTGGAGAGACTGGGTTTTGTGTTTTTAAAGAAAAACCGGTATTTAAAAAAAGTCGTGGGGATAAGAATGATATTTTAAATCAACGCAATGAGAAGAGTAAGTTGTGCACTCAGTACAAAACCATGAGCAAAATCTGCTGCTCATGGTTTTTGTACTGAGTGCACAACAACTTACTCTTTTCATTGCGTTAATAAAAAAAATCGAAAGAAGTATCAGCACCGACGCAATCCACACAGTCCAGTAAAGCCAATTTAGTAACCAAACGTTTTTGTTACCTTCTCGTCATGGGTAAGTACAGGGAATAACGGAAATATGTCAAATACAGCGACTTATAGAGCTAAAGCAAAATCATAGATTTAAAACCTCACGCTACACTTGTATAAAAAATTGAAAAAATTAAAATTAAACCAAGGTGAAGGCAGTACAGCAAAGCAAGGCCGTCGCAAACGCACACTCAACTCAACTAAAAACGAAATGCGCACTTGCCAATATGCCAAGACTTCCGACAAGGATACTGTCTTTGTGATATCCGCCAGCCAATGTACATCACAGATACACAACACGCTATAGCACCCGCACGGTCTACCGAGGACGTGTCGAGCCTCAAGGCAAAATCCTACATGCAGCTAAGCAAAGTAGTGGCCACTTTGGAACAAGCACAACGATGAAAATAATTCAAAGCAGTGTAGGACATTGAATAAACCAAAGGAACCAAACTGTTACGTCCGACCACAGCAAAAGAACGCACTCAAGCAGCACTACGCCAGCTGTGCTTCACGGTCACCGTGACCACCACAAAAGCGCCTGCAGGCGTCTCCTCCAAGCCGGCTTGCTATCCTTCCACATGCCAACTGCCTTCCTCTCAGCTTCATGCTCGGCCTGCAACATCATGGATGTAAGCTTTCTCTGGTCACTCTTGATCAGAAATGGACTTGCAACAGGAGCAGCCTCAGCCAAGCCAAGTCTCACCAGTCGATAGTTTATGAACACTGGACGCAATTTCGAAAACTATAGGCAAAGACAAAGAGAGGCGTAAGACAGAACTCTCTAAAAACAGTTTGGTATTCAACCAGGAAGGAAGATATGAGAATTCCAGCGACTGCTTGTCAACGTACGTCATGTACATCTAATGGCAAGAGTTCACACGCCTCCCCAAAGAGTACTTAGCGTGTAACTCTGACTTCCGGGCTGTGGGTGCTCTGCATGGTGCGCTGTTGCCTTCATTATGCCAGGCCTTATGCACTCTGGCTGATGCAATCGCAAACTCCAAAGCAAGCACAAAAAGGAAACGTTTCGAAACTGCATACTTCAAAGTACTAGTACATGTACTTCGATGTACTCTTGGGGGTCGTGGGTTCTTTTAGCGAGCGATAAGATTGGTAAAGATGGCACTCCCTGACAGAAAGCAGCACAGCTCATGGCAGATCCAGGCTATATACATGCAGACAGTCGTTGCACAGAATACGAAACATACCTGAACATTGAAATGGATGTGGAACACGCAATGTGAATTTTCACCATCAAAGACCCCACATATCAACTCGGGGGGGGGGGGGGGGGGGAGGTTCTTGCCTTCTTGGTAGTATCAAGAATATATAACCCCCCCCCCCCCCCGAGTGTGCAACTCCTGATACCCTTTCTATGGGGTACGCCACCAGCGAAAACTCACATCACGTGGTGCAGTGTCGCAGTTGTACGTTTCCAGCCCGTTTTTAGCGAGCAGTGGAGTAATAAAAAAGCACTCTCTGACAGAAACTCACTGCGGGTATGCAAATCCCCAGCATGATCGTGGCAGATATTCGGATTGCGCGCACGCTATCCTTCGTTGGCACGTAGTACGAACGTATCTGAGACACGTGATGTGAGTTTTCGCCGTCGGAGACCCATATGCAGAGTTGCACACTCTTGGGGGGTTAAATACTCTTGGTAGCAATACTAACCTTTCTTTGATAAAGGAAAACGAAGGGATCATCACCCTTTTGCAGCAGCGTCATTCTCAAAGTCCGGCCAAGGATATTAGCGTGGAACCAATCCAATGAATCATCTGAGTGTCGGTATGCAGGAAAGGGAACGTCTGGTATGGATGAAGGCTCCTTCTCTGCGTCCTCCGTAGGTGCAAGAGGGCTATCAGAGTCCGTGGATGGTCGAATCGGTGGCTCAGGCAGAGCAGAGTCTGGTGTGGATGAAGGCTTCTTCTCTGCGTCCTCCGTTGTAGTGTTTGACTTGGTTTCAGTTGGAAGTGCAGGTTGAACAAACTCCTTGGGTGCAACCGGGCTACCAGAGTCAGGGGATGGTCGGATTGGTGGCTCAGGCAGAGCAGAGTCTGGTGTGGATGAAGGTTTCTTCTCTGCGTCCTCCGTTGTAGTGCTTGACTTGGTTTCAGTTGGAATTGCAGGTTGAACAAACTCCTTGGGTGCAACCGGGCTATCAGAGTCAGGGGATGGTCGGATTGGTGGCTCAGGCAGAGCAGAGTCGGTGGTAGCTGACAGTGGTGTCGGCTCAGGGGGCACCGAGTCGGTGGCTACTGATCGTGATGTTGGTTCAGGTGTGGCAGAGTCAGTGGCCCTTGAAGATGGTGTTGGCTCAGACGACGAAGAGCTACTAGCGCTAGTTGCTGGTGAAGGCGGTGTGGGCTCAGACGCGCTGGTGTTACTAGTACCAGATGAGGATCTGTCAAGGGGTAGATTAAACAGACGTTCTGGGAATTGAACCCCAGATAGGCGAATATGCATGACATTGCCTGGATGAACAACGTAGACACAGAAAGCAGTCAAAATGATTAGCAAACAGTTCACACAAGCATAGAAGCTAAACCACCTCACTATTTCAGCTGTTACAAAGAACACACAGCTTCTCCAAAAATGAAAAGTGTGCAAACTCTGCGCATAGGACCTGTGATGGCAAATACTCGCATCATGTAGTGAAGTACCGTATTTCCCCGAATATAGTAATATACCGTAGTGTTTTGTATTCTAAAGCCTGTCTCATAGAGAAGCCTGTCTTGAATAGAAGCCTGATTTTTCAAGACACACTGTCGGCACATACGCCTGGTTTTAGTGTTGACATACATAGAAATACCTGTCTTGTAATGTATAGAAGCCTGTCTCATATAGAAGCCTGCAAAAAAACCCCAGGAAAGTCATAGAAGCTGCGGCTTTTATACACGACGTTTATACACGACTTTACGGCAGGTATTGTAGTAGCACCTTTTTACAGTTAGCTTCAAGCCGGCAAAGAAGGGAGTTAGCTTCAAGCCGGCAAAGAAGGGAGTTAGCTTCAAGCCGGCAAAGAAGGAGGCGTGACTTACAATCAAGCGTGACATCCTACATAGTGTGAATATACTGAACCAGTAGTGCTCAACTGATCTGAAACCAGGGGTGCGACTTACAGCCGAATGTGACTTATAATCGGAGAAATACGGTAGTGCTTCTAGTGTGCTTTGCACTCCAGTCTACGCTGGTTGTCAAGCGATGCACAGTTCTGATCTGCAACAGACCATTGTCCATTCCCCTTCATGGAGTGCTACTTTCAACGGCAGCGGAACCCACATACTGTAAGACATGTATTATAACGAGGAAGCAAATCTAACTTTTTAACGGATGACATTTCATCGTTATAATAAGATTCGTTGAGGCCGTACTGCTTCAGATATGCTGTGTGTGGATATGGCAGAATACTGCAAGATCGTTAACACATCTTCTCGTCAGCCTATGAATTTTGGACAATCATTAAATTTGCGACTCGTTTTAATAACATGTCTTACAGTAACACGAACAAGACAAAACTTGGATTTTAAGTTTTAACATGAAAGAAAATTCAGATGGAGTACAAGGATTTTAGAGGTGGCATCCTGATAATTCGAACTCCCCAAAAAAGTAGGCGTACATCCCCAGTTCTAGGTTTGAACTTAGTTGGTAATCGTTTTGTTTGAAGTCAATACTGGAAAACGGGTGATGTTTGTGATTTGTGTGAGAGGTGCCGAATCGCAAATTTCGAAGTTCACAAACTCGCACCATGAAAAAAACGAGAAAGATGCGCGGTCACACACAAAGCAATGGCAACCCCGTCGCCTCCCCTCCCCCGCTTTTTTCTTCGTCACATACACTGCACCAGCACCACATACTTTCATCATGATGCTGTCCACGTCCGAACACACGATAGAGCATAGGCATGTGCACAACTCCAATACTCGTCTCATTCACCTCCACCACTTTGACTGGCAACCGTGCATTCTCACGGTATACCCTTTGCGGCACAGCACTGATGCCTTTCAAGCGACGTAGCTGAGGAAACAAAGATCAATAGACAGCACATCACTAGTACAATGAGCATACATGTACATGTGATCAAAATTTGCACATCACCCAAGGATTACGAACTGGAAAGCTGCAAACAATCTCACAGTGGTCTTGAAAAGCACTTACCGAGTTGCTTCTCCAGAGCAACAAAACTACTCCAACTCCTGCGAGAGTATATGGGACATTCTACACAAAGAGAGGGAAATGATACGTGACACAGATGAGGTTATCTCAACCATTGGTCATTTAAAATAATTATACCGGTCGGAGTCAAGTACATAGTGCCAAAAAGTATTTCAAAATACTGCTTATGTCATGTAATAGACACCCTTAGCAAACAACGGTAATGCTATTATTTACGGTACTCGTACCTTGATCACCCAAATAGCGTTGAAGATGCAGCGTAAAAACGTTATTTATCGTTGTGACAAACGGTACGTTTTTTGGCCAAATATTGCGCAGTGCGTACCCATTTCACCTTGCATCGCGTATATGGCGCCATAAATGGTTGTACCGCGCAAAATAAAAGCTATACTCATGGCAACAGCGTACTAAAATTAGCGTGCATCTTGCTAAAGGTCAAACCCAAATCTCGGTATTTTCCCCCTTACGGTAACACCGTTACAACAATCATAACGTTTTTTTTGCTAAGGGTGTCTAAAAAGTCAATGTACCATTCAACTTTATCCAGGTTCTAGCTAAGGGGAGAAGGGACAGCATCCCCTTACCCTGATGGCACGCCCCTACAGTGCATTTCAAAACTATAGACGCGTAGGGTTTTTGAAATATTTCAAATTTGGCTGGAACTTTTTGAGAATAGTTTTCGGAATATTGCTCAGGATCGCTCCACAATTACTCTCATATAGTTTCTAAAGGATAGGATAACAGACGCCCAATTTGGAAAAATTTATGCACAAAGTGATCACAGATTTTATGTGGTATAGATGCTGGCATAACGGTTTTTGCCTAGGTACGCGTCTATAGTTTTGAAATGGACTGTAGCCCTCCCCTACTCTGATAGCGCACCACCCTATTATGGCCTACTCATTTTTCGACCGTCTCTGTTTCGTTGTGTTTTGTGTTTCTGGCAGTCATGTGACTAATTACATATACATGTACATCACCAAGATCAAGAGTACTCTCTATGTACTCTTAACATCACTGAAATCTCCCGAAAAAGTGACATACAGGTCAGACCTCGCTATAACGACCCCCGCTACAACATAAACCTCACTATAACGTACAAATGTGAATGTCCCTGCCGAAACCGCATCACTTCTGTACAAAATTTCCTCGCTATAACATAATCCGCTATAGCGTAATGTTCGCTATAACGCACTGTTTGCTGGGTAACGGGCGCACGGAGACCTCAGCATAACGTAAACACTCGTATGAAAATGACTATGTACACGGCATGCATGCCTTCTCGCGACGAATTCGAGACTGAGCCGTCCACCTCGGAAGCAGGGAGTAGTAAAATACCGGTATTTTACTACTCCCATTACTTTTTATAGGCTCTACATGTATTATCTTGTCACATGTACAAGTACACGCACTACATGACTCTCATGACTCTTGTCACCCCTTTGCTGACAAGCCTGTACACATCTTTGCTAGTCATCATCATACCTGTATGTAAAACAGCACAGTTGTAATCAGTAAGTGAAGAGCGTCATTTTGACATACATATTGCATATTGGTGTGCCCAACTCACTATAACATAAACCTCGCTATAACATAATTTCTCCCATCCCCCAGAGATTACGTTATAGCGAGGTCTGACCTGTAATTCAGTAAGACACAAATACATAATCATTGTAATTATGGGAAATACCTTTACGATGCGGAGATTGTCGTCAATCTTCAATGAAAGATAGTCCAGCATAAAGGCAAAGCTGTCTACAGTTCCACGATCTACGTTGTCTTTTTTAGCCACATCTTTGCTGTTAGCTGGGAAATTTCTTCTTTCCGACATGCTTCACTGATCAGAGAGTGGTATTTCAACTATCTCCCTGCTTCAGATTGGCGAGCCAAGAAGAGGCAGACTGGTACTGGACGTAGAGTCTACCACTCACACACGTGTAGGTAGATCTACAGCTACAGGTACTAGGTACATGATTGTGGTGTCCTGGTGTCGTGATAATTATTATGATTAATTTATGGTCATGTACATGTACGGACGTGCTGGTATTCGTGGTGCAATAATGAAAAACTGAAAGACAAAGTAAGATCTTCTTTTTGTTTTTGAAGCTGCATGTTTTTCCCGCGGTCTGGACTTCATCGTACCGTACGCGTAGATCAACGCGACCGTGAGTATGACGCCTGACGCGATATATCGACGAATCGACGAATGACGACGCGTCGACGGTCGACCGCGACTTCTTTGTAAAAATATTTTTCTATAAAACGGTAGAAACTATTACTTGCTTGAATACAATAATAATTATTATGTACTTGTCTTTGTAGTCTAGTAGTAGTAGTAGTAAGGCGAAGCTTCACGTCGATGTTTGGAGCATCTTGGAACATCGAGCGTTAGTGATGATGGGCTGGACAACTATCACCGTTCGCTTGCTGTTAGCATCATCCTTCATTGGCGCCGTCTGTTCCGTTCCTCTCAGACATGGTAATAATGGTAAAGTCAGAGCAGGTGGTATCAGAAATCGTGTCGCACACGTCACAGGCGAACATAGTGATCATAGAAGGAGGTTTGATGATGATGTTGGCAACCGCAGGAAAAGGTTTGCTCGTAGCAGAAGAGACTCTGAGACGAATGACAATAACAGGGAACCTATAAGATTTCAACACCATCCAGATGCTCGTGTTGCCGATAATTTGAACGGAGAGGAAGTGGTCCATGCACCAGTTCGTCATGGAGTTAGAATGCCTGATGGTGTGAGATCTCGGTTGAATCAAGAAAATGATCAGTTTGGAGGTCCATTGAACTCTCACCAGTCTCGATTGGAACAGACAAAACACCAGTTTGAAGGTCAGGAGAGGTTAGCCAACCGGAGACCCCAGGAAAATATCAATGAAGACCGTGAAGGATTTGCTGCGCGTGACATGGGAAATTCTGATGACCAGCAAGCTCGCCACATGGTTCATCAACGCCGTGATGACTATGTTACTGATGGTGTGCCTCAAAAGCTTGGCAATCTCCCAGCCTTGACTGGTTTTGAGATGCAAGGCAATGTTATGCATGGTACTGATTCACCAGTCCATGTGAGAATTGAGGGCGAGCATGCGAATGGCGGCAGGCCGGGCAATTTTCCGGCTGCTGCTCTCCAGCAACAGCGGTTTGAACAGCCAGCAGCCAGGCCACAGAGAGGTCACCAAGAACAGCAACGGGGTCCCAATGGGCAAGTGGAGCAAGAAGAACAATGGTTGAACCACCGGCAAGACACACGAGCAGCACATGGAGAACGCTCTCGCGATGGCAATGCTCTTGATAGCCACGACTCAGAAAACTACGCCGCCGGGAATGGTGATAATCAGGACTATCCTGTGAATGCAGATCACGTCATTGGCCGAAGCAAAGATAGCGATGTTATGAGTGATGGCGGTGAGGATCAGCTGAAGGCTGTGCTAAGAGATATTACTAAACTCAGACAGGAGATGGAACAGGAAAGTGAGGTAAAAATGTTGCCACCTGATCACCTGGTGGGCATGCCATTGGAGAGGGACGGTGACAGTAACCCATCGATGCACCGTGAGGCTTTCTTTGGCAAGGAGCTGGGCAATATGCGCGGGCTGAGCAAATCCAGTACTATGCGGCGATTGAGGCAGCTGTTCTTGAGAGCTGATGCTAATAGTGATCAGCAGCTTGATTCAACCGAGCTTGCCGAGTGGATACACCAGCGTGGATTGGAACATATGAATGAGGCCCAGGCTAAAAACCGTGCTGACTTCAATCACGTTGACAGAGACCGTGACCAGGAATTGACATGGAATGAATATGCACGGCACATTCAGCACATGAAGTCATCAGATGTCCAACACCATGCACCCAAACATCTGTCAAAGGCTATTTGGCGAGACCTGCAACGTGTGAAGAATGGAAATCGTGTGCCTGTTAGCGATCAGATGCGCTCCAGTATGGGCAACAGTACTTTGCAGCGCTTGCTAGTACGTGACTTGCAGCGATGGCGCAATGCAGACAACGATAATGATATGAAGCTTTCCGAGGGAGAGTTCTTCACATTCCGTCACCCGGAGTACAATAGTGTCACACTGTCTCAGCTAGTAAAGGAGCTGATTGCAGAGTTAGATCAGAATGGTGATGGTCAACTGACGCAGGATGAATATTTGTCCAGGAAGCGCACTCACAACTCCAAAGGCTTGCTTGATGAAGGCGACGGGCTCGAGGAAAGGCGTCGCCAGTTCACTGAGCTGATTGACGTGGACAGTGATGGTATGGCAACGCCTGATGAGCTAGAGCAGTTTGTTGATCCTCTCTCAGCACAGAGCTCCATCAATAGTGCTCTTGCTCTTGTGCGGCGTGTGGACAATGATAAAAATTCTAAAGTTTCCTGGGACGAGTTGGTATCCCACCAGGACTTGTTCGTCGACAACAATCTCAACCCAATTGTTCGTAAAACTCATAATGAGTTGTAACTTTTGACTTGACGAGTGGTACTGATGCCTTGATTATTGTACTGCCCAGCCATGCTAGGTTGGCATCTGTCCTATTTTTTATCCACTTCTTGTATAAAAGGAAAGTATTATTGGTGTCAGGAAGTCGTTACAAACCTTTGTACGACTCCAGGTTTGTACGACTCCCTGATTGCGTTTAGTCTTTTAAATACTGCATTTACTCACTGTTATTTTACTGCATTCTGAGTGAAATTCTGCTGGCAGATATCCAGAGATCTTTTTTCTTTCTTTTTTTTTGCTTTAACACATCCTTTGTTCAGATCTTCTTTTTCATGGTCTCAGTCTCACAGTCATGTGCATTTTTTACATGGTTGATATGATTATGCATAATAATATGTGTATTATCTTTTTGAGGACTTGTTTTGTTCATCATGCATTGCACCATACTACATGTACATACGTATCTCTCTGTGCTAACGCTGTCGTCTGCATGTGCATATTACAAAGGCAGAAGAGGACGGTGATAGCCAGTTGTCGGAGGATTGCCTTAGCCTTGCTATGTGCATGCACGAAACGCAGAGTTACAACTATGATTTATCCGGTTTTCACTGTCCTCTTCTGTCTTTGTGGTATTGCTCCATTCTTGCGGTGTTGAGCACTCTAGCAATCTGGGAATTCCCACTATTGTCATCTGCATACTACATGACTGTAGTGTCGGATCGGAGATGAGTGGCATTCACGCATTATCTCCAGTGCGGACCCGTGCCTGACTCTTTACCGCATCACAAGGAATTGCACCATTCTCTGACATAATATTATCCATGTCTTGTCGTCATTTGTGGTCATGTGTCGTTAATCATCGATCTGGTTTGTTTTGCTAAAGGAGGCTAAAAGCTAAAGGAGCACCTGGGATTCACTGAGAAAAAGCTATCATCCACTGACCCAGCTGAGCATCAGGCAATGGTGAAACTACAGTTACTTCTGAATTTCCATATCTCCCGTCCCAGCACCGGTGCACCATGAATCCACGATCACCCAATGCCAATGCGACAATGGGCCTCCTATATTAGGCTATAACCGGTACTCCTATCCATCCCCCAGACCACATGCGTGGTCCATGCACCAAGTGAATTATTTTTATGATGCAGCGTATGTGACGTCACCATGCCCCATAAACATGAGTCATTGATGATGTCACGCGACCAGAGCCAAAGAATCAAAGAATGCCAAGACCAAGAATCATGATCCACGAGATTTGTGTGCAAGTCGACTTGTTGCACGTTGTAGTTATTTCTTCCGAAGGAAAGAAGATTGCTGGCTATCAAGCAAATAATCACCTTTCATTAAGTTGCAAGAAGAAGATCCCAAACAGAACCTTCTTGTCTTACTCGCATTTAGGCTGGTTTCCACCTCGTAGTGTTCCCAGAATGGCTCTTTTTGGTAGCCGGATTTTATCACTGAGGGGATGTCTGGGTGGCATGAAGCGGTTCAAATGTAAGTACATGTACACCAAGAAACGTCTTAGCTAGTGATACAGCAGTGTAAGCATGACTTGAGAAGGTCTTGATAATGCGCAATAAAGCGGTGAAGTTTTCAATGAAGACGCTGCCCCGGTGCGCCTTCATGAACAATTTGGTCTTTTGGGTGACTGGCTTGGTCCTCTGCACATACAAACATGAACACCTCACTGTCGTTTGTTAGGCATACACCCAGGTGGAGCTGCGCACTCTGACTCTCTGAGTCTTGGTACCGTATGTACTGCAGCCGTGTGCATGTGGCCAGGGAAATCCGACTCCCGTAAGGGCAGGTGTCGTAGTTGCCAGGCCCGCATGCAGGATTGTGGCACGGGCATGTACACAATAGCAAGTCCACTTGAAATGGATTTGTGATGAGACAAAACTCGCCGAGGTGAAACCATGGAGTGTCATTGCAAGTGATACCCAGTAGAACATTATCTACTCCGATAAGACACACTCTGGCTTAGTATGGACATACTCTGGCTTAGTATGGACATTGTCCGGAACACGGATAATAATTATATTGATACATAGTGAAGTCTGTTAGGATAAGAAGTACCTGGGATACTTAGTATACTTCCCTGCTGCCCACGGGGGTACGTCTTAACATAGTTCTACTGTAGCTGCCACCCACCCCACAGTTTCCTGAGGACTATAGCCACCCACCCCACAGTTTCCTGAGGACTATAGCCACCCACCCCACAGTTTCCTGAGGACTATAGCCACCCACCCCACAGTTTCCTGAGGACTATAGCCACCCACCCCACAGTTTCCTGAGGACTATGGACCATGACTGCCTGCAGATATGCCTCACTGTCTGTGTGGATGTCATCGTTGATGCTCGACACCATGGATCTTCTTGTCCTTGGATTCCAAGGCACTACCTGCAGCCATCAAACACACGACCTTGTGTTCGACCACCCGAACAGCAGCAGTTTTGAGTGCAGTTTCCCGACGGTGGCTATTAACAGTCAGCAGTATTTTGCACACAGCAATGACCAATGTCCCATATGCCACAGATCAACCTGTCGCTTCGGGCATCTTCCAGGCCACTGTCACTAAAATCACAGGTCCTGGACAGATGTACATCGGTGACATGTTAGTGATAACTTGCCTGCTGAGCGCTTCGGGGAGAAATGTGCCATCAGGGCCTGTTGCAGTTTGGCCAGGGATATGTCATCCACCGTCACTTGTGCAAACAGTGTTCGGAGCAGGGAGTAGTACCGTAAAGTACCGTTGATCCGCCCCCTCTCTAATTCCCGCCCCTGTCGGTTTTCTACCTGTGAAGTGACTTTGGCGTATACAACGAAATACGATGTTGAACCGACACATGCACTGCTGTACACAATACGTGCCAATCCAGGATGAAAATATGCACAATCCAGCACATCGAGTCTGATCCTCTACGTTGTTGTACATCGTACTGCACTTGACAGCCTTGATCTAATTCCCACCCCCTGCTGAAAATCCAGCTGGGAAGCGACATGGCGTGGGGGGCGGATCAACGGTACTTTACGGTAAAATACTACTCCCTGGTTCGGAGCATCGGAAAGTACTTTTTCCAATGACTATCAAGAAACAGATTTCTTCCGCTCATTTTCAACCTTGTTTGCTTTGTAACATTAACCAAGCCTGGCCAAATACTACTCCCAATCATCAGCATCCATAGATGTAATGGGGTAGCAGCTCCAGCTCGAGTCATCTTAGTCACCACTCGTCATATCAGGCCGAGCATGTACATACAGGAGTACCGGTAACTGCAGTGTTGCAGAATCTACCTTTACAACTAGGAATACTAGAAGACGGTAGCCAGAATGTGGCAAGACCGTTGAAGAATGCGGACAGAACAACAGAGTGTGTTCACCGCCGGGTGACAGTTAACTGAACGATGTTTACGGTGCACGTAATGCTGCAAGGTCATGCATATACTCCACACTCAAAATTGCTACCGAAACGAGTGTTCACGAACAGGGATTTTCATGTTGCGTACTTGCCAACACCTTGTTTTCCCAATACTGTTTTTGTTTTTGTTTTGTGCTCTTTCTGACATCAGCTGCACAGGCCTTCCAATGGCAAGATGCATTACTGTTGGAGGATTCCCTATCTGAGGATGAACGAATGATTAGGTACTAGTAACTTCCACACTCTACTCTGCAAGTCTTCTCTCGTTTTTATTCTCTTCAAATATGTACATGTACTGTAGTATATGAATATGAATATGCACTGCTACAATGACAGCTGCTGTACCATAGATCAGTGGCTACAAGATCATCATTGGCCTAAAGTTTTAAACCCTTGAACCGCCGTCACAAATGCAGCATGGATATGACAAATCACAACAATATTGCACCTTATTGTGGGCATAACTGTCGTACCAATGATCCGACTTCGCAAGTGAACATTTTAGTTGTAGGTTGTACGATCTTGCCGGCAGATGTGACTGCCTTGTGCACGAAACAAGTCTGTTGCACCCTACTTTGTGCACTACAAATGTACTGACATACAAAGCTTTGGTGTTCGCTAGGAGAAACCGAATGCAGAAAGTGGTCTACATTTCACATTCTAGGGGGCAGTGGACCACCTTGGTGGTACGGCTATTATTTCATATGATCAGTCAGCTTCACACACCATGACCCAGTTCAATCCATTGGGTCCTTCTGCTGTACCTATGCATAGGACAAACCACTTCATACGTATGCCCGCACATAATTATAGAAAAGTACTAGCAGCACCCCCGGCCGGCGTTGCCTGGCCGAATGTGGCATGCGGGTGAAGCAAGTACATGAACAGCACACGTGCTCAGCACGTGGTGGTGGCCAGACCGCTGAAGTCCTCATGGTGAGCTTGAGGGAGGTTCTTCATCGTTGGAAGGAGAAGGAGGCGACGTCTGTTACGCCTTCGGGAGGCTGGTCAGGGTTGTCCATCACCTGGTGGCGGATGAAGCGGCTCAAAAAATTCATAAAATTACGAACAAAAGTGCGATGCGCTCTTCACTGCAGATCAGATGCAGAGTGCAGTCAGTGCAGATCTTTTGTATCCTTTTGTTGCAGATGTTTCTATTTGCAGAGAACGATTCACGTGGTCCGCAGCGCTTGTGCGGCTGCTAGTGCTATGGCCTAGGCTAGGTATACCGTATAGGTGGCTACATGATTCGCACGCTTTGCGTGCTCAGTGCTTCTGCGCGCGGCTGCTACTGCTACTCGTACTGATCGTGTCTGCTACCACCTACACTGTTCGCACGCTTCACGTGCTCAGCACGTGGTGGTGGCTACACGATTCGCACGCTTCGCGTGCTCAGTGGTTCTGTGGCTGCTTCCGCTAGCTACACGATTCGCACGCTTCGCGTGCTCAGTGCTTCTGCGGCCGCTAGCTACACTGTGCTACACTGTTCGCACGCTTCGCGTGCTCAGGGCAGCGCTGCTCCGCAGCGCTTCAGCGTGACACAAAAACACACGTCACAGGTGCCTCTTCTTTATAAGGAGCGTGACACACACACACACACACACACACAGACACACGTCACAGGTGCCTCTTCTTTATAAGTAAAGATGATCCAAAGATAACCAAAAATGCCTTTTTTTGTGCTTTTGGAGTTGTGGCGTACCACATTCAAGCCCTATCACTGTTAGTAAGAGTACATAACTACACATAACTACAAGCGCATGGTGCTTGTGTTGTCTGACAGTCAGTCTTCTGAGATGTCCAAGGCGTGCACGATAATTAGTGACAAATTCGGCAAGGAGCTCAGTGAAGCCATTAACCTGAATCCGGAGCACAGTGACCTCATACATGATGCGCGGAAGGAGGATGTGGCGGTCATTGATGCAGTTAAGAAGGACCAGAGCAAGAACAAGACGGGATTGCGTGGCAACAGGTGGAGCATGGTGACGTATCGTTTGGCGTTGGCTGTAAAGTGCCGCAGTACAGCAGCTTATAAAGCACTGAAGGACTTGGGCGTACTACAACTCCCGAGTCTTCGTTCACTCAACCACTTTACAAGTGCAAGAATTGACAAGCCAGGGTGGTGTGAGGAAGGTATTCACTACCAACAGCAACGTTACCAACAGCACCAGGAGCGAAGTGAAGCCAGCGGAAGCCTGAAGCCCTTGGGTGAAGGGCTGATCATCTTTGATGAGGTGAAAGTCGTCTCTAAGGTCCTATGGAATAGCAAGAGTGAAGAGATATACGGCCTAGCCATGACTGATGAAGATATGGCGTCTCTGAATGATATTTTCTATGAGCTTGGCAGTGTTGACAACACTAATCGCACAGAGTATGTGCTGCAGGTCATTTGGCGAGACTTGACGTCGAATTTTGATGTATTTGGCCCGTACCATACCTCCTCCACGTCTTTGGATGCCAAGTTCACGATGGCCTGCTTTCTGCAATCTATGCAACTCCTGCATAGCTTTGGGTTCAAGGCAATTGCAGCAGTGTTCGATGGTGCTGCGACTAACTTGTCGATGGTGAAGTCTATGTTGGAAGTTCATGGTGCATTTGTGGCGGAAGGCAATGATCATCGCATAAACGCTTCTATTGATCACCCTTACTGGCGCAAACACAAGCTTTCCTTCGTGGTGTGTCCTAGCCATCAGCTTAAGAACATGATCAATGCGCTGTATTCATCCCGTCAAGGTGGTGCTAAGAGCTTCGTGACTGGAGATAGTGTGCCCTTTGGTTGGCAAAGTATCTTTGACTTGTATGACCGGGAACGTGATCGCCAGAATCGAGGTGGACCTAGAGATGTACCGAGCCTCAGGAAGAATTATGTTCATCGTGATGCGTGGACTAAGCTAAACGTGTACCCTGCTAAATTGATGCAGCAGGAGCTTGTCATTACGGAGTTGAAGTCACACTGTGCTGAGTCCCCAGCTCCACGCAATGCTTCCAGTGTGCAGGCAACGGTTGCGTACCTCCAAGCTTGCAACAAAGTATTTGAAGAGGGAGCACTCTCACACCAACGCATCTGTAGTAGCCAGTCAGCTCCTCTACTTTCAATGCAGGAGGGATACAAGTTCTTCTCCGACTGGCTGATCGAGTTGAAGAAGTCTCATCCAAACCAATCATTCTCAAGGCCTTCGCAGACTATGTTCTTAGCTTGGCAGACATGGGACCTTCTCCGCCTGATGATGTTCGGCTTCACTGAACTGTGTGCAGATTTCAATGGCCGTCATCCAGACTACTACATTGTTCCTGTTAGAGTTACCGGCAGTGCGGTGGAGACAGTGTTTGCACAGCTCAAGCAAGCTGCTGGTGGGCGTCTTTCTGCGGTAAACTATTCCACAGCACGAGCGACGCTCACTCTTCAGCGTGGTCTCCTTCCCCCTCATCCGTCCAACAAAGACTACCGTGACACTGCATTGGATCTTCATGATGTCCCACTCCTTCGGAAATAGAGCACCATAGTTTGGTTTCGTCTGCTTGCTTGTTGCCAGCCCCTGTGTTGCTGTCAAGGCTTGCCTTCTTGCTTATTAAATTTTGGGACTGCCAGCCCCTCTGCTGCTACTGCTTCTTGCTTACTTATTAAATTTTGGGACTGCCAGCCCCTCTGCTGCTATTGCTTCTTGCTTACTTATTAAATTTTGGAACTGCCAGCCCCTCTGCTGCTACTGCTTCTTGATTATTTATTAAATTTTGGGACTGCCAGCCCCTCTGCCGCTACTGCTTCTTGATTATTTATTTGGGCCTGCCAGCCCCTCTGCAGCTATTGCTTCTTGATTATTTATTTGGGACTAGCAGCCCCTTGTATGTTACGTGCATGTTTGTAGTGTATTTTGGGAATTTTGTGTTGCCTTCTGTGATTGGGCTTCTCATACTTCTAAGCTCATAATCATGTCGTGACCAGACTACCTGATACAATTTTATTCTGTTTTGTAAAATTGGCCTATGAAACAGATGTGATTCAGTGCTGACATCTTTGGCCACCTGTTGGTCCTTTTTTCCCCAGATGTTGGTCTGTGGTGTGTGCTTCAGACCTAAGAGACCACTTGACAATGGCTTGTGCTGCTGTCTACATGTTCGTCCGCACACTGGGCCTCCATGCATGCGTGCAATGTGCTTTGAGCAGGAAAGAATTTCACTTTGCTGGGCACAGGGTCATCATTAGGACTGTGTAGACTGTTCAGGCAACAATTATTTGCCTCATCCGCCCGTACGCACACAGCAAGAGAAACGAAAAATTGCATGAAAAAAGCAAGAGATACGAAGCATACCAAGAGTACATAACTAGACAGTCTAGTTATGTACTCTTGAGCATACTAGCAGGGCATAGATTAACGGCCGGACATCGGACATTTTCCGGCCATTTTCGGCCACTGACTGGACGTTTTCAATTTCACCGAACATAGTGTCCGGTCAAAAAAGTTAAAAAAAGAGCAGCGACCTTTCGACCTTTTTATGCAGAGTTGGGCTTTCTTCGGAGCTTCGTGCCAAATGCCACTTGCATATCGTACAACTAACATGTATACCGTCGTCTCAGGCGTAGACTTCACTATATTATTTACTTGATCCGCCTGTAGCAACGCGTTGTTGCTACAGTCAATTCAGATACGTCCACATAATGGGTCATTGTGAATATACTTCAGTACTACTACTAAAAAAAAGAAGAAACACCCTGAAAATGTGTTGTGGAAATGTCCGGGCATGTCCGGACAGATTTCAAAACGGAAGGACATTTGTCCGAGCTAAATGAAATCCTTAAGCTATGCCCTGTACTAGTAGTCAATATTCTCTACACCACCACCAAACATGCGCTCTACGCCGACACAACCTCTCTTACACCACCACCAACAGCAGGACATTATCAATTTGCTCGATACTGGAAATAGTTCCTTACGACAGCTGTTTCGAGTAAAATAACTCTCATCAGGTAAGGTCAAGACACTGGAAAATGAGGGCGATTATAGTGCAGTGCTGTGTCTTTTATACCAGCAGCTTATGATGATCAAAAACGAATTGAAATTTTTTTCCCATAGCAAAGATACTGGTACGAAGCATGCGCAAATAAACCACAAGAGATAAGAAGCTTGCGTGCATAAAAAGCAAGAGATGAGGGAGCCATGAGCATATGAGCAGCAAGAGATACCGGTACTGTTACCGTACAAATCATGTACACGTAGAACAGCAAGAAATACAGAGCATGAGGAAATCAACAGCAAGAGGTACGATTCATATGGAGCATGCACACGCAAACACCAAGAAATACAGAGCATTAGGAAATTAACAGCAGGAGATACGAAGAATGTGCAGTGCTCGAAATAATCAGAAACTAAACATGGATCCTGTCTCTGAGGTTGAGTCCCCTTGTGGTTGTTCTGCCTGCTGAGGTGATCTGCATTTGCTCAACTGAATCAATCACTTCCTGGCAGACAGCATGAAAAACCTTGTCAATTAGCTTGCGGGCCACTGTTTTAACTACATCGCCAGAGAACTTGCCAGGAAACATTGCAGACACACACTCTTGCAGGGGACCAACGATGGTTCTGTCATGTTCCAGAGCAGTTGACGCAACAATGACCATATCCTTGCCATAGGTTCTATATGCCTGCTGATTGACGACACCATAGATCTTATCCAGACTCTTCTCTGCAAAACTAATGACTTCTGGCCGCATGAAAGTCATCCATCCTTTATCACGTACGGTTAGACTTGTTGGGATGTTCGCTTCCGCTTTCTCATCCCTCTTTAGTCTCAGTAGTCGGCACAGGTCCAAGCATTCTGTCTCCATGGTTCTGAGGGTGCTCCCATCACGATGTTGTTTGCCCTTTAAGCCAGCAATGCAAGAATGAAGGGCCCATCCGAAAAATCGATGAGCATGCTTGTCCTCCAATGCAACCGCAACACCAGGCTCGTCCTCTATTGCTGTCTGAAGATGTTCCTTGACGACTCTGCAGCAGAAATTGGAAACAGCTGCACCAATGGACATCACTACACTTGTGCAATCGTAGTCACTCAAATCCAGTGCACAAACATCAGGGTGATCCATCTCAGATCGCAGTGCGGTCGTCCACATCATTTGGAAGATGGCATATTTGTTTGCCTTGGTGGAAGTTTCTCGGTGTACCTGAGCAAATTTCTCAGCCAGACGAACAATCACCCTCTTCCAAACTCTAGGAAACTTTTCAAGACTCGATGCCCGACCAGGAAAAACTTTGATATGAAGCTCGCCCAGGACACATCGCATCACCTCAGCTTCAAGTATGGAGCTCTCAATGTTGGCCAGTTTCTCAACGACCTTCAGCTTTTCGTGACCTGTCAAGAGTTTAGCTTTCGTCTTCGCTGGGCGAGGTGTCGGAGCAGCTGGGGCAGAAGGAGCAGACAGGGAGGAAGCGACGTGTTCAGCCGAACTGCCAACACATGTAGCAGCTGCTTCATTCACCACCTCCGGTTCTGCGTTCTGAACAGTTTCCTCCATGTCAAGGACTTCTTGAAGAGATAGGATAGAGCCTGCAATATCCATTCTTTCAGCAGGAAACTAAAAACCAACACGACTAATCAACTACTTCTGAAGGAAAACAAAGTGAGCAGAAGATCAAGAAGAGGAAGAAGATGAAGAGACTAAAAAACAGGCCTTCATCTTGCCTCGTGCAAAAAGAAAAGAAAAACAGGAAGAGTAGCGTCCAGTCCTGAAGCAGGAGTCTCCATTCTCCCTCACTACACTCTTCCTTCCTGAAACAGTTCTCAACAAGAAATAATAAATCAATTTTGCCTTTTGGACATGTTTCTTCAACACGAAGGACACGTCGCGTCGCGCGTCAGTGAAAAAAGAAAGAACAGAAAAGTGGCGCAGTTTTCCACCATTTCCTTTCCGGTTCCACGGCTTTTTCGTGTTTGGCCGGTTTCAGTCAGTTAAAATCGAATTTCCCCATCGCGAAACTCTGCCCTCGGCCTCACTCTAGCGCGTCTGGCGCCAGTCTAGTTCCGCACCATGCAGTTGAACTAGGATTTCGGATGAACCACACACGCGTTGGAGTTGCACACTCTTGTGTAGTTATGTTCTCTTGCTGTTAGGATACATTAGTGCAAAGATTTTGCTGTACACTAGGCAAGTTTAGTTGGCTGGTCTAGATCAAGTGCATGTATGTCGTCTTGATGTGCGCTTGTGTCCCTCCGCATGCATACATGTGTTTGTTTGTGTGTGTGTGTGTGTGTGTGTGTGTGTGTGTGTGTGTGCGTGTGTGTGTGTGCACGTGCATATGTGCGTGTGTGCGTGCATGGGTGTGTGCATGGGTGGACGTGCGTGTCTCGTGCTACAGAGATCAAGTCCGAACATACTGCCAGGAGAAGCTAATGCCTCGTGTCACTCTTGCACATCGTCAGGAAGGTGGGCTGCCATGGGGCTTCGCAATGCTTCTTTTTAAAAGCGAGCTTCACAACTGCCCTAGATTGGAGTATCATTGCTCAGAGCTTCACTACCGAGGATACAAATATCTGGAGGCTGCACAGATATTTGGAAATGTCTTATGGAAATAGATGGCAGATAAGCTCACTGATACATCATGTAGCTTGAACACTACTTTACTCTGCCTGCTGGTAGTGTAATTTCTATGATTGTGCATGGTGCTACATGTACTTCGAAGTAGATGATTGTACTTGTCCTCCCCTACCATAGTTACTACCCAGTGGGGTATGTCAAGTTGCCAATTCATGCTTTGTTCTGGTCTTGTTTTGTACTCATGGCAGTGTTTGATCGTGACATCATGACGGAGATGGGTTCGATGGGCATGCTTGGATCAACAATTTCAGGTACGTCACTGTACTCCCGCCTTCTCCTTGTACGTGTACATGTACACCTTGGCCAGGTGGTCCTCTTATCCAGGTCCAGTATGTCGCGTGGCCGCATTCACTTCATATCCTGTACTTTGAAGTACATGTACATGTGATATAATATCATGCTGATCTGTACCTCTCATAGGAAATAGCATAGCTGTCGTCTCTATATGCTATATGTTTATGTATGTGTAAAGAGGGATTTCATTACATTTCAGCTGCCATGCCCCTACACGGATGTGTTTGGAAAGCTTTTTTGTGCGTACAGTCGGACCTCGCTTAACCGCACACATCCGTTTTCAACAAAAAATATCCGGATAGGCGAGGGAACCGGATAGTTGAACACACATACTGTATGTATGCTGCATGACATAATTATGCTGTAAATCGGTAACCAACGATTTTCTTCCGAATGGCGAGGGATCCGGATAAAAGAGGACCGGATAAGCGAGGTCCGACTGTACTACATAACTCGTATAATCATATTATTTTTGTTGTTTGATATTTAGGCTATGGCTGCCCCGGTGTGTCATCTGTGGCTTACGGTCTCATTGCCAGGGAAGTTGAGCGGTGAGTATCATCCACCACACAATATTGTTTGCACTGCAATTGTATTATTTCAAGACACTCGTGTACACACACATACACACACACACCATACACATGCGTACGCTTCTATCTGCACACAACACGAAAAGATGTTTCTGTAACATCAGTACGTTCAGTTTCTCCTCTGTTCTCATTGCTGTGACTCCCTCGTCTGTGTCTACTATTGTTTGTTTCTATGCTTATTTAATATTTAAACTACCCCTTCGGTCCTACGTAACCATGAACCTTCCAAGTTAGTTGGAAGGCTGTTGGTTTGCGCACTGGAGATGTGTTAGAGCTAGGTCTCGGGTCGCTGAATGTCTCAGTAGCCTGTCAGTTTTCTGCCCTATTTAATATCGCACTTTCTGACCGTTTATCATCTTGTTACAGTCGTGGATAGTTGCTGCATAACTCATTCTCATGTGTTTCTTCTCTTTTTTACACTAGTATATAATACATGTACTATTTTTAGAACGCATCGGAAGTGCGTCCAATTTAAATTGTAGTCCATGCACCTGCGCTGTCAACGCCAGTTTAGAAATTCATGTACGAAAGTTGATTGCAGATTTTTACAGACTCGGATTTCTCTGGAAAGAATTGAGTTACGATTAGAGTAATTGAAGGGTCTGTTTGCTTTAGTGAGTTCTCAGCTGTCGGCTTGAACAAGTCCGAATCCAAGAGTGGTGTCCTGCAGCCATTATTTGTACAGTGTCACTTCCCACTGTTTCCAGGTAAACCAAGAGCAAAATGCTGCCCTGTAAACTGAGGTGCCTGTAGCTAGGTCTGAGTGTATGTGCTAGTAGCAAGAGTACATAACCCCCTGGGGGTTATGTACTCTCCCCCTGGGGGTTATGTACTCTCCCCCTGGGGGTTATGTACTCTCCCCCTGGGGGTTATGTACTCTCCCCCTGGGGGTTATGTACTCTCCCCCTGGGGGTTATGTACTCTTGCTAGTACTTTAAAGTAGTACGGTGTTGCTGTAGTGGAGTGTCAACCCTCTCTGTTTGTTCTTGCTTTAAATTAAATCTTGTTTTGGTTTTTTGGAATTTGTGTTGACTACAGAGTGGACAGCGGATACAGATCAGCGATGAGTGTGCAGTCATCTCTGGTCATGTTCCCGATCTTTGCGTTCGGAACCGAAGCACAGCGGGAGAAGTACCTGCCAAACCTGGCCACTGGTAAAACGATTGGTTGCTTCGGTCTGACTGAGCCGAACCATGGCAGTGACCCGGCTGGCATGGAGACTACAGCCAAGTTTGACAGTGCGAGTAAAACCTACACGCTGAATGGAGCCAAGACATGGTGAGTTCTCAAGCATATGCATGTCCGAAGTTGTCTGCAGGCTCATCATGCCTTGCAACGAAATTATCAGTTCTTGTTCTTGATGCAATTTGTAAATAGTTTTTAAATTGTTTTGATGCTGTTGGACTGCTTTTATGGTCAGGATCACGAACTCACCAGTAGCCGACGTCTTTGTTGTGTGGGCAAAGTGTGACGATGGTCGCATCAGAGGATTTGTATTGGAAAAGGTAAGTGGTAATCCGTTCAGGCTGTGTGAATAGAATACCGTCAACGCCTGTGTATGCTATGCATCTTGTTCAAACCCGGGGAGGGCACCGGACTCCCTTCACAGCAGCCTCACAGTACGTTTCCTGTCCTCCAAAGTATGGATGAGGATCTTGATCCATATCGACAATGCTGCTGGTCATGAACACCCCCTTTTCGGATGCAACTTTAAAATCGTCTGCTCTAGCACTTGACTTGCAGAGATTGTGGTAGCATTTGTGCATCTCTTTGTGGAAGCTGAAGTTGAAGGGAACATGGAATCTGTGGAGCTTGAACGATTTAGACAGTGGCCTTGCTTTTCTTTGGTGTGTGTGTTTTCAGGGAATGGCTGGGCTGTCAGCACCCAAGATAGATGGTAAATTCTCACTGCGCGCCTCTGTAACTGGCCAGATTGTCATGGATGATGTTAAGGTTTCTGAAGAGCATCTTCTGCCAGCCGTGTCCGGACTAAGAGTAAGTACAACTGGCTGGAGTGACCAGTAGTGACCAGTGCTGTTGTTCAGTGTAAACTCACGACTCTGTGGTGTACACGGTGTTCATACCATAGTATAATGTACACATGGGACAGGGACTAACGTCATGCAATGCCTTGCATCGTCTTGGGTACAGAACAGTGCCGAAATGATTACCGTAATGTCGCGTGCATAAGCCGGATTTGTGCATAAGCCTGTCTCGTGTAGAAGCATGAAATCTGCAACAGCTTTTCGCGTACAAGCCTGTCGCATGCATAAGCCGGGCCAGTACACGAGACGCGCCACGTGTCGCGTGCGTAAGCCGGGCTACTACGCAAGACTGGTGAGCGCGCCTTTTACATGTTCATGTTTGCATGGTACCGTACACTTGCAAAAAAAAAAGAAAAAAAATCCCGTTGGAAAATGTTGGTTTTGACGTCCAAAAGTCAGCAGTTTGCGCATACAAGCCTGGTCATTGAGTGGTGCTTGTCATATAAGCCTGTCTCGTGTATAAGCCTGTCTTGTGTACAAGCCTGACTCCATCACCGGCTTATAGGCATATAAGCCCCGGCTAATGCACGCGACATTACGGTATGTTTTTTCTTGGTGGCGTAGCTGTTGACTTTGTGCATTCCTGGCCAGTAGGTGCAGGTATGATCACACTTCATGGCCTTTAAAATATCGCCAAACTTGGCGTGATAGCGGCCGAGGTTCGACTTGCAACTATTACCAGAGGTCCGCAGCTGGCGTGCATCCATCCGCTCCACATGCTCGGGAACAGCTACAGCATCCACTGGTGGCAGAGCAGAGGATACGTCCATAAGACTATCTGCCATGGAGGCCACGTTGACCATTCCCATCGTGTGACTGGTCCAGGCCTATACCATCCGCACTGACGTAGGTTTAGGCTGCGTTTACACGACAACGCACGGCCAGTTTTCCGTTTTCAGTCCCGCATTTCTTCTTTCGTTTTCGTACGTTTACACGATCAAAGCCGATCCGAAGTGGTCTCCGTTTGTATCGTTTTCAAGCGTCTACACGAGAGCAAAGAATCCGCCAAAGTTTGTCATGTGCCAAGTGTTGCCGTGGAAGCACCAATCACACTCAAGTAATGTTTGAAAACAGGCACACGACAACACACGTCACATGACGAAAATTGTAAAAACATTTTTTTGGATTGTCGAATCCGTGTAAACGGCCGAAAACGAAACAAACGTGACGGAAAACAAGGCCAGCACACCGTTTCGACTGTTTACACACCCAAATTTATCCGGCACAATATTTCCGTTTTCAAATTCTTCCACCTTGGCCAGCGTTTTGGTTTTCTTCCGTTTTGGTGTACAACTTTTACGTTTTGCTCCGCGTACCGTGTAAATGAACCATGGATCCGAAAGGATTTCGTTGCGTTTTCGCCCCCCGCGTTGTCGTGTAAACGCAGCCTAACACTGCTGACATAGTTTTCGCGGGACACTATCAACAAACGATGCAGCACCCAGTAGTTGTAGTTTGCGGATATACAGGGAAGGCTTGCGATCACCAAGTTCCTCATTCGGTAACAGTTAACCTAGCATGGCTTCCGTGGAGAAGTAGCGAGCAATCGATGACTGTATCGGTGCTAGAATCGTTTGTTATACTGAAGTGCACAGTCCAGTAGGGAGCGTAATGAGAAGACAGAACCATGGGGAACACATGGCAAAGTAGCGGGGAGCCGGAGCAGTGTGCTGATGAACTGGGCCTACATTTGTACCTCCCCCAACTATGGGCTTTGTTGTTATTGTTGTTGTTCGCTGTTTATCTTCAGGGCCCCTTTTCCTGCTTGACGAATGCTCGCTACGGTATTGGATGGGGTGCACTAGGAGCAGCAGAATTTTGTCTTGCAGCAGCCAGGGAATACACAATTGACCGGTGAGTACAACCCAAGACCATGGAAGCCTGTATAGCTTGTCCCGCTTTGGTGGCAACAGCCTTCTAGAGCGCCAGACAAGTTGAGCACTCACTTCGGTTTAAACAGTCGCAGCAGACAATCACTACGGTGCTGTTGGTCGCCGAAGAACTGGGGGATCAACCTCCTAGCCTAGACCGTTCTTATTTTCATGTATTAGTCTATGCACAGTTGAGTCACCATGTACTGAGTATACATTGGTATGCTGTGTTTAATGAAATCCTAGGCTGGTCGTTCTTCGGCGCCCCACAGTACTGCAATAGCTTGTGTGCTTTCAGAGGTATTGCTGCTAGTATGATCTCTTGATGATTGCTGTTTGAATGCACTGTTTTGGTTTGCAATGCAGCCTCCTTACAATCATCTGGCTATGCTGTTCCAAGTCCAATGTATATGATACACGTAAAAATGCTCTTCGTTGTGCACATGTGTGCTTTTCCGCTGCTATGCAGGAAACAGTTTGGTCGGCCCTTAGCCGCTACTCAACTCATACAGAAGAAGCTTGCTGATATGCTGACCGAGGTAGGTTTTGCCTGTATTTTCAACTTTGCCTGATACGTCAAGGTAACACTTTCTCGTGTGCTTTGCACTGGCCTTGATATGGCTTGAGATAGCAAGAGTGTGGAGTGTCCACTCTCCTGAAGAGTTTCTCAAGTGTAGATGTTTGTATGAATGTTTTTTCTCCCTGTGACTGACCTTCCCTGAGCATGATTCAATCACATGGTGCCTGCCTATGTGATGAGAGTCTCTCTTGTAGCTTAACACGAAGCACGATAAGTTGTGAGTGCCACGACCTTTCCTGCAGTGAAGTACATGGAGTTCAGCTGCTGCTGCCATGGGGGGGGGGGGGGGGGTAGTACCGTATATTCTCTATTATAAGCGCCGTGCTTATATTTTTTCAACACCCCTCTACCCCGTGCTTATATTGGATACCGCGCTTAAATTGGAGCCGTGCTTATATTTTTTCAACCAATACATCCATACAGAGCAAGAAGAAATACATGCTAGATATTATGCACGCAGCATTGATTTCCACCAAGACCGTGCTAATAATAGAGACTGTGCTTATAATGTTTCGAAAGGTGCTCACAGTGTGCTAGTATTAGAGACTGTGCTAGTAATGGAGACCTGTGCTTATAATAGAGAATATACGGTACTTGGGCGCACAGCCATGATTTCTTTGCCTTTTTGTGCACGTGCATGCATGCTATACAGATCACCCTGGGATTGCATGCATGCCTGCGAGTTGGCCGTCTAAAGGATGAGGACCGGTAAGTCTGTTTGTTTAGCTTTACTTTACTTCACGATAGGCACAGGAAAAACTCTGCCTTCTCACTGAGCAAGTGCGGTAACTATCTCTTCTTGTACTTTCTGTACGTGTAGCAGGCTAGCAGCCTGTGCTCATATGGCAGTTTTATTCTTTCATGTCCTGATTCCATTGGTTCATACATCTTTTGACACTTGAAATATTTGGCTGGTATTTGATTCATTTATCTTCGCATGAAGAGAGCTTTGGTGTATATTCTTGTGATGCGATTGCTCGTGAGATTGCAACACTGTTCTGCAATGTAATATTTGCAAGTCTACTTGGCTGTGGTGGAGCCAATCAATCATATCCAATGTATTCTTCTGTTGTGTTGCTTGCTCAGCGCAACTGGCGAGATGATCTCCCTGATCAAGCGCAACTCATGCGGCAAAGCTTTGGAAGCAGCGCGTCTTTCCCGAGACATGCTCGGAGGTGTGTACTCTTTGGCTGCGTTGTTGCATGAGAAGCGTTCATCATGTTTGAGAAATAGAACTGTAGGATGAATGCACGCCTGTGCATGCTCTCTGTGTTGCTTTGAAGCAGGGTACACATGAAGTTTAGTTACAAACAAGCTACATTTTGGCACCCCGTGTACTGTGCAAGACTCAGTAGTCTGTGCATAGTCTTCATGTGCTAATGTTTGTTTGCACCGCCTCTTATTTCCAGGAAATGGCATCAGTGATGAATACCACATTATCCGCCACGTACTCAACTTGGAGGCAGTCAACACTTATGAAGGTAGAACACATTGACATTGTTCTTGTGTGTCTGTGTCTTTCATGGGCATCAGTCAATAGCTAGTTGTGTGCTGTGTGCGTACTGTACATGATGTGCGTTATGCCATTTCAGTATGTTCTTGCCTTGCTCTCTGGGAAGCTTCAAGTATGTTGAACTCTGTTTCCATGGCCAGGCTGATGTAGTACATGATGCCATGTCAGTTTTGAATGGGTTTTTAGGACTGTGGCTGTGCGCCATAGTGTGTTGACTGAAGTCACCATACTGTCCTCCTATGTTGTAATGTGCTGGAAATGCATTCAGCTGCTTGCAGGCACTGGCTTTCCATGGAGTTCTAATACTGTTTTATTAGAGCTGATATTTTTCTGTCTGTCTCTCTCTGTCACTCTCGCTTGCTCTCTCTGTCACTTCTCTCTCTCTCTCTCTCTCTCTCTCTCTCTCTCTCTCTCTCTCTCTCTCTCTCTCTCTCTCTCTCTCTCTCTCCTCTGTGGCGATTGTGATGGTCCTAGGAACTCATGACATCCATGCGCTCATCCTTGGCCGAGCCATAACGGGTCTTCAAGCATTCCAGTGAGAATCTTTGGTCATTGCTCTACGACATGTTTCAATGAGAATCTAGGGTCCTGTAAAGCACGTCAGTTTTCGACAGTGTCCGTGTCTGCTGCAGGTATTTGACAGTGTCCGTGTCTGCAGCAGGTATTTGCTAAAACAATGTTACACTTTTTAAATTTCATACATGCATACATGCATACATGGAGAAGAAGCATGACATTTATTGTCCTACAAAGCATGCAGTGCTCTTCTTTGCACTCTCTTGAGAGCTTGTTTCTGCCAAGTCCGGGGCACACACACGTACCATCACTTATAGTTGTTCTTGCTTGTTATCTAATTTCAGTGATGCTGCATATTTGCACATCCTCCAAACATAGAATAATTGTTACTTCCCTGCCATGATAGATCAATATCAGCCATAGACACGAATTAGTTGAGTGTCAATCATAGACTTTTTGATTATTCCACCTGTTTATAGTTTTTGTGTCCAGATGAGATAGGTGACGTTACCCTCCTGAAAAATAATAATTATAATTACATGTATAGCATTGAATTGAATGAATCTTGCCTCCTCTAGTTTCCCGTGCTTTCTTGGAGTAACTTGTTTGAGCCTTGGTGAGTGTGTAGAGTTCTGCTGATGCTGAATTAATGACTTGGGAAGATGAATTGACAGCACCCTGCTATGAGTAATGCTATAAGTAGTTGTTGGAGACAAAAATGCAATCAAACTGAAGAAAAAGAAGATGTAACAGTTTCGAAAATTTCCACAAGTGCTTTCGATGCCTTCTCATCAGACCGAATACGGGCAAAAAAGAAAGTGAACAAGCGCACTGAACTTTGTACCGCAGAGAAGTGATAAAAACACAAACAAGAGTAGGCAGAAACAGCACAGGAAAATGCGTAACCTCATGCACGTGGAAGGAATGACAAAAGGCACATGGCCGTGTGAAGAACCATAACGAGTGTGCAATGGATTACGATAACAGATAATAGATAACTATAATGGACGTAAACCTGAGTTATGTCCGTCTGCATCCTGGCTAGTCTTCTTTGCATTGTTTTTCTATCATTCCTTTGCCCTACAAAATTCATTGTGCTACTTGTTTTGGCCTGCATTCCACTTGATGGAAAGCATCGAAAGTACTTGTCACGTGGAAATTTGGGAAATGTTGCTTGTGAGGATCTGAAGTTAGAGTCAAGACAGCGGAACCGGTCCAGTTGGTCCCGCCATGGCCGGACCTATTTTTTGGCCACCGACGTGACTTGTGTTACTGCGGAGGAGGTCACGTGTAACTGTTATACCACCGCCCTCCATATCATACACAAAGTATGAAAGCCTAGGCCGGGTACCGGGTGTGGCCGGACCTATCAAAAACTGCTTCCACCGATCCTGCAAGAATGACTATGTCACGCGAGTTATCTGGGTATGCCAGATGTCGAGGCAAAGCTCAGCAAGCAGAGCGTGCCAAGACAAGCCAAGACAAGTCACAAGATTAGATAGCGTTCGTAGTCGTCTTTGATCATGGTACATTTGTCATTCGTAGCAGTAGCCTACAAAATAGCCCGCTACATTGTAGTCACTGCCTCACTCAGCATATAATATATCTAGTACATACATTGGCGAACTGGGGTTTTCTCAATACGGTTCAAATGGTCGCAAGACCGGGACTCTACCAACCGGGTTATGGTTGTAGTCAGGAGCACTATGCGTCCTCGCCTTGTAACATGCTGTCGAAATACATCTACATGTACCTGCTACGTCGATGGGACCAGCATCCCATCCGAATGTGCAACAATCGGAATACTCAGTAATTCTACCTCGGCGTGCACGTGACCCATCGGCATCGTTGGCATTATTTTCGTTGCCATATCGTTGGCCTCGTACTCGGAGTCGTAGCCTAGTTCGTAGTACATGTAAAGAAGAAGCCTTGCTTGGTAGTGCTCCTGACTACAACTCTGCCAACCGGGTTATCATGGTTAGGCCACCCTTTGTTAATTCATTGTTTAACGTCCTTTTTTTCGCGAAAAGGTACGCGGGAGGGCGGAAAAAAAACAAAAGCCCATTCCAAAAACTGGAAACCCCAATCAAACATTTTGACCAGTAAAGCATGTGATATATACAATATTTCTTGGTCTAATGGCACTTGCAGGCATAGAACAACACTCTTTGATGGTACATTGGAGCACATGCCTGATGAATCCAACAAAACAGGTACATAGCATGGAGTTAGCATGTCATGAATTCATTACATCTGGATTTTTACTAGGACACACACCGTACGATATTTAAAAGCCAACAAAAAAAGAAAAAGAACACAAGACAAAGGCATGCCCGGGAGGCAAGATTATAAGTTTAAGGTCATGATCGGCACACTGTGAAACTACACAATCCTGTATTTACAACTTCGCATATTATTGGTACTACTACTTTCTTGTTTTTTTTTCCGGTCGGAGGCAAAAAGGTACGCGGGCGTGGACGTTAAAGGGGAAGTTAAGGCAAAAATTAAAATTTCACCAGTTGTAGTCTTCGGGGTGCTGAGTCGAATGGTCTTGGTCCGAGGAAGCTGAGACGCTCCCTTCCTACTTGAATCCCAATCGAACTCGCGCACTTCCACCGAAACTGGGTGACTGCGCCCTACGACAGTACGAGATGGGGATTTGTATGCAAAATGTCACTAAAAGCGCCATTTCGTTCTTATAAAAGCACGGATGACCGCGATTGGCCCATATGTTGTAGTCTTTTGGACGCTGAGTCGACTGGTTTTGGTCCGAAAAGGCTGCGATGCAGCGTTCCTCCTTTATTCCCAATCGAACATGATTGAACAAGCGGTCACGTGCTCCTGGGTGCTCAAATCACCTGGTCACCACGCCAGCAGGCGACAAATTTCACACCAAGGTTCAACTCGAGTTCAACTCGAGTGACAGGAGTGCATCCAAAAAAGGTCAAACAGGCTAGTAAGTTGTACCCTGCAGGCACGGTGACCAGGTGACTGGTGTACGCAGGAGCACGTGACCGCTTGTTCAACCATGTTCGATTGGGAATAAAGGAGGAACGCTACATCGCAGCCTTTTCGGACCAAAACCAGTCGACTCAGCGTCCAAAAGACTACAACATATGGGCCAATCGCGGTCATCCGTGCTTTTATAAGAACGAAATGGCGCTTTTAGTGACATTTTGCATATAAATCCCCATCTCGTAGGGCGCAGTCACCCAGTTTCGGTGGAAGTGCGCGAGTTCGATTGGGATTCAAGTAGGAAGGGAGCGTCTCAGCTTCCTCGGACCAAGACCATTCGACTCAGCACCCCGAAGACTACAACTGGTGAAATTTTAATTTTTGCCTTAAAGGGGAAGTATACCCTAAAATCAAATTTTCACCAGTTGTAGTCTTCGGGGTGCTGAGTCGAATGGTCTTGGTCCGAGGAAGCTGAGACGCTCCCTTCCTACTTGAATCCCAATCGAACTCGCGCACTTCCACCGAAACTGGGTGACTGCGCCCTACTAGATGGGGATTTGTATGCAAAATGTCACTAAAAGCGCCATATCGTTCTTATAAAAGCACGGATGACCGCGATTGGCCCATATGTTGTAGTCTTTTGGACGCTGAGTCGACTGGTTTTGGTCCGAAAAGGCTGCGATGCAGCGTTCCTCCTTTATTCCCAATCGAACATGGTTGAACAAGCGGTCACGTGCTCCTGCGTACACCAGTCACCTGGTCACCGTGCCTGCAGGGTACAACTTACTAGCCTGTTTGACCTTTTTTGGGTGCAGTCCTGTCACTCGAGTTGAACTCGAGTTGAACCTTGGTGTGAAAGTTGTCGCCTGCTGGCGCGGTGACCAGGTGATTTGGGCACCCAGGAGCACGTGACCGCTTGTTCAACCATGTTCGATTGGGAATAAAGGAGGAACGCTGCATCGCAGCCTTTTCGGACCAAAACCAGTCGACTCAGCGTCCAAAAGACTACAACATATGGGCCAATCGCGGTCATCCGTGCTTTTATAAGAACGAAATGGCGCTTTTAGTGACATTTTGCATACAAATCCCCATCTAGTAGGGCGCAGTCACCCAGTTTCGGTGGAAGTGCGCGAGTTCGATTGGGATTCAAGTAGGAAGGGAGCGTCGCAGCTTCCTCGGACCACGACCATTCGACTCAGCACCCAGAAGACTACAACTGGTGAAAATTTGATTTTAGGGTATACTTCCCCTTTAACTTCCCCTTTAAAGGGGAAGTATACCCTAAAATCAAATTTTCACCAGTTGTAGTCTTCTGGGTGCTGAGTCGAATGGTCTTGGTCCGAGGAAGCTGCGACGCTCCCTTCCTACTTGAATCCCAATCGAACTCGCGCACTTCCACCAAAACTGGGTGACTGCGCCCTACTAGATGGGGATTTGTATGCAAAATGTCACTAAAAGCGCCATTTCGTTCTTATAAAAGCACGGATCACCGCGATTGGCCCATATGTTGTAGTCTTTTGGACGCTGAGTCGACTGGTTTTGGTCCGAAAAGGCTGCGATGCAGCGTTCCTCCTTTATTCCCAATCGAACATGGTTGAACAAGCGGTCACGTGCTCCTGCGTACACCAGTCAGCTGGTCACCGTGCCTGCAGGGTACAACTTACTAGCCTGTTTGACCTTTTTTGGGTACAGTCCTGTCACTCGAGTTGAACCCGAGTTGAACCTTGGTGTGAAAGTTGTCGCCTGCTGGCGCGGTGACCAGGTGATTTGGGCACCCAGGAGCACGTGACCGCTTGTTCAACCATGTTCGATTGGGAATAAAGGAGGAACGCTGCATCGCAGCCTTTTCGGACCAAAACCAGTCGACTCAGCGTCCAAAAGACTACAACATATGGGCCAATCGCGGTGATCCGTGCTTTTATAAGAACGAAATGGCGCTTTTAGTGACATTTTGCATACAAATCCCCATCTCGTAGGGCGCAGTCACCCAGTTTCGGTGGAAGTGCGCGAGTTCGATTGGGATTCAAGTAGGAAGGGAGCGTCGCAGCTTCCTCGGACCAAGACCATTCGACTCAGCACCCAGAAGACTACAACTGGTGAAAATTTGATTTTAGGGTATACTTCCCCTTTAACCCTTTACCATCCGTGCGTACTTGAATCGATCTCTAGAGATCGATGGACATGCATACACTAAAACATTCGTAACTCGATCGATTCTTGGCGGAATTTAAAGAACTAAGTATCTAGGAAGAAGCCGAAGAACCCAGCTTTCCATGGCATCAATCGGTAAAGAGCTGCGATGTCGCATTCCAAAGATATTTTGCTCGACATTTCAGCTACGGCAAAAGTCGAATTTCTTTCCGAGTGACTGCCCTTCAGCGGGGATTTTCCCCTCTCCTGACATGCTGAGTCACTTTGGCATGCTTCGAGCGCGTGGGCAGCATGAAAAGAAACTCAAACAAAACATTTGGAATGTTTACGATGAAGGAGCGAGAAATGGCTGACGAGGAGAGAATTTCCTCGTATATACAGCGATGGGGTGTATTTGAAGCTCCCTGGCGCTGGATATGTGATCTCGGTAGTGCCCTGTTTGAGCTCAATGTACGCAGCTCGTGGAGAGCTTTCCAGAATGCCCAAGATTGTGAAAATTGGTTGATTAGAACCGAAGATATTCTCAGAATAAGGTGAGAATTATTGCATTTGGGAATGCTGGGGAAATTTGGTCGGATGGTAAAGGGTTAAACAACGAAAAAAGAAAGGGTGGCCTTATGGTTGTAGTCAGGAGCACTATGCCGCAGTATGCGTCCTCTACTCGCCTTGTAAACATGCTGTCAAAATCGAAAAACATGTATCTACTACTCTGCTACTAGTACTACTACTAGATCTTCGAAATGACTCATCAAGCTGCATCATTCAACGGCCTTATGAAGTTATGTCGACATGATGACCAAGACTCACGCAAGAGTCCATTTGGACTCTTGTTATGACCATAATCGTATGAATCATGATGACATTGCATAATACACAGATAGCCCTGGTAGACTGTACAGCTGACGGGTTACGTCCGATCCGTCCGATCCGATCCGTGTGCGTCTAGTCTACGATCGATTTCTTTTCTCATTCTGAATTAATTATTTGACTTCAGTGTTCGAAGAGAGTGCATATTTATTTATGTCTTGGAATTATCCTACAAAGTATTTTCAGTTGTAGGCAGTTTGACGAAACTTGATAAATACCATAATCACTGGGTAGCTGTTACATGTACCAGAGTTTCCGTTGAAGTGACGAGTCAGTCAGCGTGGAGGGAAGTAAGTAATTACACGGGATAGTTCCATTCCTAGACGTAATTAGTTGTGACAATTATGCAAGATCTATTCTCATGAGAATGTTTTAGAAGTCCCAGTTTATTGTCAGAACATCGAGCCGATCTGCTGCAGTTATTGCTCCAGTCTGGAGAGGAAGTGATGGAGAACGAGTCGTCCTCAGCAAGAAGTAGTATATCCAGCAGTGCACCTGGTTTGATGCCATTTGCACCGATTTTCCGGTGTACGGCACCTGAAAACATACATCTCACTTCTGGACTTCTGGAGTTGACAATATACAGACAGTGACTAGTAGCAGTAGTAGCAGTAGCCTTTTGAACGATCAAGTAACACGTTAGTTGAGGTATTTCTAGCTTTGCAGCATGGCTGGTAGCAAAGACAAGGTCGATTATGGACAAATAGGCCCTATCCTGCTTGCCATGTTCTCCCACTTTTTCGGAGGTATGATCATCTTCCCGTTTGTGCCATTTATGGTGACGGATTTCCTGGATCTGCCGAGGAACAAGGTCGGATTCTACTCTGGCTTTCTGGTGAGCGCTTACCACGTCGGTGTGCTTCTCGGCAGCATGATGTGGGGCAGTGTGTCTGATCGCTGGGGCCGGCGTCCAGCTGTTCTCACAAGCATGGTTTTGATGATGGTGTTCAATTTATTTTTTGGATTCAGCAGGTCATTTACATGGGCGGTGTTGGCACGCTTCTTGTTGGGTTTAGGATCAGCTGTCATCTCAGTAGGCAAGACGATCTTGTCGGAGAGTTCTAACAACGCAACAACGGCACGGGTATTTTCATTCATGGGTGTGGTGTCTGGTCTTGGTCGACTATTCGGACCAGCAGTCGGCGGACTGCTATCACAACCAGCTCAGAAGTTTGCAGCAATGGACACGCCATTCTTCCGCGAGTTCCCATATGTTCTACCAATTTTTGTGTCGTCTTCTTGGACATTGATTTCGTTTGTGTGGGCGGTGTTCAAGTTGAAAGAGACACTGCACCGTCCCCCATCTGCTGTGAAACTGTCAGAGAACGAAGGAGAAGAAGATGGTGAAAGTGAGGACATTGAACTCCTTAGACAAGGTGTTGATGAAGAGATGGGTGACTCCGACAAGCCAGAGGAACAATGTCAATCAACGCGACTGTTTCCATGTTGCGGGTCCATATCGTTTTCAAGTTGCCGAAATCCAGGAAGTGGATTTAAAAGGATGCCAGACAATGAGGTAGAGTCAGCCAACAAGCTAGTATTGCTTTGCAGATTTGCCTGCAGCGGCATTCGCAGCTACATTGGTGCATTTGCGCTGCTGCGCCACAAAACTATCCGTCACGCCTGCACCTTGTATGGGATGTTAGCATTTGTTGGTATCATGCACAACGAGGTGGTCCCACTTCTACTAGTTGTCAGCTTTGCACACGGTGGCCTGTGCTTTAACACGGCGGAAATTGGCATTCTGACTGTGGGCTTCGGGGTATTCCATTTAATCATGCAGCTTGTCTTTTATCCACGTCTGGCCAAGCGCTTTGGCTATCGTCGAGTGTTCCGAGGTGGCCTCAGCGTGTTCTTTTGCGCCATTTTGTTAATGCCCTGGCTGACCAAGTTTACCGGTAACCAGGACCCAGCAATCATATTCGATAATAGTACAGACACTGCACTGCTGTATCGTAACCATACCCTGCCGCCGTCTGGACCATACTACTACAATGAGAGCAGCAGTTTGAGCAACAACAGTGTTGTGGACGATGTGTGTGTACGGCATGTGCCATGGACACCTAACACCACTGTTTCGGCCTGTGGTACGACAGAGTCAAGCAACACGACCAGTGTTAGGTCTTTCCAGTTTTCCGTCATCCCATGCTTGCCAGTGTCGGTCTGGATGATTTCCTTGTTCGTGATTGTTGGTGGATATCTATCCCGCACAGTGTCCTTCACCAGCGTCAATGTCATCATTAATAACTCGTGTGAAAGAGAGGTGCGTGGGCGTGTTAACGCTATTGGTATGGTTCTTTCGTCCTTAGGTCGGGTCACTGGGCCTCTGGTCATATCTGTTCTGTTTGCCTGGAGTGTATCTGATGATCATGAATACCCATACCCACTCAACCATCACTTGACGTTCCTGGTGATGGCCATTCTGGCTCTCTTTGTGATGTTGTGGAGCTGGGGTCTACCTCCTTCTGTGGAGATACGAGCAAACAGTGATGCAAAGCAGACGAACGGTTCGCCCTCTTCCGCCGCGAGCAACAACGTTGTGGTTTGCGCAAATGGTTCGCAGATACAGAACACCCTTTTACTAAACAACTTGAAGAATGGTGATGAGCAGGAAGAGAAAGACACTGCTGTGTAGGCGTCACGTTCTCTGCAACTGTGGGTACATTGGAGTCCTTTGCAGGCTTTGTTGCAATGCACACATAAAAGCATGCCTACACATTTTGAGGGTATGCTAGAAACTTGATGCAAAGCTGACTTGAAACAGTCGTTTGCGCGCAATAGAATTTTTTTTAAATCTTTTTCTTGTAGGTCAAACTAGTCTTTTATAGGTTTGAAGGCAGTGAACGCTGGGTCCTATACACACACTCGTTTTGCTACCGCTCTATTTATTTATTATTTTCTACGTTTTCTCCAAATGTGTGCAACGCGTACATCTGTGTAGGTGCACTTCACATCAGGTCGTGTTAAAAGAATCAGAAGAAAGGCATGATTGTTGGCTACTCATACAATTTATATGTATGTTCCAGGACAGCCGGAAGCAATATCTGTCCGGTCATACCATACTCCATAGTCTTTCATTATTTTGTGCATGATATGGTGGGTGAGCGCGACCTCCTCAGCATTAAACACACGGCGGTGGCCGAAAAGTTGGTTCGGCGATAGTCTGACCAACCGGACCGGTTCCGGCATGCCGGTGTTCGCCCATCTGACGACGCTCTCCGCTCTAACATCTCCATATTTCGTCCTCACCCAAATGACCACCACCTTCATGACCACTGGGTTATAGCAATTTTCTGTGCTGAATCAATACCACCCTGCCATCACCAAGAATTGAAGATGTTGTGTATACAGGCTAGGGCCCACTGAACATGCCACGAGTCATCCAACAGAAATAATAATTAAGAGAAAGGACCAATAAGTTTAAGACAGTCCACTAAGGTACAGTTTCTGCTCCAGAGCCGGGTCAGCAACCCAGTTGGTGGGTACTTGGACCCGTTTGAAAAAAGAACACCGGGCCACTTGTGACCCATTTGGGCGGATACGTGATAGCAAGAGTAGATAAACAAGAGTGTGCAACTCCCGGATCCGCGCGGATGGGTTGGCCCACGGCGGAATTTTTTGTTGACGTAATCTTTTCGACGACCCACGCGCTGCTAGTCTTTTGGAAAGTTTTGCCTCGTGCACTTGGCCGGGCTTTACATTACAAGGTCGGTGCCCAGCACGTGCTCTCACACTGCTCTGCGGCAAGAAGCGCGTTTTTCTGAAGAAGAAAAAAGGTGACGTATCTGGACATTGTGCAGGAGAGATCCGGAGTTGCACACTCTTGTTTATCTACTCTTGATGATAGTCATGTCGAGTACATTTTTCTGTTCTTCAAGGCAGTATAGACTGATCTGTCAGTGACAGGCTGAAGGGTACTAGTCACAGTACTTGAAGCAAGTAATTTTGCAAGGCCGGTTGGTACATATTGCACAATATCAGGCGGTGAGACTAGGGGTGTCATCGATTGACGAATCTGGATTGAGTGCGAGCAGGCGGTGTGGTCCGAGCAACGCTGGCCCAATCGAACAAAACAAGGCTGTAGTACGCAAAATGTACGCATATCGTACAAAAGATTCTGTGAAAGCTGTCCAAAAACGGCAAAGTCCATTTCCACTCCAGCCACTCCCGGTGTGGGGGCCGGAGTGGTTGGATTCCACTCCAAGTACACCTACTCCGGATTCTACCAAACGATCACGCTCACTCGGAGCACACTTGCTCGGTATTCGCCCAATCGATCATGCCCTAGGAGAAAGAATGAGCTTTGTTCGAATAGGAATTTAAATCATGTCCGGTTTGCCTGTACTTGGTGTCCTCTTTCTTGTGCACTGTCGGTGCGCCTGTGCCACACATGTCTGGATGTATCATGGCCAGCCAACTCTCAAGGATCCACGGCTGGAGGAAAATCAAGGTTGCCTACTCCCCTCCTGCAGGACTCTTTCATTTATTCGTATTTGTGGGACTTCTGTTCTAGCAACACTGCTTTCTCTCTAGACTCACTGTTTCTCTCTAGACTCACTGTTTCTCTAGACTCACTGTTTCTCGACATCCTTTGTGCCAACCAGGCCTATGGAGTTCATCATGATAGACGGCCATTGGATTTATCAGTACTAGTAGCTTACACGTTTCTTGCTTGTCTGATTGATTGTAGATTGGCTGTAATACCAGTACAGTTATGTATATGTATGAGCTCCTTGTACAGACTTACTACCAATTGACTGACGTGTAGCGGATGTAGATCTACTATGATGGCCGCATGGACTACAGCCTGCAGAGAGCATTACTTATACTTATGCGGTATAAAGTCGTACGCGACTGGACAGGAGATGCTACTGTTGCAACAATAATTCAGTCACTGAGTCAGCGCTTACCCCTTGTGTGTGAAAAAAGCCTCTGGGCAATCACAGAACATGATTATCATTGGCCTGGAACAACAACTATTCAAGTTCATAACACGAAAAAGCAAAACAAAAATATTTTGTAGTGCTTACCCAATTACATAGGTACTACCCTCCACATACATGTAGGTAGTTGTGATGATAGTCATAGCCACGCTAGTACTAGTACTACTAGTAGTGGAGTGCTGGCCCAGCGACTCAATCAGCATTGTACAGCTACAGACTGTCGCTCCTGCTGCTTGAGTGTCGGCATAAGTACAAGTGCGCTGAGCGTACTTCGTCACCATCATCACAAAAGCTTCTGATCCCTCTGCGTCAGCAAACCACAAAGACGTCGGAAAACATTTTTTAGAAGCGGAACACTTGACTCGGGAGACGAACATCGTGGCAACATCGAACGGACAGAATATGCCACGATCAGCTTTGATGATCCTTTCTGCTTACAGTTTTACAGTACTACCGCTTCTCGAGGTCCTCATGTTGCCACATCAAGGCAGTGCCCTACATTCTAGCGCCACCGTCAAAGCGCGAGGCAAAGAAAACTGCTCGGATTAACTTACACTAGTGACAATAGGGTTGGTTAGTGCTCCACACGTCCCATCATGCTTCCACTAGTCTTGAAGATCTCCTACTTAGTAGGTCTCAGCGGACTTCTGGCTTCACTACTCGGATAGTGCTGGAGGATAGTGAACCCTCGATGAGCACAGCTTGCACTCTGCATGTCCAACCGAGAATGGCCGTCCGCAGGCATACATTTTGTAAGTCAGAAAGGGCCTCGAAATAACAGCAGGATGTGGTGATCAATTTCGACGGCCATCACGCGAGTAGGCGACCATGCGAACAAAACTTACTTGCAAAACTGTGCTAGTGTCAGCTACACGATGATCCACACAGTCACGGCTAGCAGCTGGAAGTCCCCTAGTAGTGGTAGTAGAAGGACGACTTAGCAGCTGTCGCTTGTCTCTAGTTCAACTTGATTCTTCCATCGAGTCGATTCACTGCAGTTATCGCTAGACGGGCTGGAGAGAAAGAGTAGGTGAACAAGCCAGTCTCGGCAAGAAGCAGTAGATTCAGCAATGCAATTTTACCTATTTTCCGGTATCCAACACCTACTCTCACTTCTATAATTGTTACGTAGAGAGTAGTACTAGTAGTCGTAGCCCGGCTTGCAGAAGCCTTGTCAAGGAGTCTTTCATCACTATAGACTTCCAGTTTCCAGTCTCAGTTTCTTCCGCAGTGTTGCCATTTCCACCTGTCTCAGGCTCTGGATCTCTTCAGAAACTTTCAGTAAGTTTACCGGTCTCGTCCAGTTCCATTCTTATAATTATTGTAGCTAGTGCAGAGTGACGGTTGGAATGCCTGGCAGCAAGGGAGAGATAGTGTATAGCCAGATTGGCCCTATTCTGCTGGCCATGGGGTTAGACGCTCTGGGCGTAAACGTCACATTCACCATGATACCGTTCATGGTGAAGGATTTCCTTGATGCACCCGGGAACGAGGTAGCATTCTACTCTGGAGTTGTGGTGAGCGCTTACCACGTCGGTGTGCTCCTCGGCAGCATGATGTGGGGCAGTGTGTCTGATCGCTGGGGTCGCCGTCCAGCCATTCTCACCAGCATGGCTTTGGTGATGGTGTTCAATACGTTATTCGGACTGAGCCAATCCTTGCTGTGGGCAGTGCTGACACGCTTCTTGTTGGGTTGCGGATCAGCCGTCACCTCTGTAGGCAAGACAATTCTGTCCGAGAGCTCCAGCGATGCAACAATGGCACGAGTATTTTCCCTCGTTGGTGTGGGGCTTAGTGTTGGTGGACTACTCGGACCAGCAGTCGGTGGACTGTTGTCACAGCCAGCACAGAAGTTTGCAGCAATGGACACGCCATTCTTCCGCCAGTTCCCATATGCTCTACCAGTATTCATATCGACTTCCTGGACAATGGTTTTGCTTACATGGGCAATGTTTAAGTTGAAAGAAACACTGCCCCGTTCCCAATCTAGTATGAAATTGGCGGATCAAGAAGGAGAGCAAGATTGTGCTGAAAGTGAGGACATCCAACTCCTTAGAAGAGGTACTGATGAAGAGATGGATGACTTTGATGAGCCAGAGGCAGAGGAACGATGTCGCTCAACACCACTGCTTCCATGTTACAAGTCCCGGTCATTTTCAAGGTGCAAGCTATTATTACTTTGCCGGTATGCTGGCCGGGGCATCCAGAGCTATTTTAGTGCATTTGCTCTTATGCGGAACAAAACCATCCGTCACGCTTGCACCTTGTATGGCATGTTGTCATTTGTTGGCATAATGCAAAATGTCTTAGTGCCCCTTCTGCTAGTCAACAGCTTTGCACATGGTGGCTTGTGCTTAAACACAGCGGAAATTGGAATTCTGATTGTCGGTTGCGGGTCACTCAATTTAATCATTCAGCTTGTCTTTTATCCACGTCTGGCTAAGCGATTTGGCTATCGTCGAGTGTTCCGAGGTGGCCTTATTGCGTTCTTTTGCGCCACTTTGTTGATGCCCTGGCTGACCAAGTTTACTGGTAACCAAGACCCATCGTTCATATTGGATATTGCAATGGATGATAGACTTTATAGTACAGACACTGCACTGCTGTATCGTAACCATACCCTGCCGTCTGGACCATACTACTACAATGAGAGCAGCAGTTTGAGCAACACCAGTGTTGTGGACGATGTGTGTGTAAGACATGCGTCATGGACACCTAACACCACTGTTGCGGCCTGCGGTACGACAGAGTCAAGCAACACGACCAGTGTTAGGTCTTTCCAGTTTTCCGTCATCCCTTGCTTGCCAGTGTCGGTCTGGATGATAACCTTAGCTGTGATTGTTGGCGGGTATCCCTCACAAACATTGTCCCTCTCCAGTGTCAATGTCATCATTAATAACTCGTGTGAAAGAGAGGTGCGCGGACGTGTGAACGCTATTGGTATGGGTCTTTCATCCTTAGGTCGGGTCACTGGGCCTCTGGTCATATCTGCTCTGTTTGCTTGGAGTGTATCTGATGATCATGACCACCCATACCCACTCAACCATCACTTGGCTTTCCTGATGATGGCCATTTTGGCTCTCTTTGTCGTTTTATGGAGCTGGGGTCTGCCTCAGTCGGTGGAGGAACAAATGAACAGGGTTACGTCACAGATAAACGGTTCATTCTCTCCCGCCGCGAGCAACAGTATTGCGGTTTGTTTAAATGGTTCGCAGATACAGAACACCCTTTTAGTCAGCAATTTCAAGAATGGTGATGAGCAGGAAGAGAATATATTATTTAAGAGCACTGCTGTGTAGGCTTCACATACTCTGACAATGTGGGCACATTGGTAAAATGCATACTTTTAAATGGTTACCCATTTTGAGAGTATATTAGCAACTTGATGCAAAGCTGACTTTAACATTAATTTTTTAACATCATATTCGTCTTTCCCTCGAACCAATGAATATCATATTCTATTCTTTCATTTTTAAGATTCATGACCCTTCTCTTGTAGGTTCTTGTAGGTTTTTTTTAATCCTTTTTTTCTTCTTTTTGATATCTGAATACCGAACCATGTACACTGTCTGTAGCCTCCATTCTAGTCTACTTATCATGTTACATGTATGCTTGAAGTACCCTGAATTAGGTGCTGTGACTGTACATGAGTTCATGCTCAAAGAATCAAGCGAAAGGCAGGCAGGACTACTGTCAGATCCTGAAAAAATGTTTTTAAAAGTACTCTTGATAACTTGATTGTCCATTGCCATTCCAGTGTCATCCGGCATTTTGACAACAACAAAACATTCTATTTACGCCAGCAACACACACAACCTGAGCAGCGAAAGTTTTTAAAAAAAAAGACAAAACTCGGAAATCAACAGCTGGTGGTAGCGGCCCAGGGAAACACAAATTTCTAACTCCCAAACTTAGAAAACCTGTTTTAGACAGCACTTTTGGCTAGAAACTTACTTGGCAGCGTTTACTACACATCTCCTGGCTTGCCGTAAGGCTGCTAATAGTGAGAATGAGATGAAGGGTGGTAAGCAACCACGGCTAACTAAAAACTGCATTTAAAAATGAGAGGGAAAAGAGAGAAGAGGAAGAAGAGAAGGAGAGGTGACAAGAGTAGGGGGCGTTCGTTTTCGATCAACAGGTTTGGGTAGAAACTACTTTTTTCGTAGAGGTTCTCGTTTTTTCTACAAGTACTCAAAAGGGTAGATTCTACTTTCCTTTACCGGCTCTACCAGAAAAAAGCAGGTGGAAGCCGGTAGAAGTATTAGTTGGTAGAGGTACGGGATTTCCAGCAAGATCAAGGAGTTGTACACAACTCCATACAGAAGAGAAACATTTCATTATCGTGAAAAACTACTGAATCTGGTAGAACAGCGTCTACGTCTACCTCTATAGGTAGAGTGACTCTACTCTACTCTACCAGGTAGCTAAAACGAACGCAGCTTAAGTGATTTACTTGTGGAGAGAATCGCAAGTTTGAATTCCTTCATACTGGTGCATGTCTTTAAAAGACCTGAGGGCTGAGGGCTGGGTGGACCATAGGGAGTATGCAGTGAACAAAGGGGATTTCAAGTACAGAGAGGAATTAACACGAGGCAATGCCATAGCATTGCGGGTGGATCTAGTGGGATCAAACCAGTTATACGAAGCAAGGGGCATACTAAAAGTCCGAGGCTACAAGTTTTCAGCACGTTTAAAAAATTTCAGCCTTCAACAAAACACACTTCAGCCAATTTCAGCCTGTACTGTTGCTGCCGGTATACACTATCATACTGAAGCGTGCGAACCAAAATTTCGGCCGCAACAAATTGTACATCATTCTTATCACTCACACGGGGACTAACACTAAGAAACTGAAGGGATATTACATTTCCCTTCTGAACACATAACTCAGGGGATTGAACTCACGAATGTACAATGCCTCAAAAGAAGCCAAGTACAACTTGGATCTACCACCAACCAGAACAGAAAATACATCATCACTTTACGACTCACGACAATTACGCGACACAAACTTTCTATTACATGTATAATCAGCAGAATGTGAGAATAACAATGGTCCAAGAACTCAAACCATTCAAATGTAAATAAGGACTATTTTCATGATTATGACAGGGATTACACCTTTCAGCCAATGCAGAAGTGTCGGATACTAGGGAGTTACTGCTGCCCAGCCCCCAGGCTACATTGGGCTGAAAAGGGCATCCGCCTGCGGGGATAGGATGCTTGGGTGCCCCTGAAGCATGTGACAACTTACAGTAGGCAAAATGAAGTCTTGCACCACAGGTGCCTCATTAGTAATTACCGCGGAATAGATCAGAATTCATTTCCGCGACCAGACTGGCTAGGGTCTGCCGGAATATAGAACATTCTCTGCCACTCATCCCGGAGGTGGAGAAAACCAGGGGTGTAAATGAACCTCGGTCGACTGAAGTCACACGCTCTCCATACTGTCTTTTCTTCATTCTTTCATGGGTCTGAAGCTGACTGACAACTTCTTGGCGCGACAGCAGGAGTGCCTTTGGGTGAGTTACCACAACCTGACAAATGATGCTTAATAGCTGACCGACATTTCGTCAAACTTCCAGCCTTTCTTGTCACCTCCGATATTGTTGCTGATGAATCATCCTGCTCACTCCGATTACGGGTCTCTCGTCCAGTAGCCGATATTTCCGTTGTTATGTGTGGTGGTTTCCTGGGTGGTCTCCCTTGTTTCCTCACGCCCACTTTCGTCATCACCTCCAGTACCGAGGCTTGGTCGTCCCTTCCCGTACGCGTCCTCGTTTGACTGCGAGTGACCCTACCATTTTGTGCCACAGTCGATGTTATCTTCGGTGCCATCTTGAGAGACCTGTGTAAAAGCGTCTATGAGCACCATAGAGCATGAGTCATGGAGCTGCAGATCGGCCATAGGTTTGTAGAAGCTGTTCAATTTACAAGTGCAATGATGGCAAAGTTTTACTCCGAACATTCAAATGGGATGACGCCGCTATAAAAATGATGGCGACGGCTTGCCCTAGAAGTGGCTATGTAAGCACATAATATGCCACTATAAATGCAGGATATCAGCAAGTTGATTGCACATTCGACTCTATGCAGCACCCTTGAACCCACAGAGAAGAGCCTGGCCACAAAGAACGCTGCTCCTAACGCTCATGGTCTGTCACCGAGGGAAATCGTGGAAGAAAAGCTGAACATTCACTGCACAGTTTGCGGGCACTTCCGTGGCAAAATAGCAGGGAATTTGCGGCAGTGTTTGGTAAATTTGCAAGTGGAATGGCCAATTTACTAGTTTGCCTGCCAGAAAACTACATATTTTTCATCAAGAAGAGTGTGTGCCATGTGTAAACTGTATGCTAGGGAGCGCCCTACACATACAGTAGAGTCGCGCGCTGAAGAACGTCCAGCCTGAAATGTTTAGGAGTTATTAAAGAGTACATCGAAGCAATGTCAATTATTTTGACAATTAATGAAACAAGAACGAGAACTAAATGTCAAATGGAATGTATGCTTTCATGAGCAATGGTTGTCGTTTCTGGAACAAAACATCCATACTGTAGCAAGTTCTTCAGAAGAGGATGATACACGATTAAATGCTATTGGTAGCATGCACGTAATAACCTAAATAGAAAGAGAGAGGGGCAGCAATGAACAAGACACTGCTAGCCGCAAGGCAGCGATGTGGTAGCTACACTGTATGATATGCCCCAGGGTAAATTGGAAAGACAAGAACTTTAAATTGACTGATATTGCTAGTGGCAGTGACCTGGGGAAAGACAAATTCCTAAAGCTATAAACCTAGATAACACGTCGTAGACGGGACATCGACTGGAATGTTTGTATTGTAAACATGGAAATGACTGTCCGGTATATTGAAACTCGAAATCCTATTTATCGAAATGAATTAGCTGTTCTAATGATGGCCTAGAAGTAGAAGAGCTCTCCTGTCAGGAAAACAGATGAAACGAACGGGAATACGCAAACAGCGAAACTAGGCACTGGCTACAAGCGACCCGATGCGTCGTGTTGGCCTGCTGGCAGCAACTTTATTGGAGTCTCCGAGGACACGGATGCTGGCACGTTCCTTCTGGTGACTCTCTTCTTCTGTCTCCTGGAGCTTGTCCTGCGAGCGAAAAAGGAAGCCACCACAGAAAAGCTGATGATGTAAAAAGGTCGATGCACCGGAAAAAGCTCAGGAAAAATATTGTGGAGATGATCTGATGCTACACATACCTGCTGGGAAGTTGCATGGCTTTTTACAACAAGCATCATGGATGCGTCGAAACCCCAAGCAGAAGATGAAATGAGAGATCTCTGAAGATTGCCCAATTGATATGCTGGTGTCTCCTTTCTCACACGCCGAAGGCCTGAAACAAGTTCTACTCAAACAGCCCTGACTAGTAAAGTGCAGGAAGTAATTTTTCTGCTGTCAGCAAGAATCATGCTGCATACTGTAGTCGGCTACGGGTGGTATATGTACAACAAAATTCATGCTATCCAGAGTATTTTGGAGTCTGGATAGTACCTGCATGTCAAGAGAAATTCTTGGTTTTCTGCAAAACTACACCAATGGTGAAAGGAGTCAGTGGCCATGCTTGTGAGGACAGAGAGTTACAATTTTCCTTGGGGACAGGCTGCAATGAGTGGACTTACTGCTGCTAGTGGTGTATTTTCCTTCTCATCCTCATCCTTGAGATGGTCTGGGAGTGCGATACATTTGTTGACAGAGCTAGAACTGTTAACACTGTAGAGACAAGCATAGGTGTACAATATCTAATTATCTACATGAATAGTGCAAACAGGTTGATACTATAGCGCAACTTGTAGTTCCTTGGTCCTTTTTCTTTTCTATAAGGTTGATATATCACCGCATTTCTTGAAATAAGCACTGGCCCGAGGGGCTTAACTTTTAGATAGCTTTTTCGGAGACTAAATGCAATCAGACTGAAAAACAAAACTACCTTTTCTGCCTGCATCCATTTGATGAGACGGCGATGAAAGTACCTGAGGAAATATTCGGAAATGTTGCTCGTGAAGAGCCTGAAGTTCTGCTCTCCAGACTATTCTAGATGTGGGGGTTGTTACAGACAGATGCCTCAAATATTCAGCTCCATAAGAACCCCACAAAAACTTCAGTGCCGGGAGACACCCATTTCTCCAGTTTGCCATGTCGGGTGTCACTATAACGAGTAGGTAGGTACCAGAACTGGTTTTCAAGTTCTGATTGATGGATAACGTAAAGTGCACGAACGTGGTCGACATATTGACCATCAGGCCAATGATACGAGCGTGTCGAATAGGTCAGCTGGAGCGGGAAATTACAATTCCCTCTCGATTACAGGGTGGTGCTAATTTCTGGGAATGCGGTATTCCCTGTTCCTGGCCGACTACCCTATGCTACAGTTGGTACTGGACGAGTTAACTTGAACATCTAGGCTGGATAGCAGAATGAAACAAACCAACCAGCAACATCCACAAGCCATCACGAGAATAAAGATTTGAAGCATCATACTCACAAGGCGAGGAGTTCTGACAGATTCGACGAGGACCAGTGTGGTAGCATTTCCTGGACCTTGGACACAATCTAACCCGCAAAAAGCAAAGAAGGGTGGAAACGAGCTAACTCAAGGCTTTAGTGGATTAACTTTACTGTGTATGTACAGGCACAATAATAACGCAATATTGCGCAATACTGTACACTACTCAGCTGTCCCTGCCATATAGCTATTCCGCGCAGCGTGATCATTCTGAGAAAGAGAGAGAATTAAAAAGGCAAGATGAAGCAAAAAACAATGTTACCCTGCACTCTAGGGCCCCTGTAATTGCGAACAACTCACCGGAGAGAGTGCACCGAAGCGCTCCCAGTCACACGTGAGCACCTCGGTACCTTGTTTCCTGAACATGAACAGGCAGCGGGAAATTAGATAAACAAGATACACCTGATACAAGATACATCTGATACAAGATACACCTGATACAAGATACATCTGTCCACAAAAGTTATAGACACCATTGAAGGAGAAAGCAATGCATAGAAAGAACATCTTTCATGTGTTAGACTGGGAAATGAAAACAAGAAGCACATTCTGCATTCAAACTTCTAAGTAATAAATTGGCTGACAATCCCGGTCCCAGAGCGTTACAAATAAAGGCAGGCACACCGAGGGTATCTACTTACTGTATTCTGGTGAGGAATGACTGATAAGCACAGTGAAGGCTTGATAGATAAGCAACAGGAATGCCCGTCTCACACTCCTGTAGAGATTGCAAAACGTACACAGGCAGCATTGTGAACAGATTGATCTAGTTGACTGAACACATGCGCACCAGCCACAGAACAAGAAGAAAACAAGCCAGCCAAAGAGTTGACACATTGGTTCCAGCTCCACCGGCAGAGGCAAACACCAACATCCTGCCAATAACGTTTGCTTCGCCCATTTCAACAGATATCTTAAGAGGAATTGTGTCTTACCCGCCCTCGTTGAAGAATGCGATTGCGGCAAGTTTGCGGACTGGCGTCCAAGAACAGTACCAAGTCAGGAGAGGGCACTCGGCTCAAGCACAGCTTGCGCAGCTGGTTATAGAACTGGTAGCCTGAGCACAGCCAACAGAACCCAGCAACACAATGTACATATTCACCTCTACCCTTTGTGCTGTGCAATACAGAGGCATAGGCCGGCAGGGTCCATTGAAAGTGGTTCCCGGCTATCTGGATTATAACAGTTACATGCCAGGTTTCAGCTTAGTGCCTTGTTCCCGGGCATGCCATTAACCAGCCGTAACCAGCTACGCCCCTGCAACAGGAATTGAGTGGGGCAGCACATTGGCTATGTGATATGCAGCACGCTGTAGCTAACCACGTGCCCACGGCTGTGGCAAGTGAAATAGCATTACCGTCCACTGACTTGAGCTAGCACCACACTGCCCAAGTCCCGGTCACCTGCCAGGACCATGACACATATTCAGGAACGGCACGGGATTTATAAGTAGAATGGCCGCTGGCAAGAGTACATAAACCTCAGGGTGTGAACCTGCCTGTACAACTTCCATCCAATGCTGCAACGGCAGAGCTCCACATCACGTTATATGGTTCAATAGTTTATGCTGGCAAACAGTGCAAAGTCACACCACAGAGTTGTGCCCAAAGTAGTACTGCAGTACATGTACAACCCTGTAGCTATCATGCGTAGGATGACGGGTTCGTCACGTGATGTGAAGTGCTGTCGTCGCCGACCTCATACTTATAGCTGGAGATGCACGTTCTTGGGGGTTAGGTGCTCTTGCCGCTAGTCACACCAGTTTCACCTGTAATGCTTCCAGCAAACTGGAAATTACCTTCATCGGATATGTTCCCATCTTCAAATCCAACATCCGCAAAAACACAGTCGCTGAACACTGACCGATCCAGAAGAACGCCTTGCCCTAGACATATAACACAGAAGTGCCAGAAAATACCATAGCCTTCCAGGTTAGCAATGTCTAGAGTGTTATAATGAATGTACAGTCGAAGGATTTATTGCCATTACATACTAGTATAAAAACGAGGCGTTCACCGGAAACTGTCCAAGTAATTAGTTATGGACAGTGTTCAGTCCCAGACCACCCGGATAAGGAAGGCATGTATATAGTGAAGCTACAGCTAACCTATGCATATTACAGCGACTGCACGGTCGTGAATCAAGGTGTCTGGGGGGGGGGGGGGGGGGGGGGGGGAGGGGGGGCATTATAAATATTCATGATAGGCCCTCTTCGGGGAAATAATTCTGTATCCGCCGCTGTTTGTACGTACTTGTAGGCCAGTGCTAAGACTAAAAGTCCATATTCCAGTGTTTAATATGGACTTGCTACAGTACATCGTACATACTGATCGAAGTTATTTCTGGTGACAAAATACGTACCTTTGAGCAGCACGTGTTTCACTGCCGCTACGTAGATCAAGAAACGCTGGCGGAAAATCCACAACTGTAGTTTCAAAGCGTATTTCTTCGGATCAGCGTAGAATTTAGCGAGGTAAGGGTTTTTAGACGTGGGTTCTAGGAACACTCGAAACCCGAGTTCATCTGCCAAGTCACGTATCAGTGTAGTCTTACCAGCTCCGATATTGCCTTCTACAAGAACGATTGGGGCACATTGAGGATGCCTTTCAGGACTAGAACACGACGAGGAGGCTGTTGAGCAAGAAGGGCTGATCCTCCCAGATACGGAGCACGAGGCTTTCAACATGTTTCGTGAATTAGCAAATCACAATTCTCAAATGACGCAGAGAAATCTGGGAGAACTATCGATATTTCGACGCACATGTAATTGATCAACACTACAGAGCTAACAAGAAGAACACGCAGACTTCAAGTTCAAGTCTCTCTTTACAGCTCTGATGCGCACAGCTAGCCACAAGATGAACAAGTCGGTGTAGTCTGTAGAGCCTACAGTACTAGTGGTAGCCTAGGCTATAGAGGACTCGTGTTGACTGTTGATATAGTTGAAGCAAACAAATCTACAATCATGATGTGGGCGTCGAATTGGAGATTTTCAAAGCTCTGCTTGCACTTGCAGCTTGGCCTTGGATGATTTCGGACTTCCCGCGGAAAACCTCCAATCACAGGGTGTCGCGCGACGCCATTGAGGCCGAGGCCGCGAGGCGCCCGCCTTTCATTTATTTTACTTTATTTTTTACTAACGTGACATTTCACGCGTAGATATGTTGTGCGCGTTCTGTCGATTTGGAAAATCGATCGATTTTCTTGCGCGATCTGTCGATCGACAGATCGCGCAAGGATCGATCGATCGGAAAGCGGTGGCGAAACCATTCAAAACAAATCGATCGATTTGGAGCAGCTCCGAAACGTCGTACAGTGTATGTTTAGGACTTTGGTGAACAGCTTTTCAAATGAAAGAAACCAGTTACGGTACCTTGTCTCAAGTTTTCTGAGTGCAATCTTCTTGCCCAAATAATTCAAAAATCAGTTCCTTCCGAAAATTCCATCGTGCTGGACCTCGAAGCTGAACGTCATAAGCAAATAGTCAAGCCGTGTGTCGTCTGGATATGCAGTTGTTTGTCATAGCCAACATTCTTCTGGTCCGTTCGTCCTGCCATTTTCCTGACGATCGCAATGAATACGAGCAGCTCTCATGCTCAGGTTAGTGTTTATTGATCTGTCTCTGCACCCACTGCAAGGTATAATTTTTGTGATGCAGCCACTAGCCCATTGTGGAAGTAAGGGAATCACCCAGGTTCTTCGGATTCTCGTCCTGTCCGAAAAATCTCCACGTTTCAACTTCTCATCTTCCCCTCAGGCATGAGCTTGCATATTCATATTTTGTGTTTGCTTTGACAATGCATTTCATAGGTATCGTTCAGACTTTTAGGGCCCTGTAAAATTGGTGTTTTCCTTCCCGACAGTGATAATAATCGCAATCTATAAAATACATGCGCAGTCATTCTATAGTGTGATAAAACACAAGTGTAACTGTAAGAAAAGAGAAAGAGAGAGGGTGAATAAAACAAACATATGTGCAAAATACAGTTACGGTGCTAAGGAAAGAATGTGGATGCCGTGACATGTTCTTTCTGAATGCATCGGTCTGGCTTACGCTTGTGAATGTAAACAGCATCTATGACTTTTAACTGATTGAAATTCTTTGCAAAACAAACAATACTACAATTGTAAACCGAGAATCATTATACGCCAAACGACACGGGTCACTGAACAATAAATGCTTAAACCCTGCCGTGTTCTTCTTCTCATCGCCAACCTCCCCTTCATCTTCATCCTACAGCGTAAAATGAGTGAGGTGTGGTTTGAGATATGGTTGTTTTTTTAGTTGCCGTGAGAGGGAGAGACAGAGAGAGAGAGAGAGACAGAGAGAGAGAGAGACAAAGACAAAGACAGACGCACAGACAGAGAGAGAGAGGGAGGGAGAGAGGGAGGCTCTGTCGTTCTGGAGATGTGTTGGCGGTTTTCTCTTTCACCTCTCTTTTCTCTTTATAGTTTTTCACTAATTCGTCATTCAACCCAGAGCTGTGTTTGTTGGCTGGTCGACCACAGGATTTTGTGTGGGGTTGTTCTGGAGTGTCGGACTTTTGTTGTAGTGTGACTGTTACAGTCCTGAAACACATGCAGTAGACACACTACTATAAAATACACTAAAAATGTACAACATGCGCACATTTCCTGGATTGATCAGTGTGGATCGATGGCAATACAGTTGTAGTCTGTAAGCAAACAGCACCATTTTGACTAGGGTGAAATGGTTAGATAGGTTAACCGGTTATGTAACCGTTAAGAATACACGAACAGTTAACCATATTATGCATATGGGTTAATCGGTTATTTTCTTTCAATGTCCGCTGTACATAATATACGTGACAGCATGTGCGTACCCTGTCAGTACTGTGCACAATGGATGTACGGCGTGTATCTCCCTCATCTCTGGGGTTGCTCCCCATATTAGTGATGCTTGCGTATGCTCATGATGAGGTCTAGTTGATTAAATGACAAGGTGGTGGTGCAATCCGAAGCCCAATGGAGCATACAAAATATTAAAATATGTTGAACCTTTCGTTCAGAAAGTAGTGGACATTCACGCAACTGCATTGTAAATATAAAGGGGGTTTGTCAACTGGCAACCGCTCTATTTAGTTGTTATTCACTCTTTGTTGAACCTGCTCTGGAAAACTGAGCCATCCACTATACATATTGTAAACAGTTTCGTCTGAGACAAAAATGCGATAATACTCATAATACTCATAAAGTATACTTGTGAAGACAAAAACTTTCAAGACGTTTGTAATGAGCCTGAAATGTGTCCTTTTATGAGTATTATACATATTGTAGTGATTGTTTTGGCAGTGCGTGAGGTCATGGTACCATGGCTACATGGATGTACAGTCATGTACAGCAATGGTACATGAATACAGGCTACATGTACAGTTTATCTCTTATAGGTTGTAGCAAGAGTAGATAAACAAGAGTGTGCAACTCTGGATCTCTTCTGCACAATCTGCACATACCCCTGCCTGTGGCAGCATTTTTTGTAGACGTCACCTTTTTTCAGAAAACGCGCATTTTGACGCAGAACAGTGTGAGAGCACGTACTGGGCACCAACCTTGTAATGTAAAGCCCGGCCAAGTGCACGATGCAAACTTTCCAAAAGACCCGCAGCGCATGCGTCATAGAAAAGATTACGTCAACAAAAAATTCTGCCACGGGCCAACCCATCCCGGAGTTGCACACTCTTGTTTATCTACTCTTGGTTCTAGCCTATAACCTTTTGGTTAACCGCAGCCCTAACTTTGACATATATGGTTTATATTATGTGCCCAACTCGCTATAACATGGACCTCTCTAAAGCATAACACTTGCCGTACCCCAGAGAATATATAGTGAGGTCTCGCCTGTAAGATGAAGTGTGATACCTAGTTATTGCATACATGTACATGTAGGTGTGAACATCATTATAATTGAATTCACGAATCAATTTCATTTCTTTGAGCTGACTGCTTTAATGTCCTCCTCGAATCCCTTCGCACTTTTCCAGTTCATTTCAAATGAAGTTGCAGGAACTCAATGAATACCTTGGGCACCATCTAAGGCTGCGTATACACGACAACGCTGGGGGTGAAAGCGCAACTAAATCCTTTCGGATGCATGGTTCATTTACACGGTACGCGGAGCAAAACGTAATAGTTGTACACCAAAGCGGAAGAGAACCAAAACGCTGGCCAAGGTGGAAGAATTTGAAAACGGAAATGTTCTGCCGGATAAATTTGGGTGTGTAAACAGTCGAAACGGTCTGCTGGCCTCGTTTCCGTCACGTTTGTTCCGTTTTCGGCCGTTCACACGGATCCGACAATAAAACTTTTTTTTTTTACAATTTTCGTCATGTGACGAGTGCTGGTGTGTGGCCTGTTTTCGATTATTCCTTGAGTGTGATTGGTGCTTCCACGACAACACTCGGCACATGACGAACTTTTGCGGATCCTTTGCTCCCGTGTAGACGCGAGAAAACGATACAAACCGAGACCACCTCGGATCAGCTTTGATCGTGTAAACGCACGAAAATGAAAAAAGAAATGCGGGACTGAAAACGGAAAATGGCCGTGCGTTGTCGTGTAAACGCAGCCTCAGAAGACATTAGGCCCAGTTGGGAATGTTCCTGTAAAATAAGAACATTACACTGTAATAGGAAGTGCAGGTGCCTTGAATGTACAGTCCTGCTCAATGAAATCCAGTCGTGTCACTCAAGTTTGCGCCTTGCACCATTTCGCAGCCCAGTGTTCGCAGGTCTAGGGCTGCGCAACGCCCGGTACTTGAGTGACGCGACTTGATTTCAGGATTTCATTGGGCAGCACAGCACTGTACGAAGGCAATTCTCCCATACAAACAGCATGGTGCTGCTGACAAGATGAGATTCACTAAAGTGGACTTTCTTTAGAGGATGGCTCAGCTTTTGTATACTTCTGTAGCGTCGTTCCCATGCCATGAATTTAATGATGAAATTCGTTCGCGAAACCAAGAGGCTTACATCACCTTACTATTATTGTACCTTCACTTTCTTTTACCTTTTTTCATGCAGGATTCTGAAAGCTAGAGGAATCCCACTAGCCCCAAGCACTGAGCTCACGGCTTCCAGCCACGAATCAGGCATGGTGTATCACGACATCTATATGTTTTGCATCCATTTGATTACTAGTACCGTAAAGTACCGCCAGAGCCCCCCACTATCTCGTCCTTTCGTGGTCGTATTGTGTAGGTGGTCTCCCGTCTGTAGGTCATACGACACGAACTTCGTACACATATTGCACGTTGTGCAGACAATCCGTACCTTCGAGCAGACACGAGCTCCACACAAAAACCTTCCTCTGACGTTAGTACACCATACACACTTCGTTGCATTCTGCCGTACGATTTTCCTTTCCCTGGACCCTGGCTGTAAAATCAAGGTGCTCTGGCGGTACTTTACGGTATACCATTCACACATAACATGATCTCGCTGTGCCCATGGTGCACTGTAGACTCAACATCCCGCTTTAAAGTAAGCTTCACAATCACACGTTAATGCTCCTAACATGTTATCTCGCACTTGATGGCATTACTCTATTTCTGCCTTTAGTATTAGACTCTACACTATCGCTCATCGCGTATTTGACTCTACTCTTTTTCACTGCTATTATTATGCTACGTTGATGCTCAATGTTAATATTGTGTGAGTCAAGTGTGCGCCCTGTGCCAGTTGACAGCCCAGTGTTCACAGCTGCACAACGTTCCGCACGGCATTCACTCGCTTCATTGGACTTCATTGAGCACCACTGTAGTATTCTGTGTTGGTTGATCAGCCCTTCTAGTGACGACTCCTGTCTGTCACTCTGTCTTGAAAGGGACTTTTCGGCTTTGTACTGCATGACCATTGTGTGTGGACTCACGAGTTACTTGGAGTACAATTCACTATAAACTTCACTATAGTAAAGCCTGCCCTGACAAGACGCCCTTGGTGCAGCGGAAACTGTCCTGA